CGAGGTTCTCACTCACCCCTACATAGGAGGACAGTGAGTTGAATAAACTGATAGAACATGGTGCGGAATCCTCACTGTATCTGTCACCGAAACTGACGGAAGACCTATTACATGCTACCGGTCAGAAGAAACAATCGCAATGAATATGATAAGACATACACAGTATGCTGATGCTGATTGTGAGATGATGTCTTATTAACACAGTACTGGCTCGATTAGCCTGGCGAAATAGTACCCAAATGAAAGCATTCCGACGTAGCGCACCTAAAATATCTCATGAATTAGCACGATTTTACAAGCAAAGTTAAAATATGAGTTAGGTACACTTATATATACGACGGTCATACTGGACCAGCGTTGCCTCTGCCACTCGGAATTAGCTGTATCAACCTGTTCCGAGACTCTACTTACCAGGACCAGTTCAAACTAGAGAACCGTGAGATAGCTGCTCTACTGCCAGAGAAATGCCATCAACTTACCTCTTGTCCCAATGTCAGCGCTGGATATCATAGGGCATCAATACGTCTCTCGATAAGCGTATGATTGCACATTTCTCACCCCAATCGTATACGACTACCGTAGAGGATGCAACTGTAAAGTCGCAGTGGTAAAAGGCAGATCTGAGTGAGCCATCATCGACATCGCTGACTCTACCTGTCCACGAACCTACAAAATAACTGTAAATCCGATAAAAACCGAGCAATGGCCACCAATTAGGATCATTAGAGACTAGGGTCGTATTGAAGGGATTAGTGTTGGAGTGTCACTGGCAAAGAAGCTGGCCGCAAATTTGAAATGATGGCCGCACTAACTTCATATACCACCATCGGATCAACGCTTGGGCCTGGACAGTGTCATTTGTCCTGTCGAGAGGTCCTTCACATTCACATCGAGTTCTGATATCAGTAAAATCACGTAGTCATAGATCCAACACAGGCATTCAAGGGCACCACTCAAATAGTCCGTTTCTTGAGCTCAGCCTTGAGGCCGCTTTTAAGAGGGTGATATTACGACAGAGTACAACTTGAGGGTAGCGAGTCAGAGGAAACCATGATGGTCATGGTGGTGACGTTTGAAGAGGCTTGAGCTTTGGCGGACCGTCAAGATTATACCCGCATAAGCAATACTCGGTGCTGACATTTTCAAAGTGGAGCTCAAAGTTAACGTTAAACGGTTAAACATTGAAAACCGTGATCGAAATGACCAGATTCGACTGAAATAAAGATGACCAATATTATTTTAGGAAAATCTGGTGTAATCAGAAAATAAAGACTCGTGATCATGTGCATGCATGTGTTTCCTGAAAATAATCACTTCGAATTCCTTAGAGCGTCGTCATGTTCGAAAATCGCCAAGTCTCACCTGCATAGCTGCAGCGCGTATGCTCACAGTACTATGGCACGGGTGCTCAGCTCGTTGTCGTCTCTCACGATGATGGCCCGGGCATGCATCACATCCTGCTTTCTTTACAACACTCATCATCTTCACGTTGTTCGCAGTAATACAGCTTCCCCGGGACGACTTGGAAGGTCAAGTTTGCCGTTGCAAATTCTTATGATGTCGCTTGAATGGTGTGCGTGCAGTCAATGTTCGCTCGCTGATGGTGGCCGTCTTCTGCAGGCCAAAAAGACCTGCCTCAGGCATAGTGAGCTCGATCAGCGCAATCAAGATGATCTTGCCATGCTGCAAGCGCGGCAAGCTGAAGACGAACTCCCACTGAGTCTTCAATTTCCCTTGTATCTACCCATGGCCCTGCTTTAGTAGGTGGGCATTTGTGTGCTGATCCCTTGCCTGAACTTCAGATAGACGACGACTGGGGGCTGGACCTATGGTGATGGTGATCTGATGGTTTTGGATGACAAGCCCAGTAATGATGGTGACGGTTGCCTTTTTCAAAGTTCGGATGATAATGAAGCTCGCAACCATGATGTGCTGTTTCTGCATGATCCGGAGGAGGAACTTATCATAGCTGATGATGGTAGTGACCACATCTCGGATGACGGTGGTGATCTGGTCAACCCGAAGCATCCTAGCAAATCTATACCTTTTGACTCCTAGATGTGACGGTATATCCGAAGCTCTCAGTGTCAACAGTAACGCCGTCATTGTTTGATGATTATTGGGTGGAACTTGATGGATTCCATCTGTGAGCTCAAGCTGCTCTTAATGTTTGATCATACTGCGGGAGCCCAAGCTTCTTTTTTTCAGGTAGAAAAATATGAATCCGTGACTTGCACGCCGCTTTGCAATTATATTGAACACCAAGGCCCCGTCGGGTCTTATGATGTCACCTCAATTTTTCGTGTAGTTCGGAACACCAGATGGGTAGCCAAATGAATCATGATGTACCAATACTGCGATAAATTGACAGCAAATTCGAGAAATATTTTATGGGTCACTTGGATCACTCAGATAGTTTCCCGTGCTACACGTCATCATCAGTTGATACAGGTACGCCCTCTTGGAAAACTATCGTAGTTAGGTTAGTTCCTGTCTCAGAGTCAGCCACCAGATTAGCGTTATATTCTCGAACGCTAAGGAGGAGTCGTGGCCCCAGAACAAACATCTGCGCGAGCAGAGAAATTTCAAGGATGCCAGAATAAACCTCATTTCCCATCGAAGAAGAACCCTACAGAAATGACGAGAATTGTCAGAAGCACGTGTCAGTTGCAGGTTGGCGTACCGATATTTGTGGAGAGAGAATGCTGACAATGACCAAGCAAGAAACAGCAGCGTGTCTGGTGAGGACGTTCAGCCATAAAGGATATATTGAATTGAAATATCAAACTCACGCTGCAAAGTAAAACAAATGAGTTTTTATTAACATAGCGAAACAGTCCCTCCCTGGGGATGGTCGTTGCAGTTCACGGAAGTGTTTTATAGCAATCCAGACTGCAAGACATAGTACGAGGAACTCCCATACAATACCGAGTATCCAAGTTATCCAAGTCTCAGATAGTGGGGAGCCACTATTTCCGCTGAGAACACACTGATAGGTGCCAGAGAGAATAAGCTCCTCTGGTATTCTATGAGCCTCATACGCTTGTGTCTCTTAACGATAATTGAGTCTCACCTCCTGAAACATTACTGCTTGATATGGCGAGGATCACTCCGCTTACAACTATGCAACCCAAGGAGATTCCGACAAGAAATATTGAAATCTTTCTAGATCGCCTGTACATTGCACGCAACCGAGCAATTAAGATGTCTGGCGTGATATTTCAGTCATGTCTCTTAATCAAGCACTGCAGTCAAGTAGCTTACAACCCAGCATGACATTTACGATGAAAATCATCCACCATTGTGTAAGGCCAAGAATAGTACCTGGAAGATCCAAGTCAATAACGAGCTCAGAGTACTGGATGCTTCAAACGAACTCACAACTGTAGTAGTCATTATATTGAATCAACAAAGTGGTCGAGGTTCTCACTCACCCCTACATAGGAGGACAATGAGTTGAATGAACTGATAGAAAATAGTGCGGAATCCTCACTGTATCTGTCACCGAAACTGACGGAAGACCTACTACATGCTACCGGTCAGAAGAAACAATCACAATGAATATGATAAGACATACGTAGTATGCTGATGCTGATCGTGAGATGATGTCTTATTAGCACAGTACTGGCTCAATTAGCCTGGCAAAATAGTACCCAAATGAAAGCATTCCGACGTAGCGCACCTAAAATATGTTATGAATCAGCACAATTTTCCGACCAAAGTGAAGATATGAGCTAGATACGCTGATATATATAGCAGTCATACGGGACCAGCGTTGCCTCTGCCGCTCGGAATGAGTTTCGTCGTCCTGTTCCGAGAGACTCTACTTACAAAGACCAGTTCAAACTAGAGAACCGTGAGATAGCTGCTCTAGCAATGCCATCAACTTACCTCTTGTCCAAATGTCAGAACTGAATATCATAGGGCATCAATACGTCTCTCGATAAGCATATGATTGTGTATGTCTCACCCCAATCGTATATGACTACCGTAGAGGATGTAACTGTAAAGTCGCAGTGGTAAAAGGCAGATCTGAGTGAGCCATCATCGACATCGCTGACTCTGCCTGTCCACGAACCTATAAAATAGCTGTAAATTCGATAAAAATCGAGCAACGGCCACCAATTGGGATCATTCGAGACTATGGTCATATTAAAGGGATTAGTGTCGGAGCGTCAGAGAGCTGGCAGATGAGGCTAGTGCATTAAGATGATGGCTGGGCTAGCTTTATATACCACCATCGGATCAACGCTTGGGCGCAGACAGCGTCATTTGCCCTGTCGAGAGGTCCTTGCCACATTCGCATCGAGTTCCGATATCAGTGAGGTCACGTAGTCATCGATCCAACACAGGTCTAGTGATGTGACCATTAAAGGGCGCCGCTCAAATAGTCCATTTCTTGAGCTCAGCCTTAAGGCCGCTTTTAAGAAGGTGATAGCACAACAGAGTACAACTGGAGGATGGCTCAGAGGAAACCATGATGATGGTGAAGCTCGAGCTAATTGGCGGATCATCAAGATTATGGCCGCATGAGCAAGACTCGGTACAGTGGAGCTCAAATTTAACGTTAAACGTTGAAAACGCTCAACGCACAGCGCCAGCGCCCGACCCCGTGATCGAAATGAGTGTACCTTGAATCAATATTACCATATTTGGCCAATAGCGCCAGCAGACAAAACGAAGCGAAATCATATCGTCATCAAGGATACTTTCATCCCCTGCCGCTTTCGTTATGTGGTGATAATAGGATTGGCGACGTAAGGCGTCGTTTTTTTCTTTGGTACTTGAGTGACATTTGATAGGAAAAAAAAAGTTGCTACAAATAAAATCATGGTCATATGTGGTTATGGTGAGAAAGTTTAGGTGTGAAAAGGCTGGGGAGACGCAAGGTTTAGCTTATCACAAATCCTTCTGTTAAGGTACATTCATTTCGGACACGATGTTGGGCGCTGGCGTTGGGCGTTGAGCGTTTTCAACGTTTAACGTTAAATTTGAAATTCGAGCTTCCATAAATTTCTTGAAAGAGACACTGCTTCTCGGATGAACACAATCTTCAAAATGGTACATAAACAAGCTAAGCTAACTCCTATGATCTTTAGTATTCCCGTGGTCAAAGTTCAAACTTGATACGAAGGTAAAGCTCAGAAGCCTTCCTCATCTCCTCAACCGTTGAGGGAGGTGCAGGTTTCCCATCCAGGTCGTACACTTGCTCCGGATAGTACTCGAATGCGGCAGGTGGTTGCGGGACGCAGTGGGCTGGACGAACATTATAATCATCATAAGAAAACGGGTCTCCTGGCTTCTTGGGAGGCTGGAGCAATATGGCGTTGGCAGACTCGATCGACACATCGTAGTCGAAATAATTAAAAGGTGTCAGGAAGAAACTATATAATGCAGCGAGTCAGCACGTCGCATTGATGCATAGCTAGGATTTAACCTCGAAGCGGCTGTATTAGTCCTTGTATTCGGAACATCCTCTGATGCAGGCTGTTACCGAGCAGTTTAGCTCTGCACTAAGATACTAGAAGGTAAACTTACTAGGTGGTGCATCCCAACGTTAATCCAGGTCACCAGATCCTGTTGAATGATATTTTCGCCGTCGAAAAAGTTGTGGAAGTCGACAGGAGGAGCCCCTGGAAGATTAAAGTTCCACATGCTGCTGGAAGAGGGCTCCGTATCTTTGCGACGGGACACCGCCAGGTTATAACGCGCCCAGTTGGCATTCTTGAGCAGACGCTTAGATCCTACGACGGTCTTGGAAGAACGTTTGTCAAAACAATACAGGAACATTCAATGTGTCGCGTACATTATAAACCGGCGAGTATCCCGGGTGAATTGCGTATCCTCTAGGAATTCCCCATTTATTGGTTTCATCAGTGTTCACAATAGTATAACCTCCTTGGAAATTGGCGGGAAATCTCAGCAGGGCTTCGTCTTCGTTATCGATGTATTCACGGGTGATCTTTTGTTGGATCACTTCTTCGCCCCAATCGTCGTCGAACCACGGTTGGGTGGTGACCTCCTGACTAAGACTTGTTTTCAACAGCGAATTTTGTGTTCCTCCTACGTCGAGGTCGACCTGCAGAAAAGGCTCAGATCATGAAGTATGTCACATGGATTTTCAAAACCTTGAAGTTGATGACATGATCGTGGAGGCTTCCAACTGGTTATTTGCATCAGCAATATACATATATGTCGAAAGTACTGGGAGACGACATACGAGTGGTGTTCCAGATTTTGCTTCCGTAAGCTCCTTGCTCGTCATCCCAGAACCCTGATAAAAGGTATCCGGATGCTGATACACGAACCTCGATAGTTCCATCGACGTGGAAGATATATTCAAACTTGGGAGAGGGTCTCGCAAGTAAGTATATGATCACCAACCGAGCGACAAGTACTCACCACTAAAGAAAGGTTAAACAATAGTCGAATTTTGGAAGACGGAAGCTAATCATGATACTCACAGTAATCATAGCTAAATGCAATATGTTGAGTGCATACATTCTAAAGAACTTTTATCATAATGTAACTTACTTTCCAACGGTGGAGACGCTCCTAATGACCAGCTGGTAACCTTTGACGGCACCAAATTCACTTCGCTCAAAACCAAGATGTCTTGATACAGGACGTCCGCTATCCTGCTCAAATATACATATCGCCCGCTTCCTAGACATCATCCCTGTCGCAGAAAAAGTGGTAGCTGGGAGGTAAATCGCCTCATCTGGGCAATCATATCCTGGTAGTAGGTTGCGAACCGATTGCCCCATGCCAAAGTATGAATCTAGAAGTGCAGTGCTCGACTTATAGGGATCATTCCCGGCTGTGTTACACAGGTCACTTATATTCCCTGCAATTCAGATTCGACAACTCACTGTATTGTGCCAATGCTTCTTGGGGCTTGAGCTAGTTTGAATATTAGTCGGATAGTTAAAGCAGTGCAGTAGACAATGAACAATCACCTCGTAGATGATCCGCTCACCTCGGAAGCGTATATCCCACAAGTTTAGTCCCATGTCACGATCGAAACCCAGGTAAAGCCCCCACCCCATCCAACTGACGTATTGCAGGTCATAATCAACCCTAAATCGCAACCCAGCAAAAGATACAGAACGAGGTCCTGGAAGGTTGTCGAGGTCGCGTAAGGCACCAATACGTTCTCGTGTACTCCAAGAAAGGTCTTCTTCTTGCTTTGTTACTGGAGGTACACGCTTGAGCGTACCATTATGAAACGCATCCATGAATGATTCTGCTGTGTCAAATACTTGATGATTGTACACGATCTAACAGATATGGGTTGAGCACGAGAACGTTACAACCGAAATAAAGTTTACCTTCAGCTGGTCCCATTTTGAAGGATCAGTACCGCTGACATCGACATATTGCCAAAGGTTCAGTGGATGCAACCAAAATCCGGGTGTGTCTCTTTGCCAGTTTAACCAGAAGCGCCTGAATGATCCGTCGAAACCGAACGGCCCAGCACCTCCAGCAACAATGGTATCATTGGGCAAACCACCTAGAAGTTCCTGAGAAAGTATAAGGAAGATTAGGCAAGCCAGATGATCAAAACGACTCGCCTTGTACGCATCCATCAGCGGAGCTGCTATCTTGGTGTGGATTTCGGGCACATTCCAGTCAAGGGCATCATATCCCCTTGCGTTGTACGGAAGAGTTTCGGTATGATAAATCTTTGTCAAATGCATCATCTCTGTAGCTGGTGTGACTGGGAGCGGCCCGACGAGATAATCTCTAATCACGGGTTCCACGGCCCCGCCATGGTGAATGGTAACCCGAGCAAACCTTGCAGGTGCGTTACGAGGATCTAAAGACGAGAAGTACTCGAGGACATCAGCCTTGGGAGGATAGTATGTCTGTATCATATAGACGGAGTTATCGGATGGCCGAGCTGTATCTCCTCGCGTGAGGTTTAGGTTCATTTGGGTGTTCAGGAGCCAATTTTGAATTTCCACCATTTCATCGATAGTAAGAGAGGCCCATGGGTTGATTGGAGCTGGAGGGCGAGCAGGAGGGGGAATATTAGATGCACAGATCTTGATATCTTCATCATAGCCGGCAAGTGTCTCGGAACCCCCGAAAACAATTTTGGAGCCAGAGGTAGAGGGTCTGATCTGGATGACGGTTAGCGAAGCTAGTACAAGGATGAGGATGAATGAAAGGCCAAGACGAAGAGAGGTGATCCTGTTCGGTGCTCGCGTTGATTCATGCTTGGGTTCATCCAAGGATGCAGTTTTTAGCTGCTCGTATCTTCTGGGCATGCTGGTGGACAGATGAAGAGGTACGTGTGACCGAACAAGACGGAAATACACAAATCTTATGTGCACTATCAAGCGCCTACCCGCTGCTAAACGCGGAGTCAGTTTAAGATGAAAGACGGATCAGGAGCTGAACCTCCTTTTGTTCAAACCTCGTGGACAGACTGATACACATGTTGCAAAGAAGTCACATTACTAGCTACCTGATCACTACACCACCTTCCCATCTCCAATAAGGCTCTACAACTCAAGTTTGATGCGATGATATAACTCCGAGGCCTTGCGCATGTCTTCAATTGACGAAGCAGGTGCAGGGATCCCATCTAGGTCAAACATCTTCGCCGGATGGTACTCGAAAGGTGACGGGTGTTCCGGCAGGCAGTGAGCGGGTTGAACACCATAGTCGTCATATGTGAAGGGGTCGCCAGGCTTTTCTGGGTTCTTCAGGAGGACAGCATTGGTCGACTCGATAGATACATCGTGATCGAAGTAGTTAAGAGGCGTCAAGAAGAAGCTAATAGACCGTTAATCAGCTTTTATTCCATATGGCAGGAGTCAACGAAGCCAACCTTGATGTCGCTGTGTTTGTTCGTGTGTTAGGTGCGTCTTCTGATTGGGGCTATAAAAATGAAAATAATGAGGCTTCACAATTAGTACCTCATTAAGCAAGCAACTAACAAGATGATGCATGCCAAGGTTCACCCAGGCAACGAGATCTTCTTGTGTAATATTCTCTCCATCAAAGAACTTGTGGAAGTCGACAGGAGGGCCACCGGGTAAATTGAAGTTCCACATACTGCTCGAGGAGGGTTCTGTCTCCTTACGACGGGAGACAGCCAGATTGTAGCGTGCCCAGTTCGCGTTCTTCAGGAGCCGCTTAGAACCAACGACTGTCTGCAATCCAGAATTCAGACCTTGTCATGACATCCTCGATAATATACGTACGTTGTGAATCGGAGAATAGCCCGGATGGACGGCATATCCTCTCGATATGCCCCACTTGTTGGTCTCTTCTTGATTTACGATTGCATAGCCGCCCTGGAAGTTTGCCGGAAATTTTAACAAGGCATCGTTCTCGTCGTCAATATATTCTCGGGTGACTACTTGCTGGATGACTTCATCTCCCCAGTCATCCTCGAACCAAGGCTGGGTAATTGCTTCTTGACTCAATGTAGTCTTCAACAACGAGTTTGCTGTACCCGCCACATCAAGGTCAACCTGTAATGGATCATCAACGCTATAAATTTATCGCAGGGGAGGCTGTTGACCTTATAGTTGATCACGTGGTCATGCAGACTACCCACTGATACCGTGTTAGATCAATATAAGGGATGAGTGGAAATACAAACTGCTGGTTTCCCAGATTCGATTTCCATATTGCCCTTGTGCTGTATCGTAGAAACCAGCTTGCAGATAGCCGGAGGCGGAGACGCGGACCTCGATGGTTCCGTCAAGATGGAAGATATAGTCAAACTACACACAAATGATGAGGTCAGTTGTGAAAATAGCACTTGGTTTATCACTCACCACTACAGGAAATAATACAGAATCCAGTCAACATCACGAAGATGGCGAAACTCTGCACGTACAGTAATCATAACTAGGGTTCGAGTTTCAGCATCATCCCACAGACAGAAAAAATCACACACTTTCCGACCGTAGCAATACTTCTGATCACGAGTTCATAGCCTTTGACTGCCCCAAACTCATTTTCTTCGTAACCAAGATGTCTAGTAAGAGGTCGTCCGCTATCATGCTCGAAGACGCAAATTGCACGCTGTTGTGTGGTTAATCCATTCACCGAGTAAGTGGTCGCTGGCAGATACACGGCCTCATGTGGACAATCATAGCCTGGTAACATGTCACGGACAGATTGCCCCATGCCGAAGTAGCGATCGAGCCAAGCAGTCGTTGCCTGGAATGGATCATTGCCCGCTAGAGAACAATATCACATGAACTGAAGTACAGAAACCAGCGTTAGATCACCCACCATACTGTGCAAGAGCTTCCTGAGGCTTGAGCTACGCAGGAATCGTGAGATTGCATGAATGGATGGCTACGTCGAATACATCCTACCTCATAAACAATCCGTTCACCACGGAACCTGATGTCCCATAAGCTCAAGCCCATGTCTCTGTCGAAACCAAGGTACAAGCCCCAGCCCATCCAACTGACATACTGAAGATCAGGATCCACTCGGAACCTTAGACCTGCAAACGACACCGAACGAGGTCCAGGAAGATGGTCGAGATCACGTTGGGCTCCGATACGCTTACGAGTACTGTACGACAGATCGGTGTCAGGGTCAATAACAGGGACACGTTCAAGGCTGCCATTGTGGAATGCTTCCATGAAAGATTCTGGGGAGCTAAAGACTTGGTGGTTGTACACAATCTAAGACCAATTTAAGCGCATGAAGTCTCAGTGGGGTTATATTTGAGAACATACCTTTAACTGATGCCATTGAGAGGAATCGGTACCGCTGAGATCAACGTACTGATATAAGTTAAGTGGGTGTAAGAAGAAGCCGGGCGTGTTGCGTCGCCAACTAAGCCACAGACGTCTGAATGAACCGTCAAAGCTGAACGGCCCACTTCCGGCCGTCGTAAGAGTATCCTGGGGCGTTCCGCCCAGAAGTTCCTAAAAACCAACCTCCCTGTGAATAGCATGTACAGAAATAAGATGGCACAAATGACCTTGTATGCTTCCATTAAAGGGGCCGCCATCTTCTCAAAAATTTCCGGGGAAGTCCAGTCACGGGTATCAAACCCACGTGCATTATGCGGAATAGCGTCGAGATGATATACCTCCGTCAGATGCTCCATGCGAGTAGATGGTCCAATAGGAAGCGGTCCAACAAGATAATCCTTTACGACAGGTTCCGGTGCAGAACCATGGTGAATTGTGACCCGTGCATACTTTTCCGGGATGTCTGATGAGGATAGCGACGAGAAGTAACTTAGGACGCTGGCTTTAGGCGGGTAGTACGCTTCTATCATGAATATGTGATTGTCTGAAGGCTTTGATATAGCCCCGCGCGTCAGGTTAAGAGCCCGACCAGGCTCCTCCAACCACTTCTGGATCTGAACGGTCTGCTCAATGCTGAGAGAGGCCCATGGATTGATCGGGGCTGGGGGACGGGCAGCAGGGGGCGTGGGTGAAGCACAGGTCTTCACGGAGTCTCCGTCATATTGATCTTGTGCTCCCAGATCTCCTGATAAAGGAGGATGAACATGCAGAAAAGAAAGCGTTACCAACGCCAAACATGTGACGAGACCGATCGCGACACGACGTATGGTGCGATACGGCTTGGGTGACTGGACTTCGTTGTCCTCTCCGCTCTTTAGGAGTTCATAACCACTGGCCATGGTGGTAGTGGAAGGGTATGAGACAAGAGTGCTCTGGCGTTCTCTTTAAATGCCCCGGGCCGACCCTGCGTGATCACATGAACTTGCGAGTCAGAACGACTTCCTTTGCGAGCCGATTAGGAGTGATACAACGTATGCGCCACGGCTGATGCATATGACAAAAACTTCAAATCGTTATCTCAACGACAGGGATTGCCATGAGATTACGCCCCGCTATACATATCTTCCTCCCACATGACACCGGACTTGAGCATTCTGAGCTTTAAAGTAGCCACATGTTTCTGTAAGTTTGGGTCTGACGCAATTGGACAAGTTGAGTTGCTATGTATAGTCGTTATCGAGTTTGTACTGACCTGCAATTTGAAAGATGTGGCAGATGAATATTCCGGTTGAAATGTTGATGGCTAGTGCATCACTGCAGGATTTTGGGTGGCAGATTCGTGGCTCAATTGCAAGTTTTTCATGTCAATGAGGTGTGACTTGAACTTAAGCTTCAAATAATCAGTGACGGTGTGGTTTGGCTATGTTTGGCATTTGGCCTCAAATGGTAACAATTATATAAGCAAGCAGCACCGTGTCAAGTGCACGCTGCAGGTCCATCTGACCGTCTCAATATAAAATGGCCGACATGGAGACTACTACCCCAGCGGGACAGCCTATCGTCTCAAGGGAGAAGGTGATTTTAAATTTTTGGTAGCTTGTCGGTTAATCCTCAGTTGTTTTTCTCTACTAGACGGCCCCATTTCTCATCCGAACATTTGTAAAGGTTGGGTCATTCCATAGGCTGACTTTGTTCGAGGAGAACACTCTGCCAACCGCAGACGAACAACAGATTTACACCTGGTAAGCATGCATGTGTATTTGTTCTAACTCTCTTTTGATCCCATGACTAGGAAAGATGCCACCTTGCGTGAAGTACTGACGACTCTCCGAAACGCTGCACCCCAAATACCAGAGTTTCGCCACCCTTTGGCTCGTTATTCCTTCCGTGCTATATACGCAGACGCAGCAAACAGGGGACGCTTTGCACAGAAAGAGCTTGGTATGGTGTATTCTCGCGATATCCTGGGCGAACCAGGTACTCTTGACAGCCCCGCGGCACGCCTGCTCAGCGACATGGATGGCGAATCCAGAGAGCAGACAGAGCGGGAGAAAGAGGAGAGGACTCTTGATGAACTTCGATTCGTGCCAGGAGACTATCTTTGCGTCTCTATTATCCTTCCAAAAGCCGCCGCGGCTGCAGTAGCTGCAGCCACCCAGGTTGAGAGCACTGTCAAGATTCCAGTCCAAAACGGCTGGAGATCCGTACCAGCAGCACGGCAGAGTGATGCAGGTTGGGGAGCAGCAGCTCCTGCTGGCCGAGGTGGGGGTCATTGGCGAGGGGACTCCAACCCTGCTCCTCCCAGTGGTCCACGAGGAAGAGGTGGTGGTGGTGGTGGTGGTGGTGGAAGGGGTGGAGACTTTGCTGGAAGAGATCGCGACTTTGACCGCAACAGAGATTCGGAGAGACGTCTGCCACCAAGGCGCGATTCACCACCTCACCGAGGTGGCGGCTGGGGTGGTAGGGGTGGCAAACGGTCACCATCAGGTTCGCGGTCAAGGAGCCCACCGCGACGCAGAGGATCTCGTTACGACTGATATCGTTTACTTGTACATCCATTGTAGCTCTAGCTACCGATTGCAAAACTACTTTAGTTCTGAATTCATTATGCAGGAATCAAGATGTCCAAATTTTGACAAGGACTTACATTAACTTTTCAATGGTTTCAACTTGAAGTTGTACGTACTATATGCTTCCAATCATACCATATCAACGTGTTGTCTCGCGCAAGTCTCACCAGTAATATTTCGACCTCGTATCTTCTTCATGACCACAGTCCAACCCTGACTTATTGGCCTTGTGCTAGTGCTTCTAGTTTGCTTCTAGTATTCCTTCGAACTCGTGTTTATACATAATCACATATCAGCGACATCGCCACCAACATGGGCGCTGGACCCTCAAAACATAGACCCTATCCATTTCCAGTTCCAATCGTTAACTCTAACGGAATGCAAACAACAACTTGGTCCTCAGTCAGGACGAAGAAGGGCAAGGAGAAGGCACACCCAGAACTATATCAGCAATATTCAAATGGATATCCGACTGCTGCATATCCGAGTCATGGATTCCAGTATTGTGCGTGGCAGTCACTTGTAAGAATAGCGTTTACTAACAGTGCCGGATGAAAAGACCCACAGGTACAATCTGGGTATCCACAAATTAGTGGGTATTATCCGGTGGCCATGGTTCCTATGCAGCAGCCCCTGGTTATGCCGCAGCCATATGTTCCGGTCGCTGCTTTTCAAAACGCAGCTGGTCAGCCACCTGTACCAGTTATTCCCCCTGCAGAGCAAGTACGGATGCCAGAGCCATATAACAATCAAGGCCCTGTGATGCCCAATGTGACTGGTCGACGAGATCCCGTTGTTCCTCCACCCCCTGTCATAACTAACGTGCAACCCCAACGCGACACAGCTTTTCCTCCTCCTCCTATCATAAATGACTCGTATTACTCATCTCACCCACAACCCACTGCGCGTATGCCCGAGCCACATGTAGGCAATCGGGCGACTCCAGGCCCCGTCATCCCCGGTATGACTGGTCGACCAGGAGATCCAGTTGTTCCTGCTCCCCCCGTCTTGACTGACGCACAGCGTGCAGCTAACTCGTCATCTCGTCCAAGATTCACCGACTTCTACCAACCAGCTGATCATCCCATTTCCATGCCCGAACCTTATTTAAGTGATGTACCATTCAGGCCACCGACTGTCCCTCCCATACGAATGGCAACGCGGCAAAATCCCCTTCCCTCTCCTCCTAGAGACATATGGGATACGACCCCATATCGTCAAGTTTTACAGGAACTCCCAAAGGACATAACCCTCTCCTTCAACGTCGAACACATGGAAGAAATGGAAGACATGCTAGCTCAACCAGCAGGTCCAATATCGCGTTTAGGACAGCTATTTGGCTCTAGTAGTAAGCGCAAGGGTAAATCACGAAAGGGACTCTTTCGCACGTTCAGCACATCGGGGAGCGATGGCGAATCTCGTGGTCATCATCATCGTTCCAATACCGTAACATCATTCGTTATACCACCAACTGCAGTCATGCCCGATAGGGTAAACCCATACACTGGAAGTGGAGCCCCACCGCAGGCTATGCCAGTTCCCGATCGCGGACCACCTGTCAAGTTTGACCATACGGGTGAACTATCCGGATTTGTAAATCACTCACAACATCGAGTGATGTACAAAAACAAAATGTACCCAACGGCGATGCACCTCCTTGAGGCGATGAAATTCACGGAACACCCTAAGCTTCAGGAGCGCATACGAAAGTGCACCGATGTTGGTGACATGTACCCGTTGTCGGCTAGTTTTCAGGACCACGTGCGACCAGATTGGGGTCAGGTATTCTTGAGGACTGTGAGACTATTTTCATTGGCATTCCAATCGGATCAACTTTCCCTGACTATTTTTGTGTTTTCAGATGGAAGATGTGCTGTATATAAAGTTCAAGCAACATCCTAGCCTTCGGGCATTGCTTTTGCGCACAGGCCTTGCTGATATTGTGTATGCCGATGCCAATGATGCGTACTGGGGTCATGGTCCTTCAGGTGATGGTGCCAACGAACTTGGAAAGGCCTTGGTGCGCGTACGGGACAGACTTCGTGCGGAAGGGGAAAGATAGTAGTCTTCCTTGAACCGACTTATAAGAAGGAACGTTAGTATGTAGTTCCTTCCATCTATGCAGATTATATCATGACGTAATTGTGTTTACGCTTCCTGTTTGTAAGGGTTGCTTTTCATCTGGCGGTATACGTATTCGTGAGAGCTAGTCCTGCTTGGCGAAATGATACATCTTACAAGGGTTGTCATCCAGCGCTTCAGCTTCAACACGATAAGTGACACGTTCCTGGCTTCCCTCAGACGCAATGCAAGGGCTGGACATTTATTTCTTCTACAGCCTGACAAGTTCTATAGATATCTTCCTCTGAAACAAAGTACTCATTGACAGTGCCCTCGAACATATTTGGCAGGCTGTGGGTCAATAGGTCCCGGTAAATTCTCCACAGAAGTTCTCGTGCGAGACATGCAACATGGAAACTGCACCGATTACCAGTAATTCAATACCCAGCCTCCAACGCGCTCTCAGCTATATACGACCGATGACTTCAAGCATTCTATTGACCAACAATCATGGCTACTTTTGCTTCCTCCTTCCACATTAATCCCGCTTCAGCGCTATCTCAGGCAACGCAGTCCACTCCAGCTCCATGGCTGGGTCCAGCATTCGGTGCCCTAACCGCCCTCATCAACCTGCTGGCTAAAGCAGAGTCCAACAGGTATCTACCGTTTTGCCATGCTGTTCTTCCCACTGACCACGACGACTGTTGACAGAAATGGCATACGACAACTCGAGGAACGCTGCCTCAGTTTTCTGGCTATCATCAAGAATGAAGGCGAAAGCATGGCGCCGGATGACCAAACCACGCTTTGCTCAGGCGCACAAAGGTTGGTAGCGCGCAGATGTTATTGTCTGAAAGGCAGCTGATAACCTAGCCAGCACCATCCAAGGCATCCTCGACAGAATGACTCCATGGTGTTTGATGTCTCGAATCAAGCTATTCATCAAACAGGACGAGCTCACCGGAGTCATCCAACGATGTCATCTTGAGATATCTGATTGCTTGAACAAGTTACAGGTACGTCAAGTGTCTGTCCTCAGCTATTATCTATAAATTCATCTACTTATTTGACCAGATAACCTCGCACCTCGAGATCCACAAATGGCAGTCTGCCTTCGAAGATAATCAAAGGATCGACAACGAATATATGATCCACTTTCTCGGGGACCTAAAAAACAAACAGGAGATTCTCTTGAGTGACCAGCTGCAACAAACCACCGTCGTAAACCAGATCTTGAAAGTGATGCAAGAAGTTGGTACCACATCCCCTAGTCTCTTGCCAACCCCTTCATTTAATTTCCATTGACAGAATCTTCCGGTCCACTTCTCTGCAACACCTGAATACGGTCTGGAAAGTAACTTGTACAATCTTCTCCAAAGTTCCAGAAGTTTACTTCCGAACATGAACCTGCAACGCGGGGAAGTGAGGCGTACCAGTAGTCATGCTGTGAATGGGACGAGTCGGACCGATGTCTGGGAAGGATGCTACCTTAACGAGGAGAAGGTTGCTATCAGAGTCCTGCGTGCAGTCTATGCTACACCTAAGACGCTCAAGGTACATTATTTCAATGTCGTCGTCGTCGTGAGCGCTCAATCAATTGGTTTGCAGAGGTTCAAGGCAGAGGCAGAGATTTGGAGAAGAGTGTTTGAAGTGGACAAAGGAGAACACATCCTTACGATATACGGTTTCTGTCAGACTGACGGGGAATATCCGTGGGTCTTTCCTTCCTCAGGACCTCATGTTCGTTCCTAACAACAGAGCAGTTACACCGTAAGCCCCTGGATGTCCAATGGGACCTTGAAAGACTACGTTAATCAACACCCCGAAGTTGACCATCGATATATGGTATGTACCCTACTTTTCATCAAGGAGAACAGCGTTTTGACCTGATTGCGTAGTTGAAAGGCATTGTCGAGGGCATCAAATTATTGCACAGCATGTCTGTTGTTCACGGTGACATCAAAGGGGTGAGTCATGGTGACAATCACCAATCATAGGATCTTTACTTCATCGTAGGTCAACATCGCCATCAGCCCAGATGGCAGGCCACTGCTTTCCAACTTCGGATTCACAAGGGTAACGTGCCTTCTCGTGTCGATCACTGCGCTCTGACTCATCCGAGCAATATAGCTCGAGGAGGAGGTTATGAGCTACTTCGACGTCAGCAATGGCAGCACTCTTAATCAGGAGTCTCTGAGATGGTGTCCTGCTGAGCTGTGCAGGAGCGGAGGCAAACGTACAATGGCGTCCGACGTCTATGCCTTCAGTATGACCGTGCTCGAGGTACTTCTATCACGTTTGGTTGATCAGCCATATTTTGAACCACCTTCGCAGCTTATGACTCATGAAGAACCTTGGGCGTCGGTTCGCCTCGCAACTCAAGTCATCCTCAAGGTTTGTCTGGGCGAAACTCCACCTCGACCCACGAATCCAGTCGCTGTAGAACGAGGCTTGGATGACGCGCTTTGGGCTCTGTTGGAGAAGTGTTGGTGTACGGACATGCACGATAGACTCACTATGCAAGAGATCGCGAGTTACTTGTAATGTCAGGTTTCTAATGTTTGTCTCTATAGTGGGTGACTTCCCGTGGACCTAAATAATCCTGAATAGAATATCATTTCACGTATTAGGAAGGTGTGCCGCGATGCCGGGTGTCATTTCATCACCGTTTGAAATTCAACGAGGGTCTGCCCCCCCCCCCCCCAATAAACCTTAAATCTGTAGGGGGGGGTACCCCCCCCCCCCCTACAGATTATTCTGACGCGGAATAAACCATACTTACCTTTTTAGGACCACTTACACCAGCGATATCCGCTGACATAATCATACCGCGCCGTATGTGCGCAGACTCTGTTGTCTGGCGCCGTTCGATACTACTACCGTTCCTGCACTCCAAACATCCCTCATAATGTCTCGACATCAAGCCCCATTGTTGTGATAAATGCACGATTGTTCTGGGTGGCAAACAGGACCTGCCATGGGGTATCTTTCCGTGGGTTTGGAAGGAGCTGCGGACGGCAGAGATATAGACGTCGTGGCTGCCGATTTTCGATACGATCTTGGCGCGCGAGCTCAACACCAACTAGGATGGTGGCAGCAATAGCCAGCGCAGCTTCTTTGTCGTCATCTTCTTGCTGTTGCAACTCTGCTCCGTTCTTTAGAGATTGAATTATCAAGTCATCTGAATCCATAGTGGTGGATGCAGTCAATATTCCGTATTATCTATTGGTCTGCGGTTTAGTATTTTTTACAGATTATCCTACAGACTCATTTTCAAATTTGTTTTCGAGCTCCGGTTTATGATAATCCAGATTATTTAGCCCACGGGAAGTCACCCAGTAGCCTGTAGGCGTATCTTCACATGTAATAATAGCAAACCGTCACGTAATTTTCTACTTCCACGGTGCAATAACGTGTTGCACTGAGGGCGAGGCCATCGTAGACACAGCCTGGGCTGGTGATGTCGAAGAATCGCATATTCTGTAATTAGCCGCGATTTCTCTTTTTCCGCGGCCTGCTTTCTTCGGAGTGATCATGCGCAGTGTGTACGGAAGCCGATGACTGTTTGCCATTGAGAGCCTTCACTGCTTTCTCTACAGCCTGTTGTCTGACTTTCTCTGGAACTTTCTCCCAATAGACTTCCTCCTTTTTGCCTTCGATGATCTCCGTCGCGATGGCCTTCTGGGATACTTCAGGAGTCTTGCCTATGTCATCAAGACCGTGGGACTGCACGACGGGGTGACTAGAGAAGCGGTCGACTAAAACACGTCCGTGCTCAGGCGAGGCAAGCCGAAGATAGCACTAACGATGCTGTGAGGGTGTGATACTCATAAAAGATCCAAGACTTACGGAGTCCATTCCTTTGTTGAAATCGACGTAGTCGATACCGACGGGATCTACAAGAGACGACTCGAATGCGGTAGCAAATAGCGCTCGAAGAGTAGTCTTATTTGTTTCGAGATGCAAATTTCGGGCAAAGACGAGACAGCCGAAGGGGTACGGTGAATACATAGTTGTCATGTTCCTAGGCGGAGCAGGGGTGTCCTCCAAAATGTCGTCAACGACGTCTCGTACATCAGAGTCGGGTGAGATATCTGGTTCGTTGGCATCCGCTAGCTCGCTAATCAATTTCTGGCGGTAAGCAAGATACTCCTCGTTCAATTGATCCCAGCGCGCTTTTGGTAAAGTGCGAAACCCAAACTTGGAGGCTTCCTTTGTCTCCAAGTTACCTTCAGCGAGATCAAAGTCGTCTGATTCGGGTTCGAATAACCGCGTCCAAGGCCACGATTCAAGAAACATCTGACACAACTCTGCATTACTTAGTGTAACGAGAGCGAAGCCTTTACATTTTGGACGGTCCTCAGCTTTATCCAAGTGGTGCGGAGGAAGTGTGACATTTTGGATTGGAACCAGACAATTTGAATGAGACAGTAAGCCTTGCGCAAATCGGATGATACCAGGTATTGTGTGATATTGTGCGGGGATGTTTTCCTACGATCGTCAGATTATGGTCCGATGCCAAAGAGATGTACCTACCATGTAAATAGTACGGTCATCCCACTGACCCCGAGTGAATTCACGAGTCGCGTTATCCAATAATGTTGTCCAATCCTTCCTGCGTACTTCATAACCACCAACTGAACTCCTCTCTGATTTCCAGGAAGGGTACCACGCAGATGCAGACGGAGCGGACACAAGCATTCTAACCTCCAGCACGTCGCCAACGTAGGTCCGAATCGCCTTTACTGCGTTTGCTTCAGTCGGCATATAATCTTGACCCAAGCTCTCTCTACCAAAAGCGCGACGCATCAGGTAGCTGAGAGGTAAAACTGCGTGGATACATAAACCCTGCCTGATACGCGTACGAAAAAACGGAAACATACATCCAGCATCTTGCTCCTCGCCCTGAAAAGACTCTTCGGTTTTCCTCCTCAGATCCGAGTCAAGCCAAAGAGCATAGTCCGAAAATGCGAGAACGATAAGGATGGATATATCCTTCTCATTGTAGACTGGTTTCACTGGCGGTTCAGAAACTTTCTGTTTTCCTTTGTCGCTTCCGGACGGTCCTGGGTACGCTGATTTTCTTTCGATGGCGAGTGTCGGTTTCAAACTATGTGACGACTCTGACGAGGGTACATGAGCGGAAGTGCCTTGCTGTTTCCCACCCTTGGAAATATTTCGGGGGACAAATGCAAAACTTGGAGATGTCATCTGGTTCGTTGGGCGTTCGGCACAGTCGACTCTCGAGGTGGGAGTAAATCAGAAGTTCCTCATTGGACTTACGCCAGGGCCTATAGCTTTACACCTCGTCAATATTGTTCGGAACTTGCCTGATCCAATCTCAGCTCTCTTACGTCCCGTTAATGCTGGTAGCAAAGTCAGAAGTAGTTACATAAAACTTGATAAAAGGTGAATCCATATGTTTAGCAATTAGTAGCTGCTCGCCTCAGAACGTGAGCTGAAGGGGAGATGCCGATTCTAATACGTAGTACCGTGAGTCCGTGACCAGTACTATGAGTCGCGACTCGCACACACTGGCACAACGCTGCGCTCAGCTGTAGTAGTCAGTGGCACGAAACGCCCATCATATCCTGATATTAAATTATATGGCATTCCACGCCTGAATCGGCCTTGGCGTTGTTCCTGTGTAGGCAGAGGTCCACGGAACTAGTCTTAGATAGCTCTGTCAGGGGATACACCGGCATACGTTCGTGTCATAGTGATGCCATCAAACAAGACAACTGTATCAGACCCGTGATGCGATTCTGATTGAGCGGCCGTTCCTGTGCTCCTGTGATACAGTTAGAACTGAAAGCTATTTGCCATTTCGTGTGTGCATGCTACATCTGGCGTTTAGAGGGTCAAGCAAGCGGTGCTCTCACTGGGCCACCCTATGTACAAGGTCTCCACAACAACACGATCGTGCGAAAGAGCCAAACAGATTAGTAAGTAATATTAATTACAGCTTTTCGCCTTCTGACTTACTCCGAGTTCTCGTTGTAGCAACTGACTCATCAGCGGATTGCGCTACAGAATGCTACAGAGTGCTCTGTAGCACTCTGTAGTGAATTACGTTTTCCTGATGGCCCGAAATACATACTATGTGCATTGTGCAATACCGTACATTGGGACCAGTGGTATAACTCTGGGTCCCAGATTTCGAAACGTTTGGCTTTCTTGTGGTTTAGTTTGATCACAACATGTGCCGGAGGGTATTCCAACTTCACAGTAGCCTTTGTAAGTGAAAAATCTGACTCCCGTCCTTACCACTAATGCTCTTCCCTCATTTGCAATGTCCAGATCTGTTTCGACGTTGAAGGTTGCCTTAACCTTCATGCCAACTGCAATCTCTATCACGTTCGATAGTGATCGCTCGTTCCAAGTAGCTTGAAATCCCTTGGGACTTGAGAATTTGTAGTAAGTACGAGGGAACGGAGCAACTCGATATGCTGACGACCACGGCTACCATACTGGATGTGACGAACGAGGTCATTCCAATGTGGATCAGTGGCACGTACTTGTTCCTTTAGACAGACAACCGTTGTGAATTGTTCATATATCTTTAGAAGCATCCAATCCGTCCAAACAATGCAATCTTGGCGCTGGTCCTTCATCAGACATGCCTTTTAAAGCAAAGGACCGAGCTCACGTATCTTCCGAAAATACAATTTTAGAACGAAGCTATGCAACGATTGATCGCAATCATTTATCAGGCCTTCAGGCCTAGGTCAGGAACCGTCTGAATGTGCTGCAACAGTTGTACTAGCATTATGTTGTATTTGGATAGCGAAGTTGGCGCAGCTTTTCTTGATCATGGACACTCTCAAATGTAATTTACTTCTGAGCGCTGACGGACGATTAATGTACCACATGCCTTCCATGCCTTCCTCCGAAGATGTGTCGATAAGGACACAACACTTGTGGAACAAGGTTGCCGCCGGCGAAGCTTGGCAGTTAGTGTTGTCGGGACATTAATTCTTGAAGGGGTAAAAATATGGATGTGTTTCTGATGCTTTTTTTCTGTATCCCTATGGACCTTGTATTGGGACGTAGATAGACAAAAAGCGTTCTATCGTGTACATAGCCTAGACAAATACTTCTATAGGTGGATTCCGTGACAGGAATGTGCTAAGGAGGAGTATGAGATTCGACCGAAAATGGCCATGTTTCAGTGACAAAGTTCTTTAAATGGCCTGCTGCGATGTTAATATATTGGCTGTACTGCAGCGATGATGCATTCCTGCAGTACTAGTTGCAGCAAAATCTTACATCAATATGACACGGTCGCCTGCAATACAAACCCATATTATTTAGTCTTGGCGCTATGTGCGCCCACTTGCACTGGCGATTTCGAGGGTCAAGGCAACATCTCTTTCTAAATTTAATTCAAATGAACAGTGGCATCACTTTCGGTCTCTTTTTATAATATATATCCCATTTTATTTTACAATATCTGGGCCTACAGATAGTGGCAGGCGGATAGAAAGAAGTCAGTCGTTTCTCCTGTAAAAGCGGGGCCGCGGGCGGCCATCAGAGAACCGGTGAGAAGAAGACATTACGACATATTTTCGTCACGTTGGAATAAAGCAATAGTATATGACCATGTAAATGCATCGCAATCAGCATAATCGCCAGCAAGAACTCACCGGTCTACTGATATTTGAAAGAGGCGAGGGAAACTGGGTGCCGGGAAAAGTCAAATAAAAACATACAGTGCTTTTTCTTGGATCTATCATTTTCTTCGGACAGGCCTAAGGCCAACAGAGACAGGCCAATCATCGAAAAGGAGACAATATATATCAAGTAGATCCCCAATTGGGTTTGCTTTGTTATTCGTGTAGGCGCGGTGAATCAAAAGGCTTCGCAGGAGCTGTGCAATGTCTTCGGGGTGGTACATATAAAATCGGAGAAATTCTAGCAGTACTGCACCAAAAGCAAAACCCAAGTGTTCCACAATGTCTATCAAATTACCACTTAGCAAGGCGTCCTTCACCCTTGATACCTCTGGTGTCATGGGATTTTTCGGCGGAGAAGAGGCGATCTCTGCGATGTCCACTGTCCATCTCTACCAGGGCAGGCATTTACTCGGATGGTACAACTCTCCTAGAAGCTATACTGTCGCCAAGAAATTTGGCCAGTTGGCGAAATCTCGACTCTGGGACGGCATCTTTCCAGGACCGAATCCAACGCCTGAAGAAATGTTCGGCCTGGATGGGAAGGAGGGACCTCGCTTTATCGGGGCGTTATCGGGCACAGATATGACGACCACAGGACATCTCGCATACCTTATAACCCAAAAGGCAAAAGAGACCAAGGCGAAGACTGATTCCGGAGGAAGAATCACTATACCGGGGTCGGTGAGCATCATAGACGTCGACAATGCGGAATGGCAGCAGGGAGGTAACGTGCCAAGAATGAACGTCTTCCATGCCCTGTATGCTGCTATACCTATCGCCAGCAGTCTGGCAGCGTGCCTCGCTTGTGCATATGTTCTGGATTGGCTCGCATTCTGGCTGATCATTCTAGGCATGGTCTCGAGTGGCCTGTCTTGCCTTGTCATCGGTTCAGGGAGGCTGCATTTCAAGCTTGTCAAACCTTCATCATATGCGCCGCGGGGAGACGGATTTCTTTTGATGCGCAATGATATTGTCATCTTGAAGGGCGCAGAGAAACAGGTGGCGTCGATAACCAAGGGCAAACTCGTGCTGGACATGGGTTGTATTCACGATGAAGAGTTCAACGCCATCGGGATCTGCTCCCTGCTACTCCTGTCACAGTTTCTCATTCAACTTCTCCTCGTTCCTCAAGCAACACTATTCGGCCAGATTATGTTCCTGTTGTCGCTTGCAGTGTCTTGGGCGTACAATTCGTTTCTGTCGTCACTGGAGAAAGAGAAGATTCAGACGGATATACTGTGGAAATCACTAGATGAACCACCAATCACGAAATTTGCGCTCCCCAACAGGACATCGGAAGCGGCGTGCGTATGCTTCATCTTGCACGCAGGCGTCGACAAGTCGAGGAAACCGTCTAAAATTTTTAAGCCGAAGAAAATTCTGGAGTACATGATCCCCAATGATACAAGGGTTTGGAAGGCATGGAGGCAACAGGTGACGGAGCAGGTGTTGAGAGAAGACAAAATCAAATGTTTTAGGCCATATGGAGAAAACGTAGCGGCCTTGGACGATGAAGAACGGGAACTCCTGGGGCAATTACTGGCAGACGCCGAGTACGGTTATAGATGTTACCAAAAATATTATATAGGACTCGGAACCAGTGGCTCGAGTCTTGACACCCTAGCATAGATAAAACGTAGTACGAAAAGGAGTGCTTGGAGGCCATCGACAGAAAGGGTATCATTTGTTGAATTACACCTGGGGGAAACGATACAAATCGTCAGTAACTTACTTAAATTAGAGCTAGGGATGGCAAATAGCAAAATACTACATGATATCGAGCGCTCCGATTGCAAATTACAACCGTCATCCAGCCTCTATAAGGGTCAATTGCTGGCGGTTACTGCTGCTGAAGCAGAAACACAGCACAACTAGTAACCTCAGGCTGTTGGGAGTGCTTGGGTCGTCTTTGCGCAGGAATTAAGGAATGAGAATTCGGATTAGCAGTACGCACCATCATAATCTGGCATTCGTCTACTGCAGAAATAATATACGTTGCCTGACCGATGCGGATAGAAAAGGGCGGATCCTTTCAGTATTAGTGTCAGATCCGCAGCCTGCTAACGCTGCACTTGAGGGATTTCAAACACCTTCAGCGGCGCTCATGGTAGTCCCGAAATGAGTGATCCTTACCATCCAGCTGAATATTCCAACACCCACTCTTCAGAACTCGAGTGACCATGCGATTGCAGGGCCACAAGATCGTCTAGCACGAAAACCTTGGTCAGAACGCCTCGTTTGTAGATTAGCACTCAGTGCTGAAACGGATGTAAGCACTGTGACAGATGCATCCGAAGGTACCCGTGGACATCACAAGGTCATCATGATGGTCTCGTCCTACCCTAGTGAGACATTCATGGGATGATAGGACTCGAATAGCTGATCTCAGCATCTTCTCGAGTCGACACTGACGTATAGGTAAATGCCAGCGGGCGTACACCAGGAGGGGACATTCATATGTTTTGCGCTGGTGACTGTAGACCTGAGTCGAGCATAGTAAGGATACCGAAATGGGTATGAAGGTGATATCGCGAAACCAACAACAGAGACAAGCCCAAACTCCCTTGGACAAGATTCAGACCGCGAACAAAAAAGACACATCAAAAGTGCCCCTTGCTTTGGAATTCCACGAGGTGCAGCGTGATGTAAGTAGTGTTTCAAAACGTTGAGTCGTTGATGTCGGTGGCAGTTGCGTCACATGAGCAACACGGTCACGGGAGTTGTACTGAAATAGAAAATTGAATTGGCATCTTCTAACCTTGTCCGAGGATGACGCGGAAAGGTGGCCACGAACTCAAGGAACCACGAGTCGATGTCCATCTATTTGGTGATTCCCTGTACATCTCTCCCTCATCGAAGCCCATGCATGTCCTCGGTCAAAATGACATTAATATATTCCCCTCACCTTCAAGCCGGCAGCGGTCACAGCTTCCTGAACATTCGTCAATTGCCCTTCACCGCATAAGCATACAATTGGTTGCATCCTTGCTTTTCAAGTTGACAATCTTTTCTCAGTTCTCTGTCCAGGCAAGATCATCCCTCCCCCATGGCACTATCGGCTCAATCGGATGAGTCGTATAGAATCATTCGGTTCTTCTTAGCGTGCCGTTTTCAGTGGTCTTCACATTGTGCGCATTACTATACGAAATACACTCGATTCTACATTTGGCCTCGGTGTGCTGACTGAGTAGTACCATACAAGTCCAATCACTCTAAGATTCGCCCCCTTCGACCTCGGCTGGCCACTTTCGCTGAAGACCGGTCACGACGTTGTCTACATTAAATTCTTCCGCTAATCCTGGTCGTGATCTCCATTACCAGCGCTTAGTGTAATCATACCAGGGTCTATATCGTACGAGCAGCCCCCAACAGCATGGTAATACACGTGTAGTATGAACTGAACCCTCAACCTCTCTCTCAGCTGAACTCTATCCAGTCCCCATATCCTTACCCCCGTCTTCCCTTCTCACAGATTCCGTCCATAACTCCATCGCACCATCATGCCTGATAGCTCAGAAAGCCGATATATCAGGCTTGAAGGCGAGTTCCTCCTGCCTTCGCATCTGTTTTATCATCCTCACACTCTATCTACAGTCATCAACGGAAAGAATATTCGAGTTCCTTCCAAGCACATGGCATCCTATGAGCTTAGTCGAATGCTAGGCGGTGGTGAGGTTGTTGGAGGCCTTCAAATGTCATGGAATGAGCTACTCGATGATGGAGATGAGCCATTTGGTGAGTGGTTCGCTTCTCGTTCATCCGCATACACTAACGTCTCGTAGACTTATCCTTCCCACCCGTGCGCGGTGTCCACCCTTCCCTCAAGCTGAAGGCCGCCATTGTACATGCTTGCAACTATCAGGACGACGCACTGTTCGATGTGAGTGACGCTGGTATCTGTTCTGTTGGCTTTTGCTGACAGAACGCAAACTGCAGTCCCTCTTAGACTGCGAGATTGCTCGAGACACAGATGCTGGCCACGTACAATTTCCCGCATACGTGACGAGCAAGACAGTCTCTCACCTGAACGACGCTGTAGAGCATTTTCAGTTGGTTCTGGACCAGTGTCCGGTCAGCCATCCAGACCATGCAACGGCTCTCACCAACCTTGCGTGGGCCCGCCTCAAAGGCTACATCCGAAATGATCTTCAAGACATCGATGCCACCACTTCCCTCTTCCGCGACGCCCTTACATTGCGTCCGCAGCCCCATCCATACCATCCATTATCTCTATATAATCTCACCGAAGCGCTGACTTGGCGCCACAACAAGAAAAGTACTGCTGCCGACATCTGCGAAGCCGCCCAACTCTATCATGAACTACTGCCCCTCTGTCCAGAGGGCACCTACCTTCGTAGCATCGCAGCAGGGAAAAATGGTGTTGATTATGTGATCAGTGGATGCAACAATCTTCCAACAGACGCATCCGATGAAGGCATCCATCTTCGAAGAGTCGTCCTCGAGCTCTGTCCTCTGGGCCATCAACTCCGTCCCAGAGCCCTCGGCATGCTTGCATACGCAGTCGAAGGACATTTTAATCAGCACGGCAACATCGATGATCTTGACACGAGCATACAGCTTTGTCGTGAAGCCGTGTCTCTGTGCCCTGAGGGACATACTGTCCATGCTGCCTACCTGGACAACTTGACCGTCTCACTCGTGGGCACAGATATCACGATTCCTCCTTAAACGACCCCCATCGCCTGTTTCGACAAACGCGGCAACATTGATGACATCACCCGAGCTATCAGCCTCTATCGCGAGGCACTGACGTTGCACCCACCTGGGCATCCACATCATGACACCACGCTTAACAACCTTGCCCTCGCGCTCAATACCAGAGACGAATCGCATGTTAGCGAGGATCTTAGCGAGGCCATTGATTCGCATCGCGAATCCCTTCGGTTAAAGCGGCTTGACCATCCAGGGCGCCATGCAACTCTTATCAATCTGAGCTCGGCGCTTTGCTCTCGTTTCACGCAAACTCAGAAGAATGAAGATGTCAAGGAGGCCATCACTCTCTGCAAATAATCATTAAAGGCTTTGTATTCACTACAGCCAGACAAATACTACTCATATTCCAGGCTACAGGAAGCCTCGTTACCAGATTCTACACAACCCTGCTGATTTGTCGCTCGCTATAAAGAACTTCAGATTTACATTTTGACAGCCACGTGATGACACAATCATCTCAAACTAAAACGCCGCTCTCGAATCTGGTTGTGTCCCACTACAGCTTTCACGTCCATTCCTCTTCATGCAGCTCATCCATTTCAAACAAAGGCAGATCGGTCTGGGAAGGAGCCATGCCTGGAGGATCTCTACATCTGCTCTTACACGCCGACACTTTCTGCTCTGTTCAGGTCTAGACAGTCGATGAAGAAGCGCATGCCTCCGTCCTTTGTGGCGACCGGACAGGGTCAAACGGGTGCACGGAAAGGCAAGGCACTCTTGGCTGTCGGACAGCGAGCTCGAGCTTGTCCATAAGCTCGTCCCTGCAATGGTCAACCGCACCACTATTTCTGGCGGCGCAGCCACACGAGCAGGTGCACTCGAAGTTTTGCAGCAGAACACCTGGGTGCACCTTGCTTGTCATGGCAAGCAGGACCTCAAACAGCCTTACAATTCGCATTTTGTTATGAGAGACGAACATTTGACGTTGCTCGATATCATGGAGAAACATATTCCGCAGGCCGAGTTCGCGTTCTTATCGGCTTGTCACACTGCTGTAGGACACCCGACGAAGTGATCCACCTCGCAGTTGGTATTCAGTTTTCAGGGTTCAAGAGCGTCGTTGGCACGCTGTGGGAGGTCCACGATCCTGTCGCGAAACACGTCGAAGCTTTTTACAGGTATATATTTGGAGATTTGAAGGATGGTGGTGTCGTGGACTGTACGAAGGCAGCCTGGGCATTCAACTGTACTACGCACGCCGTGAAGACGAAAATGCCGCTCGAGCAGAGGATAGTTTTTGCTCATATTGATATTGGTGTGTAGTTCTACCTCGTATTGCTGTCGTCTGGTACATATTTACATGCCCATCACACATCCTGATATCAAACTGCATGACATTCCACGCCTGAATCGGCCTTGGCGTTGTTCCTGTATATGATAGTAATTGGAGAGGCCACGGGGACTAGAGGCCAAAAACAGATGCACAGGTTCGTGCCATAGATAGTGATGCATCAAACAGGACAACTGTATCGCACCCGGGATGTGATTCTGAATGAGCGGCCGGTCCTGTGCTCCTGTGATACAGTTAGAACTGAAAGCTATTTGCGAGCATGCCACATCTAGCGCTGAGAGGGTCAAGCAAGCGGTGGAGTAGGCTCACATACATATATGTGTGTCAGGACATTAAGGGTAAAAATACAGATGTTATATGTACAACTCTCTGAGCTCTGGAGCTTGTATTGGGACGTAAACAGACAAAATGTTTGTTCTATCGTAACATTATGTACATAGCATAGACAAATACTTATACTTATCGAAAGGACATAGGTGGGTGGCGGACAGGAATGTCACGGTGCTGAGGAGGAGTGTGGGAAATGTTGAGATCCGACGTTCTTTGCACTCTGGTGGGCCTGCCGCGGCTAATGATGCATGATGTATTGGCTGTACTACTAGGCAGCGATCATGATGCATCCCTGCAGTCGCAGCAAAACCTTGCATCGATCTGACATGGTCGCCTACCCATATTTAGTCTTGGCGCTCTGGGCGCCCACTTGTACTGGCGATTTCGCCAGGTCAAGGCAACATCTCTACAAATTCAATCCAAATGAACAGCAGCGTCACCGCCCTACTTCATCTGTTGATATCTTCTTGTCATATTTTGGTTTGTTTTGCAATATCTGAGCCTATAGCTACGGATAGAAAGAATAAGAATTCAGTCGTTTCTTCTGTAAAAGAGACGAGGGAAACGGGGTGCCGGAAAAGTAAAAGAAAAGCATACACTGCTTTCTCCAGGATCAGTTTCTTCGGACAGGCCTAAGGCCAATGAGGCCGAGCAATCATTGAAAGGTTGACAAACGTATATATATAGATTTCCGATTGGGTTCGCTTTGTTATTCGTTAGTCGCAGGCCCGGTTAATTTTAAAGGTATCACCAGGAGCTGTGCAGTGCCTTTGGGTGTGGTACATATAAGATTGGAGAAATTCTAGGTGATACAGTACACCAAAAACAACACCCAAGTGTTCCAATGTCTATCAAATTACCACTTAGCAAGGCGTCCTTCACCCTTGATACCTCTGGTGTCATGGGATTCTTCGGCGGAGAAGAAGCAATCTCTGCGATGTCCACTGTCCATCTCTACCAGGGCAGGCATTTACTCGGATGGTACAACTCTCCTGGAAGCTATACTGTCGCCAAGAAATTTGGCCAGTTGGCGAAATCTCGACTCTGGGACGGCATCTTTCCAGGACCGAATCCAACGCCTGAAGAAATGTTTGGCCTGGATGGGAAGGATGGACCTCGCTTTATCGGGGCATTCTCGGGCACAGATATGACGACCACAGGACACCTCGCATACCTCATAGCCCAAAAGGCAAAAGAGACCAAGGCAAAGACCGATTCCGGAGGAAGAATCACTATACCGGGGTCGGTGAGCATCATAGACGTTGACAACGCGGAATGGCAGCAGGGAGGCAACGTACCAAGGATGAAAGGTTTTCATGCCCTGTTTGCTGCCATACCCATCACCAGCAGTCTGGCAGCGTGCCTCGCTTGTGCATATGTTCTTGATTGGCTCGCATTCGGGCTGATCATTCTAGGCATGGTCTCGAGTGGCCTGTCTTGCCTTGTCATCGGTTCAGGGAGGCTGCATTTCAAGCCTGTCAAACCTTCGTCATATGCACCGCGGGGAGATGGATTTCTTATGATGCGCAATGATATTGTCATTTTGAAGGGCGCAGAGAAACAGGTGGCGTCGATAACCAAGGGCAAACTCGTGCTGGACATGGGTAATCATCATGGCGAAGAGTTCAACGCCGTCGGGATCTGCTCCCTGCTACTCCTGTCACAGTTTCTTATTCAACTTCTCCTCGTTCCTCGAGCAACACTATTCGGCCAGATTATGTTCCTGTCGTCGCTTGCAGTGTCTTGGGCGTACAATTCGTTTCTGTCGTCACTGGAGAAAGAGAAGATTCAGACCGATATACTGTGGAAATCACTAGATGAACCACCAATCACGAAATTTGTGCTCCCCAACAGGACATCGGAAGCGGCGTGCGCATGCTTCATCTTGCACGCAGGCGTCGACAAGTCGAGGAAATCATCCACAGATTTCAAGCCGAAGAAAATTCTGGAGTGCATGATCCCCAATGATACAAGAGTTTGGGAGGCATGGAGGAAACATGTGGCGGAGCAGGTGTTGGGTGAACAGAAAATCAAACATTTTAGTCCGATTGGAGAGCTCGTAGCGGACTTGGACGCTGAAGAACAGAAGCTCCTGGGGCAATTACTGGCAGACGCCGAGTACGGTTATGAATGTTACCAAAAATATTACGTAGGGATCAGTGGCTTGATACCCTAGTCTAGAGAAAACGTAGTACGAGAAGGAGTGCTTGGAGGCCATCGACAGAAAGGGTGTCATTTGCTGAATCACACCTGGAGGAAACGATACAAATTGTCAGTAACTTAATTAAAGTAGAGTTAATAGGGATGACAAAAAGCATAATACTACTTAATATTGAGCGCTCCGATTGCAAATTACAACCGTCATTTAGCCTCTGCAAGGGTCAATTGCTGGCGGTTACTGCGACTAAAGCAGAAACACAGCACAACTAGTAACCTCAGGCTGTTGGGAGTGCTTGGTTCGTCTTTGCGCAGGAACTAAGGAATACGAATTCGGATAGCAGCACGCACCATCATGATTTGGCTTTCGTCTACTCCGGTGCCCGACCGATGCGGATAGAAAATGGCGGATCCTCTCAGTACTAGTGTTAGATCCGCGGCCTGCCAACGCTGCACATGAGGGATTTCAAACACCTTCAGCGGCGCTCGTGGTAGTCCAGAAACGAGTGGTATTGCATGCACAGCCACCTGCAAACCAAATTTCGAGTGTCTTATTATGTAATCACCGAGACCTTCCTTCCAATGTCAGACGACTTCAATTCAGATGTTCTCTAATCTCTCCTACTAGTAGACTAATCGAAGAAAGATAGGCATTTAACATCTCTCCCCGCAAAGATGATGGACGATTAAGGTTCCAAGCTTTCTCAGGGAACAAAGCTTGATCTAGAAGTCAGCGCTGGGATGCGGCTACCGACTTAGAGGCCCTTGTGACCATCAAGCTTGTGATAAGCCTCCATATAAGGTATGCCTAACCAAAAATACTCCAGCATGCACATGTACATAATATGGAGAACGTATCTGACCTCAGTCACGCCTGTCCTAATTAGAGCTTTGATGGGCCTCCCTGGGCCTCAGGCCTCAAGTGTGGCAATACTTACCTCGTTGGCTCAAGCATGGATCCGAAATGACAGTAATCTCTGGTAGTCGGACATGTGTGGGAGCAGCTCAAGAGTGGTCTACTTTCCGGGGAGTTGAAATTTCTCCCCAACGTAATATCTGGTACAAAATCACATATCTTTCATCTCCACTTTTCACAGCCTAGCCGTAATACCAACCTTCCCTCCAGTTTCACAGCGCTTCTTTGCTTGACCTGATATATCGGGTCTGGTCATGTCTACGTCACCTCCATCCCTGCCCAGCGCCCTCCACAATGAGGTAGTACAGGCTGAGGACATCCAGTCAGAAGAATCGTCCGACAAGGACTCGAACCAGATTGCTATTTTATCCATCAGCAATGATGAACCGCTCGTGACGAGAAGGGAGTTGTGGAGCTATTATCGTGAGTGGTACACATGTATCGTCCCTTATCATTCTCCGACAAAGCTCAACGCCAGTATACTGTAATGGTGACAATGTGAGTCGGTCGAATATTATGGGGCCCGCTCTGCTTATATATGCTTCACACAATCAGGGTGTCGGTCCTCTGGGCTATACACAAACTCTGTTCCAGGGGCTTGCCACAGCAGCGGGATATGATCCCGTCGCAGGCCCCGGCTCGTCATGCCTTGCAACAACTGCTTCTGGTCAATGCGTGGTTCCCTGGGGTGGCGGCACAAAGTCGGTTTCTAGTGTGGTGCTGATCGCGAATGGCATCAGTTTCGCCATAATGACAGCCATATTCACTACCATCGGTTCTGCCGCTGACTACGGCACGTTCGGACGGTGGTTACTGTTTGCTGTCACAGTGGTATGCTGGGCTGCACAGTATGCATGTATGGCGCTTACCAGTGCGTTTCCGGGCATCTTGTGTTTCCCGCGATGTCTGATCGTTTTGTGCAGCGCCGAACCGATGGGTCCTTGCGATGGTTCTTTACATCCTCGGTTTCGTATCATACGGCGCAACTCTGGTTTTCTTTTCCGCTCTATTCCCTCGCCTCGCGCGTAATACCCCACATGCACGCCAATTGAGAGAGAAGTACGAAAACGGCGAGATTTCTCCTGAAGTTTACGAGCAAGAGGAATCTCTGGAAAAGAATAGGATCAGTAATATTTCTACCGTGCGCTGTAGGGGCTGTGTCTTTTGTCGTCGGAAGCTAACGATCGTTCGATATAGGCTCATAGTAATGTCGGGTATGTAGTTACCTTATTACTAAACTTAACGCTTTTGTTGCCGATGACGAACAACCCGAAGGTGGACAATTATGTCCTCGTGCTGTAAGCTTCTTTTCAATCAAATATTTGAGGTGCTGTATTGATTGACGTGTAGTGTCACCACGTACTGGGTGGTGCTTGGTATCTGGTGGTGTGAGTATATTGTAGCTCGTCTTTAGTAGGCTTCTTACTGAAAACTCTCGAGTCATCCTCCAGGAGCCCAGGCCAGGCCCTAATTTACCTGCAGGCGAACACTACACGACGATTGGGTGGAAGCAGGTGAGTATTTGGTAAAACATTCCTGAGAAATCGACTCACACGAACATCAGATCTGGGCTGCGCTGAAAACATACAAGCATCTTCCCTACACCTTTGTGTATCTGTTCTCTTTCTTCCTTCTCGCAGATGTTTGTTTGGTTGTCTGTCTCTTGAGCGATGCCTGACATCTTGGACAGGGACTGAATACCACCGGAACTCTCGTTAGCATTTGCCAGAACAACAAGTTCAGTTTCTCGTTCCTGCAAAACACCTACTTGGGCTTGTCACAGGCGATTACCTCGACTATCAGTACTCTCGCCTTCTGGTACATCCAGAGATATTGGAAGATCAGCACGAAGAAGATGGTGTGTGGCGTTAGTGTTGCACGTACTCGTTTATCTGACTGTCAACGGTACAGTTTGTGGTGACTAATGTTGTTACTATTTTGATTCCGCTGTGGGGTATGATTGGAATATGGACAGAAAAACTTGGGTCGGTATTATTCGACTTGTTTCTTCTATCCATCGTCCCTCTAACATGTACATCAGATTCCATAATGTCTGGGAGTTCTGGTTCGTGAAGAATCCACCTTTTCTATCTTGTTTTCATATCCTTCTCAGGGCATACAACATTGTGTTCGGCCTTTTCCAGGCGCCCTACTACGCGTTCTCCCAAACAATGATGGCCGAGCTTAGTCCACCCGGTTTTGATAACATGGTGTGTACTTTACCTTTGTTGTGCTTCACATCACATTGCGTTCGGCTTACATTGGCCAGTTCTTCGGTCTCTTCGGTCTGTCCAACCGCGCTTCTTCTATGGTAGGACCCAATGTCATACAGGCCATCATCGAGAAGACGGGGAACAACTGGCAGGGGTTCCCGTTCCTCTTTGCTTTGTGCACGGCTGCATCGCTGGTGATCTGGTTCGGGGTTGATGTCACGAAGGGGCGTAGGGATGCTGTGAAGTGGGCGGCTGAGCAGCGCAGCCACACACACTAGAACGATTTATATATATGCTCTTTGGGTGGCTTCAGGCATTTCTGATATATCCATCATGTCAGGACACAACATCCAACATCCATCTATCAAGGAAACAACAGTGGCCAAGGTGCAGATAGAAGAGGTAGAATTGTGTCATATCCACCACAGTTCAATTCACTTCAAAGGAGCCTGGAGGCCGTCTGATCGTCTTTCTGACGTTGCTGCAGTTTCGCGTGGTACCCAGTGTTCGGATTCGGTGTACGGCTCAGTACTTAACAGCGACTTCGGGTGTTAATGTTTTCAAACTGGCCTGATAATTTGGGCTATGTCGGTTTATACTTTTGAACGTCCAGTTTCTATATCTCTCCCTGAAAGGATGACGAACGATGACTAGTCACTCTCGGCTTGATAGGAAACAAAACCGGTTTTATAATAATACCGTACAAAGTTGCCAAGTTTGTTTCATATTTGTTCCACCACAAGTTGCAAGCTGCAAGTCTCCAGCGACGCCAGCTACCACCTTGAACTTCGGTCCGGAATCTATCTCGTTTGACAACATCCGAGTCAATGCTGAGTTCGTTCGACTAGAAGACATTTGTAATGGGGAAAGAACGATGCGCCGAGAATTTGCCTTGGACTGGGATGTAAATGGTCCAGGGACAGAAGTATTAGAAGAGAGTGTATTCAACTTTGCGAAACCACCGCGCGGTTGACGAGGGACTGTCGACTAGTGCCAGCAGTCACCGAACCACAATGCAAAGACTTGGATTCCGATGCAAATTCTGCCACCTGGCAGAACATGGTTCTGCCGAGAAATTTTGCCAGTTTTGCCGGCAGAACTGCTTCAAAATAGCTGCCCCACAACACTAGCTCAGCCTTTGCCCCATAAGGTACGCGCGCAACCATTAGTAAATGCGAAAGAGAAGTTTGGAGCACACATGGCCAATCACGCATCTTTGTTCGGTCTACCGGAGCTCGTTCTCGACCGCCATGTCTACGTTACCTCCATCGGAAGACTTAATAGCCCGTCCCTTCCACGCTGATGTAAAACAGGTTCAACTAGATATCAAGTCTGACCTGGACGCGAACCAAATTGCTATTTCATCGATCAACTTGGATGATCCGCTCGTGACCAGAAGGGAGTTGTTGAGCTATTACTGTGCGTTCCAATACACGTGCTTCCTCCCCGCCACTCCTTGATTAAGCTAAACATCAGTGTACTCTAACGGTGGTAACGTGAGTCAGTCCCAGAATTCGTGTATCCCCCACTCTACTTATTTCACGTGCCTCCAACCAGGGTGTCGGTTTGGGCTATACACAGACCCTGTTCCAGGGGCTTGCCACGGCGGCGGGATATGATCCCGTTGTAGGCCCCGGCTCGTCATGCCTTGCAACGACTGCTTCTGGTCAATGCGTAGTTCCTTGGGGTAGCGGAACAAAGTCAGTTTCCAGTGTGGTGCTGACTGCAGATGGTATTAGTTTCGCCATCATGACAGTTATATTAACTACTATCGGTTCTGCTGCTGACTATGGTACATTCGGACGGTGGTTACTATTCGCTATCACAGTAGTATGTTGGGCTGCACAGTATGCTTGTATGACACTTACCAGTGAGTTTCCGGGTACCACGCATTTTCTTAAAGTCTGATCATTTCGTGCACCAGCACCAAACCGATGGGTTTTTGCGATGATTCTGTCCATCATCGGTTTCGTCTCATACAGTATTACTCTGGTCTTCTATGCTGCTTTATTCCCTCGTCTCGCGCGAAATACACCACGTGTACGCCAGTTGAGAGAGAAGTATGAAAACGGCGAGATTTCTCCTGAAGTTTACGATCAAGAGGAGTCGCTGGAAAAGAATAGGATTACCGATATTTTTACTGTGCGTCTTCTTCGTGTTGTTGTCACGTGCTGACTATCTTTTGTACAGGTTCATAGCAATGTCGGATATCTAACCACATTATTGCTGAACTTGGCGCTTTTGCTGCCGATGGCGAACAACCCTAAGGTAGACAATTATGTGATCGTGGTGTGAGTTTCTATCGTTTGCGAGTTCAAGTCGTTGTATCGATACATGTAGTGTCAACACATATTGGGTGGTATTAGGCATTTGGTGGTGTGAGTACACATTGGCTGGTCTTTCTGGGCTTCCTGCTGAGAACCTTTGAGTTGTCTTCCAGGAATCTAGGCCAGGCCCCGAATTGCCTAAAGGTGAACATTACCTGACAATTGGATGGAAGCAGGTAAGCATCTAGCGGGATACCGTGAACTTTGCTCACGCAAGTGTTAGATCTGGGCTGCGCTGAAAACACACAAGCATCTTCCCTACACCTTTGTGTATCTGTCCTCCTACTTTCTTCTTGCAGACGTACTGTTTGGTTGTCCGTATTTCAAGCCGCACCTGACATAATTTTGGATAGGGGCTCAATACTACTGGAACCCTTGTTGGCATATGTCAGAACGACAAGTTCAGTTTCTCGTTCCTGCAAAATACATACCTGGGCTTGTCTCAAGCGATCACTTCGACAATCAGCTCGCTCGCCTTTTGGTACATCCAGAAATATTGGAAGATCAGCACAAAGAAGATGGTATGTATCGCTACCTTGTCATGTTATCTCTATTTGACTGTCAATGACACAGTTTGTGGTCACAAATGTCGTGACGATTTTGATTCCGCTATGGGGTATGATCGGAATATGGACAGAGAAACTTGGGTCGGTGTCATTCGATTTGTTTCATGATATCATCATCCCTCTAAGGAGTGCATTAGGTTCCACAACGTATGGGAGTTCTGGTTTGTCAAGACTATGCGCCTGTTTCGTTGTGTTTTTATATTCTCATCAGGGCGTACAACGTGATGTTTGGTCTCTTCCAGGCGCCCTATTACGCGTACTCTCTGGCAATGATGGCTGAACTTAGTCCGCCAGGTTTTGAAAACATGGTGTGTAATTCGCTTTCCTCGTTCCCATCGCGTTCACTCACATTCAAGTTAACTAGTTCTTCGGTCTCTTCGGTCTGTTCAACCGTGCCTCTTCCATGGTAGGGCCCAATGTCATACAAGTCATCATCGACAAGACGGGAAACAACTGGCAGGGTTTCCCCTTCCTGTTTGCGATGTGCACGGCTGCCTCTGTGGTGATCTGGTTTGGGGTTGATGTCACAAAGGGGCGCAGTGATGCTGTGGGGTGGGCGGCTGAGCAGCGCAGGCGTATACACTAGAGCGATCGTTGTATATTTTCGCTCTTTGAGGAGACCTGGACCATTTCTGATCCATGTTAGAAAGTTGGAGTAGTCCCTAGATCTGACATAGATACTTGTAGAGTCTAGACATTTTCACCGCTGCTTTATTGCAAAACAAGAAATCACGTGACCACTTCTGCTTTGAACTTCTTCGTTCACTGACGAGTCTACATCTTGAACTCAGAGTCACAGCATCCAGATTCCACACCCGGTCACGATGTCAAAACGAGGCGCATCTCCACCGCCATCTACAGAAGGAACTCTCATTAAAAGAGCGCGCTCGAACTCCCCTGCTCAAAATCAAATTATCATTTCATCTGGCAACGATGACCGACAGAAAGGTCTCATACGAAGCGTCAAGCGCACAAGCAACCTAGAAGCACCTATCGTTAGCTTGAGCGGATCTCACTCGGTGAGACTTGTAAACAATTTTTGTTTAGGATGGTGTATTAATGAGTTCGAAGGCGGAAATTCTGAGCTGTAGATTTGACCCTACTGGACAAAACATTGCTGCTTGTTCAGCGGACAGAAGTGTCTGTACGTGACATCTCTGAGTGTACTATGCGAACTGTTTACAAGTGAGGTATAGCTTTGTGGAGGACGTATCCACCAAATACCAACTACGGCCTCCTCTCTAGCCACCATAAAGCGCCCATCCTTGACCTTCAATGGTCCCTCTTCTCACCGCTCCTTTATACCGTATCCGCAGACCAAATGCTGTCCTTTACGGATCTTACCACCGGCCAGCGGACAAGAAAAATTCGTGCTCATCGCGGAATTATAAACGCGCTGGACCGGACTATGGCAGGCGGTGCTGGTATCGAGCTCATTGCCACCGCCTCAGACGATGGAACTGTACGTGTGTGGGAGGGTGGCGAAGATGGTTCGAAGAGCAGTGTTGCAGTGTTTGAACTCGGATGTCCAGCGACGAGTGTCGCGTGGAGTGCGGATGGGCAGAACCTCTATATTGGCGCGCTAGACAACGAGATTCATGTATATGACTTGCGCAAGGGCGAGCAGGTTTATGCCCTGACTGGTCATACGGACACGCCGACGTCGCTTGCATTATCACCCAATGGTGCCTACCTCCTCTCACCTTCATTCTCATCTCATACCGTCATTCATGATGTACGCCCGTTTTCGCCCTCGCCAACGAGGATACACCGTGTGTTGCAGGGTGCTCCAGCTGGTTTCGAGAACACGCTTTTGAAAGGTGCATGGAGCAAGGACGATGGGGGACAACGGGTCGCGGTCGGTGGTGCGGATCGGATGGTTTGTGTTTGGGACGTCGACAGTGGGCGTGTGTTGTACAAGGTTGGTGTTATCCCATTCGACTTCTTGCGTGTGACTTACCATCTTTTAGCTGCCGGGGCACAGGGGCACAGTCACTTGTGTAGACTTTCACCCAAAAGAGCCCATCAGTAAGATTTCCTCTCTGTCTGGTTGATTTTCACTGACGTGTCTACAGTTCTTACTGGCAGCAAGGACGGAACTATGCTGTTGGGCGAATTAGATTCTGGTGTGTAAAATAATGCGATGCGTCAAGTAACGCGGAGCGCCGCTGTCACATTTGATAGTTTGATATTTCAGTTCAAACTCACCAGACATCGATTTGTTGTTATTCTTATCATCCATGCTGCATTGAATTAATATTAGTCGCGGCTTCCTCGGAAAGTAAGTTCGTGCATTAGTAATTTAAAAGTATTGTCGACTGTGAGATGGACTTCAAAGTTCCTTACGTTGCCATGTCAAACGATGTAACTTAAAATTAAGCAGCCTCCACGAATTCCAGGAGTCAGGCGGTTATTTTTCGAATTTCTAACGCTACACAAAAGAAAATAAAGGTGTCCCGAAATACAGGAAAATATAATGACCACCGCAGGGGTCGAACCTGCAATCTCCTGATTACAAAGTCGTAGTCAGACGCGATGCCATTTCGCCAGGCGGCCTTGTTGATGGCACTTTATTTATGTTACACATGCACGACAAGCAACTTCATAACGCGGTCTTAATGTAAATGATAATTTTAAGCCGAACTTCTGCTGTTTCATACAAGTCTCATATGTATGGGACACGAAACGTCACAGAACGTATCACAGAGTCTCCTTTTCTCTTTTCGCTCTATCACCAGTGCTAAGCACCAGCTAACGAGGATCGGACCCGAGCGTTGACTGACCCTTCTCTATTTGACTGCTATATCTGTTATCTGCGTCTACCTTCTGAGTTGTCTCATATGCTGTCTGCGTCAGTGACGACCACTCCTCGGCCACGACCGCCAGGTCGGGTACGAAGAATTTCTACCCACGTCAAAACTTCCCCGCCTCCTCCGTACGTTGCCACATCGCTTCTTGATGATCCACTGGATAACTCCTCGGATCTGAAACGAGAGTCTTTCAACGGCGCATCTGCAATCGCTGCATGGGATGACATCCCTACTAATCATCCTCAAGATTGGAATGGGAGGTCTCCTGAGGAGCTGTCTGAGCTCCTCCTGAAAGCTGATGAGCTCATTAAAGACCGAGAAAATGGTGTGTCCTTTGATGCTTTATTCTAGAGAAATGGACTCAAATCGTTATCCCCGTGTAGAACTCAGTTTCACTACAGCTGTCTGTAAATCATTGTACGAAAATAATCTAGAGCTCCAGAACAAGCACAAGGCGCTTCTGGCTCGCTTGCCTACTTCATCAGCATCTGTCTCTCCATCCGGATCCTCAGCATCCTCTCCAACTACTCCCGGAACACCTCTTCCACACTCCCCGCATTATTATACCAATACCTCTTCCTCCTCCCACGCGAGCACCAGTGCATCTCGCTCGCGCCGGTCGCAGAGACGCGTCTCTGTCTCCCCTGCGGACCTTGCTCTACTTTCCGATCAGAATGCTGAGCTCCTTGCTAAGCTAGAAAAGCTTGAATCTGAATCCGTCCAGACTGATCAAGCGGGACGGCGAAAATTGCGCTGTTTGGAGAAAGAGATTCAAGGGCTCCGAGAGGAGCTCGAAACAACTCGTGCCAGGAGCGACGAGCTCGAGAACAAGGCGAAACTTGTTAGTCCCAGCCTTGAGTCTGAGGAAGCGTCAAAGAGGCGACATGAGAGAGAGGAGCGAGTCCGCGCCCTACGGGGTAGGAGCGAGAGCGATGCGAATGACGGAGAAGTACGGGACTTTGCGCCAGGGGGGGCTCTTGCATCTCAAGGGGTCTCGAAGAGATCTACCGTGCTAGGCAGGTCAGAGAAACGCAAGCGTCCATCGCAGTGTCTACGCCGGCATGCTTCTGAAGCCATCTTTCGTTCGGCCCCTACGGATAGCAAGCTTTCAAGAAAGATGTCTTTATACAACGGTCCCTCTCGATCGTTCTCGCAGTTACAGTCTCCTCCCCCCGCTCAGTTGCCAGTCCAGACAACGCCCGAATATGCGCTCGTGTCGCAGCTCCTTCAAAAGATCTGTGAGCTCGAACAGATTAATTCACAAATAACGGTGCAGCAAGAGAAAACGACGGCATCGCTTCAGTCGGTTCAAAGAGACGCCGCAAGCATCCAGCTCCTATATGAGAGCCTTAGTGATGTCGATGCCATTGACTGGCTAGCTGAAGATGACAGCTTCGAGAATCCCGGTGTCCACGAGGAAAATGAACATGACGAGGAAGACGAGACAATTCGTTTCGCCAGTCTCCGTCGGTCTATGCTCGCGGATTCCTCGGTTGATTTTGATAGCGGCATTGAACCAGACAAACAGAGTAGCATGCGGCACGCAATTCTTCCAGAGCTCTTCCCTCTACCTGCACATCATCGCACACGTCGATCTGTTGTTGGATTATTTGACTCCCCGACTGTATCTGATGTCAGTGATGCACCGTTTGTACAATCACTGATTATCCCTGGTCTATCGGCCGTTCCTTTTGTCCCTCAGCCCATTACGGAACCTGTAACCCCCGAAGAATTGGACTTGCCATCACCTCTAGCTGCGGCATTACCTACCGCAGAATTCACGCCCCCCCAGACTCTGGACAATGAGCTAGGGCTTGCATGGGACAACTGTCATGAAAACGACCACTTCCGCACACCAAGTTTAATCGATCTTACATCGCTTTCTCCTTTATCCGCTGGCAATGCCGTCGGCGTTCCGGATTCCGGCACTCCTTCCCCGAAAGACAAGCTATCCTTTCCTCCGTCTTCAAGTTATAGATCAGCTCCCTCCACATCTTCCACCTCGTTTGCGGAGCAAGTTAGCTTGAAAATAGACGGTGTTCATGATTTTGAGTCCCTGACGTATAGTCCGCCCAATGCGCACATGGAAACACTTGCAGACAAGAAGTATCGCAAGTCGCACACCATTCGCATGCGCACAAACCACTGGACTGAAGGTCGCTTTGAAGCAACACTTCTTTCTGCCCCGCAGAGGGGGAGCTCTGCTGATCTCGCCCGTCCTTCCACTCCAGTCCCTCAAAGACTCGTAAACGAGTTCGTGGATAGCATAAGCCGCCATCGCACTCATTCCCTTTCCCGCGGTCTCACAGATAATGAACCAAGGACAGCTTCTGCATCGCCAGCCTCCCTTCGTCAGCGACTTCAGAAGCCCCAGAAGCGACGGTTCGTATCGTTCGTCTTAGAGCTGTGGTTGTGGTTTCAGTTCGCTATCGTTGTGGTCATCTTTCTTTGGGCGATGGCGAAGCGCGGACCGAAGAGTGTGTTGGAGGAAGCTCAGAGAAGGAAGATTCAGTGACAATGTTTTGGGCGGTGTTTCATTGTACTGTAGGTTTAATATTGAACATGCCCTAGGCTAATGATATATGAGATTCTCCGCTAGAGCTTTGATTTGATGTGCTACGGTACGACCGGAACGGTGCACGCAATAGGCTACTTACGCAACCCATTTGCGCAAAATGTGCTGACTAGTCTTTGACCGAATGGCATGTTCTCGAACTCGATGCTGACACGGGTGCCGGTTCCTGGAATCCTAGCCTAGTGCAGCTACGGTGCCACACGTGTGTCCACTAGCTGGTAGTTGGGCGCGGTTGGGGCGCGGACGATTTTTTTCGGAGTGGCGTCTACCACGTACATGCTGTACACGTTTCAAGTAAACCTGCCGAATTATTCATCCTCTTTTCTTTTTTTGAGACACAAGTATGCTCATGTTACCGTTGTGCTCAGGCTAGTGATATAAACATCCTAAATATTAATATACCAACACTCAGACACACAGTCTATTGGTCAGTCAGTACTTCAGTATCGAGTCAAGACTTAGTAGCACACTGGACCCACACACCCGCGCCCCGAACCGATTCGGATCTGGGACGAAGTACTAGTATGGCACAACTACTAAGTGGCCAACTGCGCGCGTCTCTCGCACAAGTCTGAGCAATAATGGTCAAGCCATGATGGCATGGTGTTGCGGAGTGTGTCGTTCGACTATTAATTTCACTTGACACTCGAGCTAAACTGTTCATCCGCTTGAGTCTCACGTGTTGTCCTGGCTTGGTCCTGGCTTCATTGATAAAAGCTCATAATGTAAGCTCCGAGCCTTAGTTACGGTCCCCGAACCCTTGATGACGTTTTGTATGGCTCCACAGGCATATCTATGACTACTAGTACCCCATATCACAAAATGACACCAGTGCCTTGGCAAATGAAGCATTCCTGTGCTGCTACAGTGAGGCTCGTATAGCCAGTTTTGACTTTCTTACCCCAGCTTGTATCTTGGCATCTCGAACGGAAAATGCGGCACTCACGTACAGATGTGGCAATGCGCCATGTGCTTACAAGTGAGGGTTGGTAAACCCCCACTAGATTTGTCTGTTCACACGACTGCACACGACGCCATCAAACTTCAAAACTGACAAATCCGACGGCGTTGGCATGAGAGTATAAAGTGATAGAAAATACCTTTCGATCTAACGCTTTGACAAACAGCTTTCTCTCCTTTTGACGTGTCTGAAAAGTCTAACATACAGGAATCACTCGTGCAAGTTATCCCCTCCGCCGATACCACCGAGTCCCCGCTACCGATTAGAGAGCCACTCCCCGGAACGTCGACAACTTCCTCACCTCCCGCTGTGGAAATGCCTTTACCTGCAATCAAGGTACCGTCTCCAGTCAGCACGTCGAGGTCTGTGACGCTCGAAGAATGCAAGTCCGGCATAACCGAGAGACAAGAGAATGGCTTCCTTCGACGGTGGCAGCAATGGTTCGTACTCTCCAGTCAAAGTAATCGGGCGATCTTATTGATTAATTCTAGGAACTACCTTCATGATTGCTGGAAACCCTACGAATGCATCGAACAGACTCCCCGTGTAGCCACCCAGGAGCCTACTTATTTCTACTTAAACGTTCGACGGAAGACAGATGAAGGTGCGCCCTCAGGCCTCAGGCATTACATAGCTGCAATTGATGTACCAGTATGTAGAGAAACCAAAACTGGTTTTCAGTGATTCTAGTCCCATTTTACTCGCCTGCTTACGGTACGGCGGATTTAAGCACTCAGTTTATCAGATGGTGAATCATTATCTTCTGCAGCTCCATTGTCGGGGGTGAATGCTTGAGCCAAGATCCACAAGTCCACATCGACGAGCTACTTTTGGAGCTAGATTCGTTGGACAGTCGCACCGGTGACGCACGTAAGGCTTTGGAAGATAACAAAGAAGATGACATCGCACAAAGTGCGAAAGCGCTCGGGCATGCGTATGAGGGTCTACATGGTATGTAACTTGTACCCTTTATGGTAACTGCTTTCATACCTTTTATGATGGCAGACGGCGACGTGCGCACGTACCTTACGGCCGCAGTCCAGCAGCTTGACATTCTCTTACTCTTGCTTAAAGAAGAATTCAAATCAATGTGCGACATGTCCTTTGTTTTTATCTCTTGGTATCTGATTTCCCGTAGAGCTGAAAGATTGAAACATGCAGTAGTACACGGTCGCATACCGCTCGATCTGCTGGAGTTCTACTTCCGGAAGAATCAGCAGTACTACTACCTCGACGATAATGATGATTTTGTGAGAGAACCAACAATACTCTGCGAGACCTTCAGATAGATGAAATATGCAGGATGCATTCCGTTTGATCTCAACTTTTTACGATGACTTTGACCAGTAAGTTGTAAATGTTACTTGTGGGAATGGCATTTTCCCATTTTCTTCTGCAGAACATTCACCCTCAACGGCGAGGGTGTATTCTGGAACGGAACCAAGTGGGTTACGGTCGAGCGAGGTCGGGTGGTTAAACTAACTGAGGTCTGTCCCCGATACTATCCTACTTTCGTCGTACTAATGACATTCAGGGGTCGTTGATCTTGGCTGATTTTCAAACATACGAGATGACGCCTGAGATACGTAGACGACTTACAGGTAAGAGCACATGTCCCGCAAATGTCCCGCGTTAACCCTGGCTCTAGAACGCGGCAGGAAGTACGCCTCGCTAGCGGGGTTCCATTACAAACTTCGTGCGTTCTCTAATTGCTATTGAATTATTAAGTCAACCTTACCCCTCTTAGACAGAGGAGTGCGCCCGATCATGAGATAGGTGGATAGTTTCTCACTGACCTGTCGTCTCCAACAGCGACGGATCATAGTTGATCGCTTAGCCTGGAATACATTCGGCTACAACCACACGTAAGGAATTGTTTGCCAGTCATTCATTGTGTGATCTCATTGACTCCGACTAGAGATGATACCTCTTTCCCGTACCCTCTTCTTCAAGACAGAAGCAAGGCCCGAGACAATGATAATATCCCGGCTGTGCCGGAAGATGATATCGCTCTTCTCCCGCGATTCATGCCAGGTTTTGATCTGGAACGCAAGGTAATCACATAAAGGTATACATTCGAGCGCCTCTGATAGTGCTTGGCTTCCTGCAAGTCGTGGGGCTTCTTCGATGTTGATGAAATCGAGCCAATAAGATTCAATGAAAATGCCTGGAAGCACATTGTGCTTGACGAAAGCTCAAAGGTAAAGCCAATGAACTCAAATATTTGTTCGTCTTCTCATTACGACAGGATGTCATCGAAGGAGTTGTGGGTGCATTCGACTTCAGCAAGGAGGCCATGGCAGATGAAGAACAATCGGGCTTGGTAGGTCGAGTTACCTGTTTGTTCAAAAATAGTACCGAATGTTACGGTGCACCTCTCGCTGGCAGGTTATACTCCTGCATGGACCATCAGGGACTGGCAAAACGGCGACCGTTGAAGCTATAGCGGAACATTTTAAACGGCCCTTGCTCTCTCTCGCAGCTATGTTCCCTTCCGTTGGATACGACCTTACTTGTGGACACGTTGACATCCCGTCTGGATGTATGTTCATGGACTATTATCCACCTTGATGCAAATTCAGTATTTCACAGGTAGCAAGATCATGGAATGCCATAGTATTGATTGAAGCTGGAGATGTGCGGTATTTTACATGTTTTTTCAATCATGAGTTGACTTGCATCCAGCTTCTCATGCAGACTCAGAGGCACGAGCCAATAGTGCGCATTAGGTGTCTCCGTCTTGTGCTACCCTGACCTGTGATCAGATGGAGGAACAAAATCGCATCTCGACGATACTCGACTTCTTTGAGCGGCATCGGTGCATTGTATTTGTTACTGCGAGAACTACATGTACTGCATACATGTCGCATTTTGCTATTAGTACAGGTTTTATTTGCTAACTTATCAGTCCCATGCTCACCTATCACTCCTACAGCTATCCAGTATCCTGAATTAGATGGCGATTCACGCCAAACTATGTGGTCCAGTATGCTCTCAGAGGAAGCAGACAATATATCTCGCCGAGACATCGAGGAGCTGTCTAGAGTTGCAGTCAACGGTAAGTAAACCCACCCTCTTGTAGACTGTCGCTTCAATATTTGGCAGGTCGGGCGATGAGGAACATTCATACTACAGCCAAAGCACTAGCGCGTTCTCGGTACTTGTCTTCATTTTCATTTGCTGTGAGATCTCTGATTGATTCAATATCATAGTAAACAACCTATATCTCTATACCATTTGAAGACTGCTGCAAAAATACAAGGACAGGTTGAAGGTGCAGGATATCATCTTTACTGGTGACCTAGTCCAGAGCCGCAAGTTTATTAGAATACCCTTTAACTGAACTGCAAGAATGTAATACTTGGATGGACAATGTATGTAGACTCTCGATAGACGTATAGTAGGGCATTTTTTTTGGATTTCTTGATTATGAACGATGTAGCAAGTGTGATTGTCATCGATCAGTAAATCGCGTGAGCTCCTGTCACGTGTGTCGTCACATGATTCACTGATATCATATAATTTATTATAATTTATTATAAATTTATAATGCATTCCCTTCAAGTCTACTTCCACTAGGCGCCGTCGCCGGCGATGACCTTGCTTTCGTTTGTAATTTGAAAGACGAAGGGAACGAGCACACTTGAAACGGTATTTTGGAAGGACAGAGACTGGTCACAATCGTAGGAAATGTATGAGCGAGGACTACGATTCGCCAACAGAGAATGCGGAAAATGCCGTTGTTTGCAGTTGTGGACGATTTGCAGGTTGGCATATCACCTTGTGGCAAGCAAGGTGAAAATGTCATCTGCGGCCGCCGGCGTCCTCATCAAACTCTTCTAGCCCACTACAGGTCAAGAGAAAGAGAGTTACCGAATAATGTGATGGTTCAATACTACGCCGGATACATTGCGAGATTTTCTTTGATGGCGTCGGGGAGATCACGCGCATGCCCACCAAAAAAGGAACCAAAGAAGAGAATATGGGGTGAGCTAAATTGTTTGCCTGCTAAACGCGTGATCGACTGAAGATAAGCTAGCTTTGCCTACGTCGACTTTGCTACGCCAGATGCCAAAGTCATAGCAATAACCCAGTCCGAACCAGAGCTTCACGGTCGGAATTTACTGATCAAAGATGGTACGTATGCGTGCGGTTTACTCTACGCACTCGATGTTTAAGCTTGCATTCCCGTATATGTAGGAAATGATTTTGTGGGCCGTCCCATAACTACACCACCGGCGGGAACACAAGAGGACGCCAAGGGTCCCTCTTCAGGCAAATCAGTGAGCGACCTGACGAAGACTCTGCGTGTACAGAAGCAGCCTCCTGCACAAACATTATTCCTTGGAAATCTTGGTTTTGATACTACCGTGGACTCGATTCGTGAACTCTTCGAGGCTCATAGACACCCACAAAAGTCTGGAAAAGGTGTGAAAGCGAATGAGGCCGAGGCTAGTGCCGGGGAGGATGACAATGTCACAAAAGATGTTTGGTTACGAAAGGTCCGCATGGGAACTTTTGAAGACAGTGGTGCATATGAAGAGTGAGTGCTTTGTCGTACAAGGCGCATGTAATACCAACGGAAGCATCCAGATTTGCCTTCCGACCTTACATCGCTTTCTCGTTCTTTATCCGCTGGCAACGCCGTCGGCGTTCCAGATTCCGGCACTCCTTCCCCGAAAGACAAGCTATCCTTTCCTCCGTCTTCTAGTTATATATTAGCTCCATCCACATCTTCCACCTCGTTTGCGGAGCAAGTTAGCTTGAAAATAAACGGTGTTCATGATTTTGAGCCCCTAACGTATAGTCCGCCCAATAAACACTTGCAGACAAGAAGTGTCGCAAGTCGCACACCATTCGCATGCTCACAAACCACTGGACTGAAGGTCGCTTGAAAGCAACACTTCTCTCTGCTCCGCAGAGGGGGAGCTCTACTGGACTCGCTCGTCCTTCCACTCCAGTTCCTCAAAGACTCGTAAACGAGTTCGTGGATAGCATAAGCCGCCATCGCACTCATTCCCTTTCCCGCAGTCTCACAGATGATCAACCAAGGACAGCTTCTGCATCGCCAGCCTCCCTTCGTCAGCGACTCCAGAAGCCCCAGAAGCGACGGTTCGTATTTTTCGTCTTGAAGCTGTGGTTGTGGTTTCAGTTCGCTATCGTTGTGGTCATCTTTCTTTGGGCGATGGCGAAGCGCGGACCGAAGAGTGTGTTGGAGGAAGCTCAGAGAAGGAAGATTCAGTGACCATATTTTGGGCGGTGTTTCATTGTACTGTAGGTTCAATATTGAACATGCCCTAGGCTAATGATATACGAGCTTCTCCGCTAGAGCTTTGGTTTGATGTGCTACCGACCGGAACGATAGGCTATTTACGTAACCCATTTGCGCAAAATATACTAGTCTTTGACGAATAGTATGTTCTCGAACTCGATGCTGACACGGGTGCCGGTTCCTCAGTAAACCTGCCGGATTATTTATCCTCTTTTCTTTTTTGAAATATATATTCGAGCTCATCGTGTCACCACGTGCACTGTGCTCATGGGCTAGTGATATAAACCTTCTAAATATTAATATACCGACGCTCAAACACACAGTTAGTAGTACTATGGCACAACTAAGTTAAATGTGCAATACTGGCCAACTGCGCGCGCCTCTCGCACAGGTCTGAACAATAACTGGTCAAGCCACTGTGATGCATGGTGTTGCGGAGTGTATCGTTCGACTATTAATTTCACTTGACGCTCGAACTAGTTCATCCGCTTCAAGGAGTCTCACGTGTTGTCCTGGCTTGGCGCGGCCACTGATCCTGCTTCATTGATAAAAGCTCAAAATGTAAGTTCCGAGCCTTAGCTACGGTCCCCGAACCGTTGATAACATTTTGTATGGTTCCACAGGCATATCTATAACTCCATATCACAGAATAACAAGTGCCTTGGCAAATGAAGCATTCCTATGCAAGTGAGGCTCGTATCGACTTTCTTCTCCCAGCTTGTATCTTGGCATCTCTAATGGAAAATGCACTCACGTACAGATGCTCATGTGCTTACAAGTGAGGGCCGATGCTTCCCAGTAAACGCCCACTAGATTTATCTATTCACACGACTGCACACGAGTATAAAGTGATAGAAAACACCTTTCGATCTAACGCTTTGACAAACAGCTTCCTCTCCTTTTGACATGTCTGAACAGTCTAACATACAGGAACCACTCGTGCAAGTTATCCCCTCCGCCGATACCACCGAGTCCCCGCTACCGATTAGAGAGCCACTTCCCGGAACGTCGACAACTTCCTCACCTCCCGCTGTGGAAATGCCTTCAACTGCAATCAAGGTACCGCCTCCAGTTAGCACACCGAGGTCTGTGACGCTCGAAGAATGTAAGTCCGGCATAACTGAGAGACAAGAGAATGGCTTCCTTCGACGGTGGCAGCAATGGTTCGTACTCTCCAGTCAAAGTAATCGGGCGATCTTATTGATTAATTCTAGGAACTACCTTCATGATTGCTGGAAACCCTACGAATACATCGAACAGACTCCCTGTGTGGTCACCCAGGAACCTACTTATTTCTACTTAAACGTTCGACGGAAGACAGGTGAAGGTGCGCCCTCAGGTATTGCATAGCTGCAATTGATGTACCAGTATATAGAGAAACCAAAACTGGTTTTCAGTGATTTTAGTCCCATTTTACTCGCCTGCTTACGGTACGGCGTATTTAAGCACTCAGTTTATCAGATGATGAATCATTATCTTCTGCAGCTCCATTGTCGGGGGTGAATGCTTGAGCCAAGATCCACAAGTCCACATCGACGAGCTACTTTTGGAGCTAGATTCGTTGGACAGTCGCACCAATGATGCGCGTAATGCTTTGGACGATAACAAAGAAGATGACATCGTACAAAGTGCGAAAGCGCTCGGGCATGCACATGAGGGTCTACATGGTATGTAGCACGTACTCTTTATGGTAACTCGTTTCATACCTTTTATGATGGCAGACGGCAATGTGCGCAAGTACCTTACGACCGCGGTCCAGCAGCTTGACATTCTCCTGCCCTTGCTTAAAGAAGAGTTCAAATCAATGTGCGACATGTCCTTTGTTTTTATCTCTTGGTATCTGATTTCCCGTAGAGCTGAACGATTGAAACATGCAGTAGTACACGGTCGCATACCGCTCGATCTGCTGGAGTTCCACTTCCGGAAGAATCAGCAGTACTACACTCTCGACGACGAAGATGATTTGGTAAGAGAACCAATAATACTCTGCGAGATACTCAGATAGATGAAACATGCAGGATGCATTCCGCTTGATCTCAACTTTTTACGATGACTTTGACCAGTAAGTTGTAAATGTTACTTGTGGGAATGGCATTTTTCCATTTTTTTCTGCAGAACATTTACCATTAACGGCGAGGGTGCATTCTGGAACGGAATCAAGTGGGTTCCGAATGACCCAGGTCGGAAGATTAAACTGGTTGAGGTCTGTTCCCGATACTATCCTACTTTCGTCGTACTAATGACATTCAGGGGTCGTTGATCTTGGCTGATTTTCAAACCTCCGAAATGACGCCTGAGATACGTAGACGACTTACAGGTAAGAGCACATGTCCCGCAAATGTCCCGCGTTAACCCTGGCTCTAGAACGCGGCAGGAAGTACGCCTCACTAGCGGGGTTCCATTACAAACTTTGTGCGTTCTCTAATTGCTATTGAATTATTAAGTTAATCTTACCTCTCTTAGACAGAGGAGTGCGCCCGATCATGAGATAGGTGGATAGTTTCTCACTGACCTGTCATCTCCAACAGCGACGGATCATAGTTGATCGCTTAGCCTGGAATACATTTGGCTACAAGCATACGTAAGGAATTGATTGCCAGTCATTGTCATTCATTTATGATCTCATTGACGACTAGAGGTGATACTCCTTTTCCATTCCCCCGTCTTCAAGACAGAAGCAAGGCCCGAGACAACAATAACATCCCGCCTGTGCCTGAAGATGATATTGCTCTTCTCCCGCAACTCGTGCTAGGTTTTGATATAGAACACAAGGTAATCACATATAAGTATACACTCGAGTACCTCTGATAGTGCTTGGCTTCCTGCAAGTCGTGGGGCTTCTTCGATGTTGATGAAATCGAGCCAATAAGATTCAATGAAAATGCCTGGAAGCACATTGTGCTTGACGAAAGCTCAAAGGTAAAGCCAATGAACTCAAATATTTGTTCGTCTTCTCATTACGACAGGATGTCATCGAAGGAGTTGTGGGTGCATTCGACTTCAGCAAGGAGGCCATGGCAGATGAAGAACAATCGGGCTTGGTAGGTCGAGTTACCTGTTCGTTCAAAAATAGTATCGAATGTTACGGCGCACCTCTCGCTGGCAGGCTATACTCCTGCATGGACCATCAGGGACCGGCAAAACGGCGACCGTTGAAGCTATAGCGGAACATTTTAAACGGCCCTTGCTCTCTCTCTCAGTATATTCCTTTCCGTTGGATACGATCTCACTCGTGGACACGTTGGCATTCTGTCTGGATGTATGTTCATGCACTGTTGTTCACCTTAATGCAAATTCAGTATTTCACAGATGGCAAGATCATGGAATGCCATAGTATTGATTGAAGCTGGGGATGTGCGGTATTTTACATGTTTTTTCAATCATGAGTTGACTTGCGTCCAGATTCTCATGCAGACTCAGAGGCACGAGCCAATAGTGCGCATTAGGTGTCTCCGTCTTGTGCTACCCTGACCTGCGATCAGATGGAGGAACAAAATCGCATCTCGACGATACTCGACTTCTTTGAGCGGCATCGGTGCATTGTATTTGTTACTGCGAGAACTACATGTACTGCATACATGTCGCATTTTGCTATTAGTACAGGTTTTATTTGTTAACTAATCAGTCCCAAGCTCACCTATCACTCCTACAGCTATCCAGTATCCTGAATTAGATGGCGATTCACGCCAAACTATGTGGTCCAGTATGCTCTCAGAGGAAGCAGACAATATATCTCGCCGAGACATCGAGGAGCTGTCTAGAGTTGCAGTCAACGGTAAGTAAACCCACCCTCTTGTAGACTGTCGCTTCAATATTTGGCAGGTCGGGCGATGAGGAACATTCATACTACAGCCAAAGCACTAGCGCGTTCTCGGTACTTGTCTTCATTTCATTTGCTGTGAGATCTCTGATTGATCAATATCATAGTAAACAACCTATATCTCTATACCATTTGAAGACTGCTGCAAAAATACAAGGACAGGTTGAAGGTGCAGGATATCATCTTTACTGGTGACCTAGTCCAGAGCCGCAAGTTTATTAGAATACCCTTTAACTGAACTGCAAGAATGTAATACTTGGATGGACCAATGTATGTAGACTCTCGATAGACGTATAGTAGGGCATTTTTTTGGATTTCTTGATTATGAACGATGTAGCAGTGTGATTGTCATCGATCAGTAAATCGCGTGAGCTCCTGTCACGTGTGTCGTCACATGATTCACTGATATCATATAATTTATTATAATTTATTATAAATTTATAATGCATTCCCTTCAAGTCTACTTCCACTAGGCGCCGTCGCCGGCGATGACCTTGCTTTCGTTTGTAATTTGAAGACGAAGGGAACGAGCACACTTGAAACGGTATTTTGGAAGGACAGAGACTGGTCACAATCGTAGGAAATGTATGAGCGAGGACTACGATTCGCCAACAGAGAATGCGGAAAATGCCGTTGTTTGCAGTTGTGGACGATTTGCAGGTTGGCATATCACCTTGTGGCAAGCAAGGTGAAAATGTCATCTGCGGCCGCCGGCGTCCTCATCAAACTCTTCTAGCCCACTACAGGTCAAGAGAAAGAGAGTTACCGAATAATGTGATGGTTCAATACTACGCCGGATACATTGCGAGATTTTCTTTGATGGCGTCGGGGAGATCACGCGCATGCCCACCAAAAAAGGAAACCAAAGAAGAGAATATGGGGTGAGCTAAATTGTTTGCCTGCTAAACGCGTGATCGACTGAAGATAAGCTAGCTTTGCCTACGTCGACTTTGCTACGCCAGATGCCAAAGTCATAGCAATAACCCAGTCCGAACCAGAGCTTCACGGTCGGAATTTACTGATCAAAGATGGTACGTATGCGTGCGGTTTACTCTACGCACTCGATGTTTAAGCTTGCATTCCCGTATATGTAGGAAATGATTTGTGGGGCCGTCCCATAACTACACCACCGGCGGGAACACAAGAGGACGCCAAGGGTCCCTCTTCAGGCAAATCAGTGAGCGACCTGACGAAGACTCTGCGTGTACAGAAGCAGCCTCCTGCACAAACATTATTCCTTGGAAATCTTGGTTTTGATACTACCGTGGACTCGATTCGTGAACTCTTCGAGGCTCATAGACACCCACAAAAGTCTGGAAAAGGTGTGAAAGCGAATGAGGCCGAGGCTAGTGCCGGGGAGGATGACAATGTCACAAAAGATGTTTGGTTACGAAAGGTCCGCATGGGAACTTTTGAAGACAGTGGTGCATATGAAGAGTGAGTGCTTTGTCGTACAAGGCGCATGTAATACCAACGGAAGCATCCAGATTTGCCTTCCGACCTTACATCGCTTTCTCGTTCTTTATCCGCTGGCAACGCCGTCGGCGTTCCAGATTCCGGCACTCCTTCCCCGAAAGACAAGCTATCCTTTCCTCCGTCTTCTAGTTATATATTAGCTCCATCCACATCTTCCACCTCGTTTGCGGAGCAAGTTAGCTTGAAAATAAACGGTGTTCATGATTTTGAGCCCCTAACGTATAGTCCGCCCAATAAACACTTGCAGACAAGAAGTGTCGCAAGTCGCACACCATTCGCATGCTCACAAACCACTGGACTGAAGGTCGCTTGAAAGCAACACTTCTCTCTGCTCCGCAGAGGGGGAGCTCTACTGGACTCGCTCGTCCTTCCACTCCAGTTCCTCAAAGACTCGTAAACGAGTTCGTGGATAGCATAAGCCGCCATCGCACTCATTCCCTTTCCCGCAGTCTCACAGATGATCAACCAAGGACAGCTTCTGCATCGCCAGCCTCCCTTCGTCAGCGACTCCAGAAGCCCCAGAAGCGACGGTTCGTATTTTTCGTCTTGAAGCTGTGGTTGTGGTTTCAGTTCGCTATCGTTGTGGTCATCTTTCTTTGGGCGATGGCGAAGCGCGGACCGAAGAGTGTGTTGGAGGAAGCTCAGAGAAGGAAGATTCAGTGACCATATTTTGGGCGGTGTTTCATTGTACTGTAGGTTCAATATTGAACATGCCCTAGGCTAATGATATACGAGCTTCTCCGCTAGAGCTTTGGTTTGATGTGCTACCGACCGGAACGATAGGCTATTTACGTAACCCATTTGCGCAAAATATACTAGTCTTTGACGAATAGTATGTTCTCGAACTCGATGCTGACACGGGTGCCGGTTCCTCAGTAAACCTGCCGGATTATTTATCCTCTTTTCTTTTTTTGAAATATATATTCGAGCTCATCGTGTCACCACGTGCACTGTGCTCATGGGCTAGTGATATAAACCTTCTAAATATTAATATACCGACGCTCAAACACACAGTTAGTAGTACTATGGCACAACTAAGTTAAATGTGCAATACTGGCCAACTGCGCGCCGCCTCTCGCACAGGTCTGAACAATAACTGGTCAAGCCACTGTGATGCATGGTGTTGCGGAGTGTATCGTTTTCGACTATTAATTTCACTTGACACTCGAGCTAAAACTGTTCATCCGCTCCTTGAGTCTCACGTGCTTGTCCTGGCTTGGTCCTGGCTTCATTGATAAAAGCTCATAATGTAAGCTCCAGAGCCTTAGTTACGGCCCCGAACCCTTGATGACGTTTTGTATGGCTCCACAGGCATATCTATGACTATTTTTAGTACCCCATATCACAAAATGACACCAGTGCCTTGCAAATGAAGCATTCCTGTGCTGCTACAGTGAGGCTCGTATAGCCAGTTTTTGACTTTCTTACCCCAGCTTGTATCTTGGCATCTCGAACGGAAAATGCGTCCACTCACGTACAGATGTGGCACTGCCGCACATGTGCATTACAGTGAGGGTTTGGTAACCCCACTAGATTTGTCTGTTCACACCGACTGCAACACGACGCCATCAAACTTCAAACTGACAAATCCGACGGCCGTTGGCATGAGAGTATAAAGTGATCGAAAATACCTTTCGATCTAACGCTTTGAAAACAGCTTTCTCTCCTTTTGACGTGTCTGAAAAGTCTAACATACAGAATCACTCGTGCAAGTTATCCCCTCCGCCGATACCACCGAGTCCCCGCTACCGATTAGAGAGCCACTCCCCGGAACGTCGACAACTTCCTCACCTCCCGCTGTGGAAATGCCTTTACCTGCAATCAAGGTACCGTCTCCAGTCAGCACGTCGAGGTCTGTGACGCTCGAAGAATGCAAGTCCGGCATAACCGAGAGACAAGAGAATGGCTTCCTTCGACGGTGGCAGCAATGGTTCGTACTCTCCAGTCAAAGTAATCGGGCGATCTTATTGATTAATTCTAGGAACTACCTTCATGATTGCTGGAAACCCTACGAATGCATCGAACAGACTCCCCGTGTAGCCACCCAGGAGCCTACTTATTTCTACTTAAACGTTCGACGGAAGACAGATGAAGGTGCGCCCTCAGGCCTCAGGCATTACATAGCTGCAATTGATGTACCAGTATGTAGAGAAACCAAAACTGGTTTTCAGTGATTCTAGTCCCATTTTACTCGCCTGCTTACGGTACGGCGGATTTAAGCACTCAGTTTATCAGATGGTGAATCATTATCTTCTGCAGCTCCATTGTCGGGGGTGAATGCTTGAGCCAAGATCCACAAGTCCACATCGACGAGCTACTTTGGAGCTAGATTCGTTGGACAGTCGCACCGGTGACGCACGTAAGGCTTTGGAAGATAACAAAGAAGATGACATCGCACAAAGTGCGAAAGCGCTCGGGCATGCGTATGAGGGTCTACATGGTATGTAACTTGTACCCTTTATGGTAACTGCTTTCATACCTTTTATGATGGCAGACGGCGACGTGCGCACGTACCTTACGGCCGCAGTCCAGCAGCTTGACATTCTCTTACTCTTGCTTAAAGAAGAATTCAAATCAATGTGCGACATGTCCTTTGTTTTTATCTCTTGGTATCTGATTTCCCGTAGAGCTGAAAGATTGAAACATGCAGTAGTACACGGTCGCATACCGCTCGATCTGCTGGAGTTCTACTTCCGGAAGAATCAGCAGTACTACTACCTCGACGATAATGATGATTTTGTGAGAGAACCAACAATACTCTGCGAGACCTTCAGATAGATGAAATATGCAGGATGCATTCCGTTTGATCTCAACTTTTTACGATGACTTTGACCAGTAAGTTGTAAATGTTACTTGTGGGAATGGCATTTTCCCATTTTCTTCTGCAGAACATTCACCCTCAACGGCGAGGGTGTATTCTGGAACGGAACCAAGTGGGTTACGGTCGAGCGAGGTCGGGTGGTTAAACTAACTGAGGTCTGTCCCCGATACTATCCTACTTTCGTCGTACTAATGACATTCAGGGGTCGTTGATCTTGGCTGATTTTCAAACATACGAGATGACGCCTGAGATACGTAGACGACTTACAGGTAAGAGCACATGTCCCGCAAATGTCCCGCGTTAACCCTGGCTCTAGAACGCGGCAGGAAGTACGCCTCGCTAGCGGGGTTCCATTACAAACTTCGTGCGTTCTCTAATTGCTATTGAATTATTAAGTCAACCTTACCCCTCTTAGACAGAGGAGTGCGCCCGATCATGAGATAGGTGGATAGTTTCTCACTGACCTGTCGTCTCCAACAGCGACGGATCATAGTTGATCGCTTAGCCTGGAATACATTCGGCTACAACCACACGTAAGGAATTGTTTGCCAGTCATTCATTGTGTGATCTCATTGACTCCGACTAGAGATGATACCTCTTTCCCGTACCCTCTTCTTCAAGACAGAAGCAAGGCCCGAGACAATGATAATATCCCGGCTGTGCCGGAAGATGATATCGCTCTTCTCCCGCGATTCATGCCAGGTTTTGATCTGGAACGCAAGGTAATCACATAAAGGTATACATTCGAGCGCCTCTGATAGTGCTTGGCTTCCTGCAAGTCGTGGGGCTTCTTCGATGTTGATGAAATCGAGCCAATAAGATTCAATGAAAATGCCTGGAAGCACATTGTGCTTGACGAAAGCTCAAAGGTAAAGCCAATGAACTCAAATATTTGTTCGTCTTCTCATTACGACAGGATGTCATCGAAGGAGTTGTGGGTGCATTCGACTTCAGCAAGGAGGCCATGGCAGATGAAGAACAATCGGGCTTGGTAGGTCGAGTTACCTGTTTGTTCAAAAATAGTACCGAATGTTACGGTGCACCTCTCGCTGGCAGGTTATACTCCTGCATGGACCATCAGGGACTGGCAAAACGGCGACCGTTGAAGCTATAGCGGAACATTTTAAACGGCCCTTGCACTCTCTCGCAGTATGTTCCCTTCCGTTGGATACGACCTTACTTGTGGACACGTTGACATCCCGTCTGGATGTATGTTCATGGACTATTATCCACCTTGATGCAAATTCAGCATTTCACAGGTAGCAAGATCATGGAATGCCATAGTATTGATTGAAGCTGGAGATGTGCGGTATTTTACATGTTTTTTCAATCATGAGTTGACTTGCATCCAGCTTCTCATGCAGACTCAGAGGCACGAGCCAATAGTGCGCATTAGGTGTCTCCGTTTTGTGCTACCCTGACCTGTGATCAGATGGAGGAACAAAATCGCATCTCGACGATACTCGACTTCTTTGAGCGGCATCGGTGCATTGTATTTGTTACTGCGAGAACTACATGTACTGCATACATGTCGCATTTTGCTATTAGTACAGGTTTTATTTGCTAACTTATCAGTCCCATGCTCACCTATCACTCCTACAGCTATCCAGTATCCTGAATTAGATGGCGATTCCCGCCAAACTATGTGGTCCAGTATGCTCTCAGAGGAAGCAGACAATATATCTCGCCGAGACATCGAGGAGTTGTCTAGAGTTGCAGTCAACGGTAAGTAAACCCACCCTCTTGTAGACGGTCGCTTCAATATTTGGCAGGTCGGGCGATGAGGAACATTCATACTACAGCCAAAGCACTAGCGCGTTCTCGGTACTTGTCTTCATTTTCATTTGCCGTGAGATCTCTGATTGATCCAATATCATAGTAAACAACCTATATCTCTATACCATTTGAAGACTGCTGCAAAAATCCAAGGACAGGTTGAAGGTGCAGGATATCATCTTTACTGGTGACCTAGTCCAGAGCCGCAAGTTTATTAGAATACCCTTTAACTGAACTGCAAGAATGTAACACTTGGATGGACAATGTGTGTAGACTCTCGATAGACGTATCGTAGGGCGGTTTTTTGGATTTCTTGATTATGAACGATGTAGCAAGTGTAATTGTCACCGATCAGTAAATCGCGATTGACCACAAAGCTTCGAAGTACTTCATGGAAATCGCGTGAGCTTTTGTCACGTGTGTCGTCACATGATTCACCGATATCATAATTATGATGCGTTCCTTTCGAAAGTCTACTTCCAAAATGTCATCTGCGGCGTCCTCATCAGACTCTTCTAGCCCACCACAGGTCAAGAGAAAGAGAGTTACCGAAGAATGCGATGATGTAGCGCGCGAAGCAGACACAGCAGACAATGCACCAGTCCCAGATGACTGTGTCGCGTTGTCTCACGCCGAAAAACGCAGACAGAAGAAAAAAGAGCAGAAAGCTCAAGATCGGCCGTCAAAAAAGAGAAAGGTGACAGATGGTTCTGAAGCTGTCGTCTCTACGAAGTCCTCGAAGCCTGCTGGTAATAGCAAGCCGAAACGTCAGAATTCGGTCTGGGTAGGCAATCTATGGTTCAAGACTACGCCGGATACATTGCGAGATTTCTTTGATGACGTCGGGGAGATCACGCGCATACACATGCCCACCAAAAAAGGAACCAAAGAAGAGAATATGGGGTGAGCTAAATTCTTTACCTGCTAAATGCGTGATCGACTGAAGAGAAGCTAGCTTTGCCTACGTCGACTTTGCTACGCCAGATGCCAAAGTCATAGCAATAACCCAGTCCGAACGAGAGCTTCACGGTCGGAATTTGCTGATAAAGGACGGTATGTATGCATGCGGTTTACTCTACGCACCTGATGTTTAAGCTTGCATTCGCGTATATGTAGGAAATGATTTTGTGGGCCGTCCCACAACTACACCACCGGCGGGGACACAAGAGGACGCCAAGGGTCCCTCTGCAGGCAAATCGGTGAGCGGCTTGACGAAGACTCAACAGAAGATTTTGCGTGTACAGAAGCAGCCTCCTGCACAAACATTATTCCTTGGAAATCTTGGTTTTGATACTACTGTGGACTCGATTCGTGAACTCTTCGAGGCTCATAGACACCCACAAAAGGCTGGAAAGGGTGTGAAAGCGAATGAGGCCGAAGCTAGTGCCGGGGAGGATGACAATGTCACAAAAGATGTTTGGTTACGAAAGGTCCGCATGGGAACTTTTGAAGACAGTGGTGCATGCAAAGGGTGAGTGCTTTATCGTACAAGGCGCATGTAATACCAACGGAAGCATCCAGATTTGCCTTCCTTGACTTTACCAGCACCGAACATGCAACTGCCGCCCTGCTCAATCCTCGCAACCACCGTCTCAATGGTCGAGATCTAGTTGTGGAATATGCCTCTGCTGATGCAGTACGTCGAGGCGGCGGTCCAAGATTACAAAGCGAACACAAAAGTGGTCCTGGCAAAAGACATGGTGGTCGGCAATCTGACGTGACTGAGTCGCGTCCACGATCTCAATCACGCCCGGGGACACGTGGTGAAAATGAGAAAGAACATATCGCACAACAAGATCACGCAGAATCAACACGACGGAACCAAAAGGAGGGACCACGACATATAAAAGCTGACAGGGTTCGAGGACGCCCGAAACCTGGTGCCGCACTGGCCCAAGCGCCGCGTGAATCGGCTGCTATCATACCCAGCCAAGGTCAGAAGATTGTCTTCTAGGATATCACGATGGCAAAAGATAGCGAGAGATACGACATGTACACCCTAACGGTAGATAGCTTCACAAAAATTCCGTTGTCTACATGGACATACCGAATGCATTTTTTTCAGTTCATGAATCTTCCTCGTCATCCTGAACCATCCCCACGTTGAATTCAGCGCAGATATCCCACCGAGAGCCAGCAGCGGCAGCTGACACATACTTGACAAAGCGCATAACGCCCTCGTCCCGCAGGACGAGAAGGAGTCTGTTAAAGCTAGGCTGAATGGTTAGCAAAGTGCTCTCGTCATCATCGTCATCATCGCCAGAAGTATCGTTGACTTGGTGATTTTTGCTCGACCCAGAACGATAGACTGCTGGATCATCATCCTCGTCATGGGGCGCCATGTAACACTGGACAACGAATAAATCAGCAAACATCGATGAGAAAGATCTTGGCCTAACCTCCCATCCTCCCCACTCCCCAGCCTGCCAACCATGCGGCTTTTCGTCCTCTTCGTCCTTTTCATCCGCCTTCGACTTGCCATTCGATCGCGTCTCATTTTCTTCAACTTCTACTTGTGGCGTTAATCCCAACACTACGTCCAATCGCGACTCGTCCCCCTCGCTCGTTGCAAGAGTGTAGTCCAAGCCTGGTCTAAACCTTCGCGCTTCTACAGTATAGCTCAGCGGCACCAACTTTGTCATGATGCTTAACCAAGCGCGAAACGCATCACTTGGGAAAACTTCGTCTTGCAACTGACGAAGGATTGTGTCTGATTCACGTAAGGGCTTCGTTGTTTTTTGAAGCGTACAGTAACGCCATTTGTGTGGTGGACCCCGTGCAGACCATGCACCGGAGACGCCAGCAGTGTGCGGTGGTATCCTCCCCTGGCGAGTCTCACCATCAAGACCATCAGCTTGGTCTGCCATACGCAGGTCAGGTTCAAGTTTCGATACGAGAGACGCGGAAAGGAAATGGTGAAGTTCAATACTCGATTCCACGACAAACCGTGCCATCAATGCCTTCATCGTGCGTGTTTGAAGGTAAACTGGGTTTAGGAACTTTGAGAGGTAGGAGATATATTCTCTTCGGAGCGGTCCATCTGGATAGAGTGACTCCAAGTCGGGATATGCAACAAAGGTGGTAGAGCTAGATGTCTGTAGTAGTCCTGATGAGACGAATGCACAGACAGTACATCTTCCAAGACACACCAACTGTTCTCGTGAGCTTTTGAGCTCAGGAACTGCTTGATCAGCTTGATACCCCTCCTCACCCTCCTGTGCAACATGAAACCAGCCACTTATGCTAAGTCTTGCCCTGCCATCCCCTCCTACTACCACCTCTTCTACAGAATGGAAGCTTTTGCCTGGTTGCACTTCGAAGAGAATGAATTGATTCCAGCTTGGAGGGATAGCTTTGCATGGTGCAGCCTCGGGCTCGGGGATCCCATCGGCACCGGTTTGAACAGGATACAACTCTAAAGCACCTCCCCATTCTTTTTGCCATTCCTGGCCGTATGGTAGGGGCATATAGAGGATGTACGATACGCGCCTGGTTCCAATCACATCGTCGTGGTTGAGCAGGTGACACCCCTGCGTGTACGAGTTGACAGACATGTCCTGTTTCGTTCCGGAGAGTGGTCCACACCCAGTGACAGCCTGAATGAACTTGCGAAACTCTGAAGAATAGAGTGCATCGCGGAGAGCAAGGAGGTTTGGAAAAAGTGCAAGTTGAGCCTCAGAGAGGTACGAGAGTGATGCAAGGTCTCCGGTTTGGTTCACCTAGGAAAAAGATCTCGGACAACAGATAGTCGATTAGGACCGAGGAGACTTACCTTGTATATGTCTGTCTCCTTCTCAGTGAAGCTCAGCTCCTTCATACATTCATCCTTCACATTCTTAAGAAGATCGTCCTGGAAAAGCTTTTCGACAATCGCATATTTGAATGGTTCACTGCCAGCGTAAGCCTGATGCAATTGCTGCACATTTTCTGGCCCAAAGAGACCAGGATAGAAGCGCAACCGATGGTCCACGGTCGATGTCGACGAGGAATGTGTCGTTTTTAATCGCTTTAGAAGCGAATTTGAAGAAAGCTCAGGTGAAAGAGATCGCTCGCGAACATGGGCCATTATATTCTCTTGAAAGTGTGGTGAGGGGGCGCCTTGGTTCTCTAGTAGCAGTACATACAGCGATGATAAGTGCTAAAACCATCAATATCATTATCACATTTACGTAATGTAATTGTCAGGGACCACTCGACTTCGAACAGTGAGAATACAAATCTGCACTACATGAACCTAGTGAATCCCCAATCTAATCCTCTCCTGCTTCTTGATCATATGCACATCTCGCAGATACGTTGCAGCTCTCGCCCATTTCTCGTGTCGTCTCTCCGTTTGATGTGGTACAACTTCAAATTTAGTGTACAGAATGTTCTTCAAGTTTGGTAAAACGGAGGAGAGGAAGGCAGCGGCAGCCAATGGATTGTCGATCAGCGATGCCCCGACAGAGAGTGCAGTGATCTTGGTATTGGTTACCCCACCCCCTGGAACCTCGGGTGTCACAACACTGTATGAGGTGGCGTCCATACCGATGCCAAGTGTTCGCAAGTCTGGACAATGCAAAAGCAGACTGGCAAACCCATCCAGGGTGATTTGAGGACGCGTTGGTGTTACCCACGTGGCCTCGTCACCCAGGCGTAATTTTTTCAGCTTGGGCCACGATTTCACGGCTCTAACGAGGTCTTGGTCGTTTATAGTAAGGTTGGCAGAGTGAGCTGGCAGCGTTAGTTCTTCCAACGCGCAAAATGAGCAGAGTGGCATGATTTCACTGATTGTAAGCAGTGAATCACAAGTCAAATCGAGTGAGAGAGCTTGCACTTGTTGCGCTGTTACACGAGAGGCAAGGAGCAAAAGAAAGGTTTCGTTACTGGAAGATCGCGGGACGTTTCCGAGAGAGATGGATACTCTTCTCGCGGGTATCCACGTTGCTTCAAGGAAAGGTACGCATAGCTCGGAACTCTGCGCTCGGATTGTGAGATGGCGAAGAGGGTTTGAAAATGTGGTCTGCCTGTATTTGGAGGAGTCCCTATTCTGTGATAGAAATGAGAGTTGCAAGTTCGTAAGGGATGGAAGAGTGGAGAGATGAGACAAGGCACGCCAATCGACAGCTTCTGTGCTAAGGGTCTTGAGATGGTGCCAACCACATACAACAGCTTTTGAAACCGGGATGGATGCAGCTGAATCAGAGCCAGTGGTGGAGAAGGATTTCATGAGGGGACATGTAACTCCCAGGTTTGATAAAACCGAAAGCATAAACAGGTTACCCATCGCATGTAGATGAAGCTCAGTCAGGGTGGGGCTGAGAAGGTTGGAAAGGAGGTGGGTAGATTCATGGCTACTGTCCGACCAGAACAGTTTTTCAAGGCCAGGGAGTAAAAAAGGCCAGGGATGACTGCAGAGGGTATGTGCAAGTTCCTGGGAGATGTCACCCATGGCACTACGCCCCAGTTTGCCAAGGGCGCGAACCCTCATAAGGTACTTTTCGATGCCCCGCCAATGAACAATCAGAACGCAACTATCTATCTTCTGCACGCCGTTTGAGACATGGGTGTAATCATAGAATACCGGAAACCTACCAGACTACGATTGTGACGATGTCGAGACCACACGTGCCTGGGGAGACATTGTACTACAGGGTTGAGAGTATCTATGTGAGCCCAGAGCACATCCAGAGCAAGCTCCGAGAATGTGCGACAAGTCCTAGCGAGACGTGCGAGAGTCTGGCGTCGAACATCTACACCGTCAACGGGCCTGGATGGTTTCTGTACGTCAAGTGTGATGTCTTCATAATTGTTTAAGGCCGAAAAAATGTTCCGCAGAACTTCACAGATCTGGAGGCAGGAGTGCATGAGTAGTGCGATAGTAAGGGGCATTTACCTGCACCTACGACGTCCTCATCCGGGTCATGACGTCATGAAGAAAGTACTAGTTAAAATTTTCAACAAGCCTGCAATGCTTGCTCAAGGCTGATAGGTGACCGGTCGACCGGTGATCAGTGACAGCTGAGGCTTATGGTAGTACTTGGTAGTAGTTAGTTAGTAGGCAGCAGAGACTCGACGAGCTGAGGATAAGACACTCACCATGATAGAAACAGTGGCGGCCAAAGCACGACATCCCGAACACAGACATCAGAGCCTCGAGACTTGAGCGCTGAGCTCTAGTTTGACGAATCGCAAAATAGAAAATGCCGGCATCACCATACATCATGACTACTACGGTAAAGTCTGACTTTGAACCATTCAACCAACATAAGGGAAACAACATGCAAACAGCCTACAAGTCAATTTCATCCTAGCCTGGTACTCGGACATCATCGGTGCGCTGTAAGTACCAAGTTAGTGAAAATCAGTCGTGCTAATTGAGAATAATGACCAATTGCTTCAGCTTGCTCATTCCCAAAGCACTCGTGTATATAGCAGTTGATCATTTGTCTGATGCGGCAAATAATGAGATGCCAGGCCTCGAGAGTCGAAACCCCGCACACTAAAGCCTATTTTCCTAACACCAACCACTCTGTTGAACTCAAAGGCGACAGCATCAGCGCCATTGCCAGCGAATGCGAGTAGCAACTGGATGCAGTGTTGCACGATGTCTCAGCTCTGGACACAGTTATGGTCGGCTTCAATTCGGTTACTTGTCGAACAGACCAAGATTCCAGTCCAGGCATTTGCACAAAGGATTTATATCGGCTTTCGGGCGACTGTCAACTGAAACCCTATCCCATATATCTCACTACTGTCTCCTCAAACACAAGTACTTGTTCCCCGCATCAAAGATGGCCCCCACACTGCTGACCAGAGCATGCCGACGGAGGCTGCTGCAAGTATACTCAGTTTATGGTGCAGGTTATCGGTAGAAGTCGACGACGGAGACTGGCAGCGGGCAGCTTTTTCCTAAGACTCGTGACTCAAGGGATCACGACTCTCATTAGCACTCGGGCGCCACCCATTGACCAAGTTATTGCGAAGCCCTTCTTCAGCCTTACATCAATCAAATCAGGTCTCTTCATACTTTTTCCTGGGAAGAGGGCCAACTTCAAATTTTGTTAAAAGACTTACCAGCACTTCAGGAGCTGGCTATACCAAGGATGGGTCTTTACAGTGCAGCTTTTGTACCATCTATTTCGTTAGTGCCGTCCATTATGTGCAGCCTCAAAGTCTTTGACGTGAGGCTGCCTTTCGACCTTGAGCTTACAAATTCTTGCAGTTCCTACCTGACAAATGTCGAGATCGCCGTACATCGCCCGAATGCAATCCTGTTCCTGCTCCAACCTCTCCTCGATCACGATCGACGTAGCGTTCAAACAAAGACAGTCCTTAGAGCCACTTACGCAGACCGGAATCCAGACCTTTCGCATCGCCGATACCGGTCCTAGCACACGCTCTTTGGCGGAGATTTTTGACGGTCGTACGAGCATGACGGATGTTGAGCGGGCAGAATATGTTTCCCTCATTCCTTCCATTGACATTGTAGATGATCCCAGTCGCCGATATTTTATGTAAGACTCGATTGTCACACATTTCTCGAAATGATGTAAGTATTGGCCTGCACAGTCAGTCGTTTTGTACGTTCGTTCTTCACAGGAAATTCTTTTGACAAGCATCGACAAAGCCATATTACGCATCTCACGCCGGCACTTTATGTCACGGACGCGAGTGGGTCTTCGATCGAATAGTTTTACAAACAAGATGGTGCCCAGTCGTTCAGCCTTCCGAGACAGTCACCGAACAGAACTTGAATATCTAAATGACAGGAAGTGAGTTCAAAGTTGATGCTTGAAAGACCCTGCTTGACCAATTTCTTGTCAGCTTGGTGCAAGTCCATTGTGAGAACGTAGATGCCAAAATCAAGATTCTTAGCAGAAATATTAACGAGATTTATGTGGTCAATGGTGTAAGTGGTCCCTCTCGTCATCAACTACCCTGTCACGCTAACTTGTAGAGTGACATTTAGAGATGCAAGCCAAATCTAAGAGGGCGAATCGGTATAGCCGATCAAGTTAATGTCACGTATGCATGTTGATCCAGAACGCGTCGTCGGAGTTGAACTACACCTGCAACTAATAGGACCACAACTGCGAGGATATGTCTGAAATGGCCGGTCTGGGTACAAGTCTGCACAGACTCGGAGTCTGTGCGTGCCACTGCACTGCACTGTTCTACCGGGTTTAAAGCTGCTGGCACCTCCTGAGTATAGATGGCATGCACAACCGCCCGCCGCACTCGTGCTCGTCGTGTGCGGCAACAGGGTCAATTGAACGTAAATTTCAGTGATTTCGAGTCCTTCATCGAGATTCTTGAATGGATTTGCCTGCGTTACCAAGATGTTCTCTGAAGTCGAAGCACTACTCGCCCCCGACCGCGGGCAATTGCAGGCGTGTCGAGGCATGTCACGGGGGCGAGAAGTGAGTCACATTTTGAAATTCAAAACGAAATTCTTGGGATCTGGAAACGGGTGGTGCTCGGCGTAGCTTGAAACACATGTCGGGCATGTGTCCATCGAACTTCGACAGGAACTACCCGGGCCAGAACGAACGAACGGCGGAAAGGCGGACCGGTCTATCAAAACATGGCTTAGGTTGTGCGCCAAGATATTACGATATCTTGTTATCTAGTATTCTGGTCTGCCGTTGTTCATGCACATGATCAGTCCTAGCTAGTCGGAGGAGGAATAGTCAAACTGTTTCAACTGCGCAATGGAAGAATAGAATGATCCAGATCACCGGACATTAGGTAAAGATATTCTGTGCATGCCTCGATGGCTTACGAGTTTAGCAAATCGCGAACAGAAGATGACCTATATACTCACACGTACAAGGAACTGCGGCACGCGATGACTGCTGAGCGCTGAGTCACTGACAAGGCCTTAATGACTGTGAACCTGGAGTTCAGCTAGTTTCAAATGGCCGACCCCATATAAGATATGGCAGTAGGTTCAGCATAGTAACGAAGCGCGAATTGTGGTCATGTCATGAGAAACAGCTACACCGGTACCGTAGATTTATCACAGCAGATGCAGCGGGAGCCGCGTTGGGAAGTATAACGGCGTTCTGCTGATGCAACATCTTATCCGCATATGTCTTTGGGTGTCTGAATCATACAGATGTGACTGCACGACAGGAGCGGAGAGTAAACAATGTGCGCACCATATTCATGTGATTGTGGGTGAATTGTTAGCCCGCGAGTACACCGCAGACACCCATCTTGCAGTGCAATACCGACGCCGAGCGACAGTCAAGCAAGCAAGTGAAGGGAACTGCGAGAGCTAGACACCATTAATGATCAGATCCTGAAGAGGAAGACATTTGGGAGAACGAGAGAACTGAAATGGAACAGAAGGGTGATATATTGATGTCAGAGTTGCGAATTCAGTTCAGTACTACAAAGAGCTTCCATGCTATACATCATTACAAAAAGGACGACACTGGTCCTTCTGATTCCGAATAACTGAGATAACTAAAGTACAAGCAAGCACCAACTCATTAACACAATAATACAAGCAAGAGCATAAAGAAGCAGAGACACCACCGCAACATGTCAGAAGTTAATACCGTCATTTCATCCAATCCTAACCTCATGCCTTTTCGTTTCCCAGCGAAATCAAGTCAGCAATCTGACCTGCTCCCGAACCGAGGTCCACAGACTGATGACGTGCCAGCGAGAGGCTGGGCGGTCGTACATGTTGGGCTGAGTGTGATCGAGAAACCCATGCTTCGGTGGCATTTGCAAGCAATTCCTCCGCGACTTGCGAAGAAACATGCGTGAGCGGGACTGGAGCGTAAACGGGAGCGTCTACAAATCGTAGGTCGACGTCGGATGTGCAGCGCGCTTTGTTTGCCATTGAATGGACTGGTAGGATATATATCCGCTCATAGTGAGGTGTGTGGGATGACAAATGGAAGCCTTGATGACTGATAAGAATGGTGTAGTAACTGGATAAAGCCAACACGAAGTGAAGCTGCGTAATCAAATCACAAACGTCAGCCTTGCGGCTCGCCACCAACTATTAAGGCAAAATTTACTCACGCGAATGACGGTGATGACCATCAAAACAATCATGAACACGAATACTCCCCGCTCAAACCATGGTTCACAGTTCTCCAAAGTCAGCCCCAAGTCGATGAAGTCCCGAAGAGTGTCTGGCTGGCGTGACAACAATTCGCAAATACTAGAGCGAACTGATGGTCGAAAAGCAGCGTAAGAGCCTATGGCTGCAAACAAGGTGCCAAACACGAAATCTCCGACAATGTAGTCACGATATATGCGGACAAATGACGCTTTGCCCTAGAGAAGAGGGCTCAAGATTTTGGCAATTAAAAAAAAGAAAATGTTAACGTACTCGGACAATGCCTGCCAGGCCGAAGAGACAGATGACAGATGCCGCAACAAAATATGCGCACAATAACGCCCATACGAGATGCACTCCATCTTTACTGATGGAATACTCAGAACTCTCCCATTCGCTTTCTGGTTCCCATTTGAATGACCGCCAAGCTCCTAGTAGTCGTACTGCAAGAGCGAAATTGAACACTGCGCCAAAGATCGAAACGGCTAGTGATGTAGTCCTATGAGAATTGAAGAACATGTCAGTCGACGGTCAAGAAAGATAGGAAATTGCAGTCATAAATCCAATGCCCGAGCCGGACTTTTGTAAGCGGGCGGCAGGGAGAGGGGCTGCGCAAGATCAAGCGATGTTAGGACAAACCTTGTTACAAACAAGCGGGCCATTTGTCCAAAATTCTTGCTGGTCGGGCCTTTGGAGACAAGAAGAAATATGGTGGAGCCGGTGGTTCAAATGGAAGGTGAGTATTGTGGTCCGAGAAGGAGTGTTAGCTGGTGTATGACTAAGCTTGCAATGTAATCAGATTGAGGATCGGCGTTTCAGGTTAGTCTTAGACTTTATTTAGAATTATCCGGTACATGTCTTGCGAGAGGATGTGTAGATGTGCGCGAGTCAAGACGGGACTCATCGACATCAAGCTCAGTAAGTTGTCTGTTAATATCTGGTTAGTGAAGCGATTTACATCAAGTGGCACAGTGTGTCAACTTGAACATATTTCTGACAGAATATTTTTCATTCAATGGGCTGATTCGTTTTTCCGTTCAGTCTGTGGCCCAGGCTAGCCCGAACGGACAAGTCCATTCGGCAACCATGCGTTTCCCCTCGCTCGGAAGCGACCGGCATAAATAATAAGCCCGATGGGTTTGTTTGATACACTAAGGACACACGACCGGGTCCGTGATTCCCTCCACGAGTTGTCCATGAGTAAATATTGCACAGTCAGGAACATTGACTCATGACTGAACTTTGGATCACGTGACATTCGGGCTTGCCAATTACAGGCCGTCAACTTCGCAAGGATGATTAATATTGGTGGGTGCAATAATTGCAACGCTGGTCGCTGCAGTACTGTCAGTACTGATGAGTTTATAGGTAATTTCCCTTACCGGGTGTCGGAAGTAGTTCTTTTGCGATGGCAATGTGGTTCCTTCTTCACTCAAGCGAAGCATGCTTTATCTGTGTACACATATTGTGCATCCGAATCACATTTCTCCCTTTGGTGTGTAGCCGTAAAAAAATCACTCCTCTGGACTATGTAGGTGAAATAATCGTGTTCCAACGCGGACTTACACCGTCTCTAGAAGTTGCCCACTGTTTATCCCTATCTTTGTTGACTCGAGTCCGCTCGCACAGTCATTTGAATGCAATCGATGCCTTGCGAATTCGAAAGGCTCGTGCCCAATGTGACTCACAAGATCCTAATCTACCACCCCAATTCTAGCGAACAAGTGTATCAGAAGCTTAGTATTGTTATGTTGTCTGACTTGAGTCCCCCATTAGGGCCTGAGTGGCGGAAATCAAGTTTCGAAGCGGAGCGTGCATAACGCGTGTGCATCTGGAGAATTCCAAAATCGATGACTGGCGTTGCTGGGATGGGTTTAAAACATCATCCACCGTTCTTTCATCTCTCAAACTTACAAGCCCACATCTCATTCACATTCTTCCTACCTTGCAGACTCTGAGGTCATGCCCGACGACAACACAGCTTCATTGCAGGACGCCATCACATCCGAAGGCATGAATGTAGCAGAGGACGCTACTGGAGCCAAGGTCGGTAACCCATATTCACCATGTTCACCGTAGAGCGCATCTGAATTTCAAGTTTTGCTAATCGAACGAATCAGGCGGCTTCAGAAGATAATGTCAGTAAGACGCAGAACACTCAGAATCGTTACTTGCGACGTTTTCAGATGTGGTCTGTAATGAGTTACTTGACTGCTCTGACTGTTCGCTTACATGCAAACACAGGGATGGTGCTACATGCACCTGGAGACCATATGATCCATCGTTCATCAAGCCTGTCTCTCAGCGCATAGATCTGAACAACTATTTCTATCTCGATGTCCAATATGAGGATGAGCAATGTACGCACGATTTTCCACGACTGTTACTATCAAATTACTGTTGGCCTGTATTGACGACTTCGTCTAGCACCCCCTGAACTGATTGTGAGCAACTTCAGCAGTGTATTGATTGATTTCTTTCGGTGAGATTGTGATATAAGCTATTGCCTGGTCAATCTTAGCGTCGCCTTGGCAGCTGCGCCATTGGGAATAATTTTATCAAACAAAACCCGACGTATCCTCTTCTGGATTTTTTCGCAAGAATAGATGACCTTCGGGCCGATCTTGCGGACGTCCGACAAGTTCTTACTTCAAATTTGGATGGTGAAGATCTCAAGCAAAAAGCGAATGATATGGGTTGCACAGATGCATTGGGCCGTATGTCTGGCCATGATAATATGATATCCCCATTGACAATCTCATCCCTTAATACAGTACATAAAACCGAGGAAGACGCCCGGCGGTACTTCGAGGACGTGTCAGAGCATTTTGGCGTCCTATTAGGTATGATAGAGAAAGAATTCGAACCGACGTGAGCACATTTATATACTGTCCTGACATTTAGGTTGACACGAGGTTACAGCGCTCAAGAACTCGAGCTTCAACTCTCTTACGGACACATTGCTTTCGACTTGCTCAGATACTACTTCAAGCGGGGTATCAAGTACTATACTACACAGAAGGGTGACCTGGTGAGTAATAATATATGATAGTAACTGTCTGTTCCAATCTTGCTGCAGACTGGATTTACGCTCAGTAGCGCAAGCTATAGTAACAGTTTAGCGTATGTTGCATTGTATACGAAGGATCCGGTCCTCATTACTTGCCTACAGATCATTTTACCTGAATTCCGAGACAACGAGGTGGAACGGATACAGATATATCGACGAGAAAAAGAATTTCTCGGTTCCAAAATACGATGTTTGTACTTTTTGCGCTTGCAATTCATGAGAGCTCATGATCGTTTAGGGAACGATGAAACTGTCACAACTGGATTGCAAAATCATGACAGACGATGTACGCGCCAAGCTAACCGGTACAGTGCCTCACGCTTTTTGTTAGATGTACAGAAGTTCTAAACATCATTTTAGCCCGAGGGAATTTGTATGGATCATTTTCTGGTGGTTTCCATTATAAGTCATGTATGTCTGACCCATTCTACGTTGCCGTCAGACTAATAACTGTGCTCAGACAAAGGGGTAATTTTCCTTCCTTCTCTTTTCTAGAATGGAAACGAGCTTATTGATTCGACCCTAGAGTCGAATCATTATCGATGAGCGTGCATTCAATGTTAGACAGGGCTACACGTGTAACCCGTATGATATCATTGCTTTTGTTTCTAATCCATGCACTAATGTCGTCTCAGAGACGAGAAGATCCCTGACATTCCAGAGGGCAAACACGATCAACTTCCGGCTTTTGTGAATGGTTTCGATCTCAAGAGCAAAGTAAGTTGAACTCTTTTCAAGTTAATTTGGTTCGACTGACTCACGACGGGCTACAGCGATGGAAATCATTCGATGTCGAACATATTGATGACATCACGTATGACGAGAAAGCCTGGGACCACTTGGTTGTAGATGATGATGTTAAAGTAAGTAATAGCCCTCTGTTTATTGTCCGGCTATTGTTGATGGTCAAGCAGAACCTGATCAAGGGACTTGTCAATGTTACTAAGAATGTCAATACGTCGCAGCATCTTATGTCGGACGTCATCACAGGTAAAGGTGGAGGTTTGGTAGGTTTCCCTGTACCTCCCAATGCTGTCAACCTCATGTTATTCTGTGTAAGATTGCGGTACTTCATGGGCCTCCTGGGACCGGAAAGACGCTAACAGCTGAAGCTGTCGCTGAACACCTCAAGAGGCCTTTGTACATCGTGAGCTCTGCGGAATTGTCGACAGAGCCTTCACACCTAGAATCTAAGCTTTCGGCGATATTGAAGGTACATGCCATGATGTACAATTTCGACTGAACTGATAAGAATTCTCTACTAGTTAGCTACCGTATGGGACGCCGTAGTTCTTCTTGATGAAGCCGACGTGTTCCTGGAACAGAGGAGTTTCCATGACGTACGTTTTTGCAATTCATCATTAATTCCACGATACATTTCTCATTTTATTGTAGCTGGCACGCAACGCACTGGTTTCCGTTGCATTAAAGGTCATTGAGTACCACCGCGGTGTGCTCTTCTTGACAACAAATCGCATCCAAACGTTTGACGATGCCTTTCTTTCGAGGTTCTCCATTGGTCCGTCCTCCATTTATATCATATCAGTTTGAAATAAACACAATCTAAACAGCGATCAAATATCCTGAGTTAGATGCTTCGGCCCGGCTTACGATCTGGAAAAAGTTCATCGAGCTTGCTGGGTGGCCATTTTTGGACTCAGAGTCTGAAGAGTTCGTCAACATCGATGGCAAAGAGCCACGTTGTTATATTTCTCACTCAGATCTGGAAGTATTGGCGCAAAAGCCGTTTAATGGTCAGCATATCCCTGTCATCCTGCCTATCAGAATTCAATATAGTTTCTAGGACGCACCATTAAGAACCTTGTCCGGACCGCCCAGGCGTTAGCACTCTCTGCGTAAGTATTATTGTCCGTGTGTTTGCTTCCCTGTTACTCATGAGAATGCACAGAAATGAACCGCTTTCCCTCGACCATGTCAAGGTCGTTATCCGTGCGCAAGAGAAATTTTTGACAGAGTTTGCGCAAATCCGCTCTTAGTTGGCACCTTATCGATCGTATCAGTCCAAGTATATCCATATCAATATTGTAACACCACCAAATGTATTCCACAAATTTCGGGCAGATGACGCTGGTATGAGAGCAGCATCGAGAGCATTAGCCAAGCCCCCATATGCCTGCTTTCCTCACACCATCGACGAGAGCATCTACATTCCCCAGCATGCTCCCTAGTATTTCTTTCTTCTCATCAATGGTCCGCACACGGTCATGCCTGCCTGTGTGAGCCTCTGCACCCTCAGCACGGCCTGATAGGAAGGTCTTACTGCTAATCGTCTCTCGAAAACGTGATACGGAAGGTGTGGTAGGGATGGGTGCATCAGTGACTCCGAGACCTGGTCGGAACCCTCTGGGTTTCTTTGGGCTCAGCGGCTCATAGTCCACTTCCTTCCGTAGCATGAGCATCGAACGTGACTGTAGTGGAGCCGGTATCTTTCTAGTGCTGGATGTTATCGAAGGTGGTGAGCTAGGAGGAGTGCGTGGGTCTGATGAAGTGAAAGTGGAGGTGGAATATGATTTCTTGATAGGCGAAGGTGTGTGGATGCTCTCGAAGCTAGTGGTTGTACTAGTTGTCGATGAACCTGTTGACATGGAGAAGAAAGAAGATGAGGTTGATGAATTCGATGACGACCTGGTAGAGGTACACGCAAATGAGATATTCGAGGCGCTAGATGCAGGACGAGCAAATATTTTGGATTCAGGAAGTAGAATAGGTGTGCTAGGTTGGGTGGCAACGGGGGAGGAAGGTAGTGAGTGTGCTTCATCAGGCTGTATGTGGGTGGGAGTCTCATCCATCAGATAGAAGTAGAGAAACTCGAGGCATTTCATTCTGGATCTACATCAGTGATTGCACAGCAATGGAACGGGTAACCCACCTGACTTCGCGTGGTGTTCCTGCTCGTTTGAGTATCTTTACCACTGCTTGAACCCCATTCACTTCCTCAAAAGCGCGTAGCGCTGGAGAGGAATCAACCAGAATACACAACAAAGTATCCAAGACAGCAGATGTCAAATGCATGAAGGGCGCAGGTTTTTCTGGTGATTGGGAATTGTTTTCCCTCGAAGAGGCATCAATGGTTGGCGTGTGTCGAGAAGTAAGCAATAACCCGATCAAAATCTACGATGGATGATGAGGTTTGGGCATCTCAAGGACTTCACTAAACACAACCAACCTCAAGAGAAAACCGACGACCCAGAAAAGACTTGCTTGATTTGTGGTGAAGAGAGACTCCTTGGATTATTGACAAGCCTTGACATAACTGGGAGCACGAGGTATCCATTTCAGTATCACGCTCTTCTGTGATTCAGTCAGCCATGATGTTGAGGAAGAAAAAGGCTGCGTACTTACTGGTGGAGCTCTTGCTTGCGCACAGTTCTAGTTGAGGTGTCGTACATTGTATCCAAGCCAAGATCCGCGATGGAACTATATATCCGAATTAGACGGTACGCAGCAGGTTGGGTGGTTATTCCCCACCATTGGATTCAAAAGCGTCTTGAAGGTCCAAATACGTTTCTAGTGTATCATCATTGGAGGACTGCACGCATGCAAGCGCAAGCTGGTGCTCAAGAACAGCCAGAGCTCTATTTCGTCTTCCAAATGATGAACGTGTTGAGGTCACCTGTAGTGGTAAACCATTGTCATAACTAACCGAACCCATCCTCAAGATCATCCTTGTTACTCACATCGTCCAAAGCATCCTGCAGCGTCGTCTTCATCGAGCTCACTGTTGACGACATCGGTGAAGAGATAATTCCGTTGTTTCAGAAATCACTGGTCAGGACTTCCCTCGAGGCTCGTGACGAGCAATTGATGAATTGTTTGAATCTTGGAAATTCAAATGGGTTAAACGCGTCGCTGCCACGTGACTGGAACGTGACGCGGAAATTAGCACTTAGTACGACGGTCTCGACCGCGTGAAGCTGTACTGCCAGCAGTGTGGGGTCCAAGTAACTAACGCTTAGGTACGCATTCCCAGACCTTCACAATCTTTGTTGTTGATCATCATGGCACCCATTCTAACAGTATGTGCAACATATATCTATTCTACTATATGCTCACATAGAGGAATCGCGACTGCAGCAATGGACGCGGCTTATTCGCTTTGTTGCTGCAGAGACCGCACAAATCCATATTGGACAACCGGTTGACCCCAGACTTGATGGTAAATCACAAGCTCATTCTGTACCTCCTTGACTATATGTTTATGTTCGTGACATACAGTTGGCCTTGCCGCATGGAACAAACAGACCATCAGAGTTTATGAGATCTCTGGGTCTACCCTTGACCCCGCCTCTCGCGTTACGAGTAATATCTTAACAGTCGAGAAGCTTCTCTCTCCTCTCTCTCGCGAAGAGATGAAGGTCGTTCGGTGCTTGGGTCTCAACTACTCGGACCACGCAGTAAGTTCTGTCGAAATCGAGTGATATAGTATGATATTGACGCCACAAACAGGCAGAGACAAAAATGGCTAAGCCTGCGTAAGTCGATGCTTACCAATTTTTCCTGTATTCTATTCAAAATTGCAAACATTGTTATATCCAGCGCCCCCAACTTGTTTTACAAGCCCCTGACGTCGATGATCGGTCCCAATGCACCAATTTTTATTCCCAAGGTTGCTCAGCCTGTCGAAGAGCACCTCTCCGACTACGAAGTAGAACTCACCATCGTCATCGGAAAGGCGGCCAAGAATGTCTCCGAGGCGGACGCTCTCGACTACGTCCTCGGGTACACTGGTGCCAATGATGTAAAGCTTACATTATTGTTATTGTTTTGAGGCCGCCTTATCTCATATATTCGACAATAGGTGTCATTCCGCAAGCACCAACGAACAACTTCCCAGTGTGGATTCTCCAAGGGGTTCGGTAAGTCATTTTTCTCGGACAAGATGAGATATGACTTCATACGACGAACTCGAACAGATAACACAACTCCCCTCGGTCCTGTTCTTGTATCGCACAACGCCATTTCCAACCCCCAGGAAATCCCGCTAACTTGCACGCTTAACGGACAAGTCCTCCAGGACAGTAACACCAAGTGATACTTATCCATTCCCTCGAGAGAGCACACGCTGAAGTGATGATTGTTTATTAGCGACCAAATCTTCAATGTTCGTCAAACGGTCTCTTTCCTCTCGCAGGGAACCACCCTGGAGCCTGGGTCGGTTATCTTGACTGGAACACCCAAGGGTGTTGGTTTCGCGAGGAAGCCCGCCATTGTACTCAAGAACGGCGATGACTGCAGGGTATGGTTGGGTCACGGTATTGGCACACTCATCAACCCTGTCATTGAGGAGGGCCATCACCAGGCGAAGTTGTGAATTTGTAGTCACATATGTATACAGTCTTGTTTATATACATGCTTTATTCTCGTGAATTGACGACATCAGGTAACAGATATGATACATAGTTTCTTGTGTACAAAAGTGTATTATTTCAGAGCCCGTCAAAAGTGATGAGTTTCTGATTCAAGCTGTACTCCTCGATAACCGTGGCCGACCTAAAATCAAACGGATTCAGCATTAACCAAACAGGAGAACTATTAAAAACTCACCAACGCCACTGAACATCAGCAAACTACCGAGCCCTTGTACAAAATTGTACAAGCAATACAATTCGACAAGTCCCTCCTTTACAAGTTTGTCACAAAGCCTTACAACCTATATAAATAGTCACAATCTTGACATGTTGGACATTACTATACAGACTAGATATATTATACAGTTTAGACATAGCACACACACTTGAATCAAATTCAGTAGTACTGTACGCACATAACATGACGGACACAGTGTGCAGGCCTAGTAAGGCACTGCAGCCATTCTATTCAAACAATGTGATACTGATAACTGAAGATAAAAAACTACTGTTGACATCATCGCTGCCTGCCGCACTGTCAGAATCGTCCCGAAACTCACCGGTGCACCCAGCATCCTCATATCAGCCCATTCCTCTAGCATCAGGCTAAGATGTGTGAGCAAATTGAGACAAAAACAAGCAAAACGCAAAGTTACGAGCGATGCAATACAAGACAAAGTGAAGTTACAAGCATGTTCAAGCTGATACGATGCAATGCGCTCAATGTGCGTTTTCCATTATCTGCCTTATCTCATCATATCGAGTACGATACAAACATTAAATATCATATTCTGTCGTCTCGGTTTCTACTGGGCCTCGAGGCTCGTGATCGTGATGTAGGGTGCGGTGAAAAATTCAATAATTTTTAACAGCGGTTAATTAACCGAGTTATTAACCGGGTTATTAACTGTAAATAATTCAACGCTGGAGGGACATCGGTCAAGAACTGTAATCTATGTGTTGCTAACAGTTTTTCGTGTTAACGTTCAAGAAATCAGCTTTATTAGTTCTGAATAACGGCTGATTTCTAATAAATAGTAACAAATAACTATTGAAGCTATTTGGGCTCAAACCCGAAGGGTTTGCGACCCGAAACATCGTTTCGAACCTGCAGGAAAGTCCAGGATGATAGTGCTGCCGCGGTCCGGTCCAGAACCATGGTTCGAACCGGACTTTTGGTCCGGTTCTCCGCGGTTCGGTCCATGGTTCTTGCGCCAGCCAGAACCGGACCGGAAAACGGTTCTCGGTTCTAGATCTTCCCAAACGGTCCAGTTCTGGTTCGGCCTTCCCGAACCATTCCGAACCCTTATCGACTTCGACTTCGACAACACCTGCCTCGACGTCAGACTGTCGTCTTCGGGATTCACATTGTTGATTAATCAAGCTACATTTAGCCTTTTCGAAGGTATACCGGTAAGCACTAACTAATTAAACTCTCAAGTCTCTCACCCTGCTCACCTCTATAACAGGAAGTTCTATTCATTGAGGACCGGCTACAACACTGCGCAAGACTACCTTTTACTGGAGGTGGATATGTTAGGCACGGTCAAGGTGGATTTTGGAGGGATTGTGTCTTGCGCTATGCTGCAGAGGTGCGTATTTGTGCTCTGAATGCTGATGGCTCCCTCAAGGGCCAGCACCCATCGCTACCAGCGCACAACCCATCACACGCCACGCCACCTGCGCCTATGTTGATGCCCGCCACCTCACTGCATCCCCTCTCACTCGCTTGCTGTTCTTGCCGGCTGGCTTTTGCTGGCTCGCTTGCCAGTGTCTCACTCGCCCACTGTCTCTCACCCTCTGTCTCTCGCCCGTTGTCTCTCACCCCGCTGGACGCGACCCAATCTTTCAATACGATGAGAGTTTTTGGAGGTACGTTTTATTTGAGTTGTGATGATGCGATGTTGAACGATCACCTTGCACTACAGGCTTTGCGCATTGCGCGATTGAGGACATCATTTGGAAGAACTACCATCATTTTCGTCCTCTCACCTTTGGGTTTGACGCTTGTGCTTCAGGGCTATCACAAACAATCCTGAAGTCTTCCCCGAACCACACAGGTTTAATCCTCAGCGTTGGATTGATGATGCAGGTCGCACGCGATGATCTCCGGTTGATCTCCGGTTTTTCACTTTTGGCTTTGGCCGTCGGTGAGTAGTATCGTTCATCTCTCGACCATTTCTTACGCCTTACTTGAAAATGTCAGAGTGTGTCCTCACGAATTGGTCAGTCTTCATCAATATGGCTCTCATCATGTGGGCTTTCCACTTTTGGAGAATCCTGCGGCCACCAGCATCACAATTTTTTCTGAAGCGCCGGCCACGTCAGCATCTTCAGCAGCTACAGAGGCAGAGGGGTATGGAGTCATCATTAGAGTAGCTACTCGATGTGTAAACTAGTATTTCAATGTTTTGTTTTTCGCGCTTGCCACTGAAAATTTTCGGGTTCGGTTCGAGTTCGGACCAGAAAAAAACTGAACCGGACCACAGAGAACCGTTCTCTGTGGTCCGGTTCGGGGTTCGAAGATTTTGCAGAACCGGACCATGGACCGGTTCTCAGTTCTCGTCCAGGGCCCTCTGAACTGGACCGAACCGGACCACGGCAGCACTACAGGATGAGCCATGATTCCCAAAAAACCCGAAAGGAGCCCTGTGACGCGTCAGGCGCAGCATGGACTCCCGTCTCCCAAGGAGGAGGGCAAAGCATATTAAGAATCGATATTACTCACTGTTTAGTGCACTGGGGGCATTGTATACCTGGTAAAAGGTTCTAACGCTGGGGATTCTTGAAGGTACAGGGCTAATATATGCGCATGTTTGCGAAGGTACCCGGTGAAGGCTTCACTGGACCATCTGCCTATCGACTTCACTACGTCGAAAGGCACTCTGCGCAGCAAGTATTCCAGAGTGCCGCCTATGTGCAATCCGTGTCCTTTAAAGTTTCCTAGACCTGCTCTCTTGATTATACCGTTAATCCTTTTCCAGAATTCGTTCCTCGTCAACGGTCTCATTCCTTTGACGTGCTTCCACGCAAAGAGATGTCCGTCGCGCTGCGGATCATTTATTGCGAAATGATGCAATAGCGCCGTCTTTGGATCTGTCTGATTGTCTTGTTGCGCCCAATAAACGCTCTCTCCCGATGCTGATACCTTGGTACGTGGTATAAAGATTTTGGTCGCATGAAAATGATGCCTGTCCTCGACGTCAAACTCCACATCCGAGCGCTTGACTGTTTTCCCCGGGTCAAAGTCTTTCATCGTCTTCGTTGTGAGTTCTCCCAATCGACATAATGCATAGAATGCTGTCGTTAAGCACGCGAATACGGCAGCATCCAACGGGGTGTCTAGATTAAGATGCGCTCGAATCTCAAGGATCAGTTTCACCATGAATGGTTCTCGTTTGGAGCGTTTAGACGAAGAGGGTGTAAGTTCTGCTGCCCCATCTAGTGACACTCGTAACTGATCCTGGTTGACTATCCAAGACTGTCCATGTATCGTGTGCCAAGCTTTGACAGCGTAGACGTAATTCGTAAGTGTTTTGCCTGAGTATGACCCTGCGCAACTGGAGACAAAGTTAAGGATGGTCCGTGTGTCAACCGGACAGCGTTCATCCTCTGGAATTGATCTCTCGTCGCAGAATACATGAAAAATGAGAAAACCTGCGCCGTAACATTCTCTTGTCCCAGCTGTCCATGATAAATTCATGACGGTGAGCACTCTCTCTAAGTCTTCTTCTGTGATCGCGAGATACCTTCCGTCTGGACCTGCAGCTACTCTCATCTTCAATGGATACCATAACCTTAGCCGTTCTCATGCTAGGCAGTGCGGGCGTAACTGCGACGTCACAGGTACTAACCCCTTCTTGTAAGGCTGAGGCTTAGCGGGTAGCTCTGTTGGTAGCGACACTTTGAATCTGGAATTACTGACGATGATGCTGTTGCTCTCGATGGATGAAGAAGAGTGAGTCCTTGGTTGCTCTGTGACTGTCGTTGTGAGATTCATCTGTATCGTTGCGAGCAGAGCTTTTGACGATGGGTGCGTCCGTTCTGTCTGTACTATAGTCTGCTGGGTTCATGGATACGACGAAGGGATCGACGATGAAGGGCTGAAGCTTGGCTGGGATGGGGATGTAGGGGAGGAGGTATTCTGCGCTCTTGTAGATACCTCTTGATGGTTCATCTGCTGGATTACATTTACTTGTGACATAGGCTGGGTGGAATGAGTAAGGCATTGCGGAACTGTAGATAAGGTTGAACATTCGTCTGAAGACCAGGTTAACCGCTTTGTTTCTACTACGACCGTTGCGCCATCCTTCGATGATGCCCTTGTTGTCCCTGTAAATTCTGAAATGTCTCTCTGACTTTCCCATTCCGACAATGTGCATAGCAAGGAGCTCGAATCCAACTGCCTCTGCCCATCCAATGTCCTTTTGTCCATCGAGTGTCTGCCAGCCTTTGCGTAAACGCCAGGCTCGCCATCTATCGCCAATGATGATAGCAATTCCGACGCCCCAACTGGCGTCAGAGTATGCGGCTGGGTCATGCAGCGTAAGCGGTCTGGGAATTGGTCGTCCGACGAAGGAAGATCGCAGAATCGTCGACCACCAGAGAAGATCGTACTCGAGACTCTTAACTGGTCGTCGTGAGATAAATGGCTTTTGGGAGGCAATGCGTAGCATTGCCTCCAAGGACGTAAGGTAAGCGCGACCTTTCGGTACCACCAGGGTAGTGTGCAGCAGCTTACCGTACAATTGTTGTATGTCCAGAAGAACGTGCGTACCTCGTTTCTGCCAGACTTCGATTGCTGTAAGATACTTAGTTTTCTTCTCTTCCGCGAGGTATACTTTGTCCAATTCCAGGTCCCAGATAATGCCGATGTAAGGATTGTTGAAGTTGAATGCTTTGTCTTTGAGTTTCTCCCAGGGAATGTCGAGTTCTTCCGAAAATTCGTCGATGTCCTCCATGCTACATGAAAAACGTCCGTCTTCCGCAGATCGTGGCGATGCTCCCGAGAAGTCCCTGATCGGAAACTGACAGTCCTCGTCGAACTCCTCCAGCATGCCATCTTCGAAAATGTGGCCTCCAAACCAGACTCTACCTCCATCCTGCTGTCTCCCTCTTTTCTTAATCTCCTTGTGCCATAATGCCCTCTTGACGTTGTAGTCCGGTATACATTCTTTGAGGATTCGAATAAAAATGTGATCGTCGACCCATCTAGAGTTCGGTCCAATTCCTCTAGATCAAAATAGGTCAAGACCGGCATCCGCCAGGTTCCCATACGCTCTGGCTGATGGCCGGAGGCTGAAACACATGCACGTGTCGACACAGAATTGTTCTTCTGAGATCCGGACAACCGATCCTGGCCATTGTGATGTGTGGATTGGGATGGTATGATACGCCTCAGAGACGTCTCTGATGGCGATCTGCGAACCGGGCAGCAATCTACTGATGGTGAGTGCGAGGACGTGAAACGTTCCCCAGGTACTGGGAAAGTTGTTGGAATCGATATATGAATTGATGGAAGCATTGGGAAACTTGACAGAAGGAACGTGCAGAAAAGAATAATTTTGAATGATCCGGTATCGACCTGGGCGACCCGGCTTCGGAATAATCAAGAAGGGAGATGTTTGAAACAGTCCGATAAGACTTTCGACTTCATTAAAACTAAGCGGGCCAATATATCTTTCTTTCTGAAGCTCGATTTGCACAATAGATAGGAATTCTTGTTGGTATATAGTGACAGAGTCTTTGTTTGGAGGCGCTTGCGTGATCTTAATATTAGGAATGTCCAACATGAAACCCCGACGTAGGCTCTCAGGAATATGCGGGTATCTGTTAATGAGACCTGTTGCGACGAGTTCTGTTTCCCATGCTCCTGCGTTATATGGCGTGAGCGCTCTATGCCTTCTGTGCTCGAGGACACATTTGAGCCCCGTGAGTCGAGAGTCCGCATCCCGAACAGAAATGCCTTCGGTCGTGCGTGATCTCCGCACATCCGCTGACTCTCTGCCAGTCGCTGCAAACCGCTTTTCCGTCTCGCATGGTGAGATCCTTCCGATTCGTGCACAAATAGTGTCGTGCGACTCGTCCCAGAGTTTGGCCGACTTGCATTCGATGATCTTGTGCGGGTTGCGTCCCAGACATACGGCGCAGGCGGAGAGGACGCCTCCGCTTGCGCCAGCACAAAAATCCTGATGCGGTCTTTTCGCTCTATTGCTATGATCCGGGGACACTGTACGTTTGTGCGAATCTTTGTACTCTCACTGCTGCGAAGACGAGTTAAATCAGTGATCCGACTGTGGCATGAAGCGAAGCGTGTGGCATGTGGCATTTTGGGTGAGGCATGTAGCGGTGTGTGAGGCATGTAGCGAAGCAATTGGTATATTATATCAAGATTTAATGTTTTAATTCGTGACATAATTAAGGCGAAATAATGATTAGTGTGTGCTTGCTTACAACTAATGAAACGATTGCTGACCTTGTAATCCTGCGCATTGTCTCTCTTTGAACGATCCTCCCAGTAGACTTTGCTCCTCATGTCCTCTAAGACCTTCTCGTTGATTATTGAGAGATCATATGGACCTACCGCGGATTTGGCTGCAACGTGCCAACGTCTCCGTTGTTCCACTTGGTAGACTAACAGCGTTTTCTGGGCTAATGGGTCTCGGAGAGACCGGTATTTGTGAATCTGCAGATTCCTCCAAAAGATAGCCGTCATCCTAATCCTGTCTTGCAGCCAGTCTGCTTCCTCTAAGGCTGCTAGGAAACGAGGACATGCCTGACAGAATTCCTCGAATGGTAGGTCCTCGTCGTTGACGACTGAACGTGCGCTACGAGTCGAGGCTGATGACACCCAAGCTGTTGAACCGTCCGGTAACGAGGATAGAATCATTGCATCGTTGTCTACCGTCTTCTTAGTTGAGGCTTCATCTAATCCGCTGTTTGTGAAATACCACAACTCAAGATACTCTCCCTTGTCGAGCTTGCGCAGCGCGTATGAGCAAGGAGTGACCGCCAGGTCGTCTGGTATGCCCGAATTCTGAATTGGAATGTATTTGTGTTTATTCTTTTTGCGTTCTTCCTTGCGTGCGTCCTCCTCCTCATTGATACGTTCTTGTTTCAAACGCTCTTGCTCATCTTCTTCCATGTGTCGCTGATGGGCTAATTCCTCCCTGTCATTCTCCAGCTGTTGTTGCCATAAACGCTTGTCTAGATTGTTGTTAGCTAGCCAGATATTTCTGAGCAACTGCACCGCTTGTTCTTCTGTAGTGTTATCATTCACTAGCTGCGCTCGAGTGTTCGTGAAGTCCTCCGAATTGTAATCCGGGCATAAATTCAAGTTGGAATCACTGCGAATGTGCGGCATAATGATATTAACTGAAGAATGTTCTTTTTAAAGAAGCTGCGACGAAACGAGGGTGCCGTCGCGGAGAATAGTAAATGCGAGTGCTGAGTGGAAGTACAAACCAAGAAGCATGAGAACCCGAAAACACTGCGCCGCCACATAGATCTAATTCTACGTACGTTCTCGTGCCTCGAACTAACGTAGAATACACATAATGTACCATGTCCTACCATGGCATCCTAGGCATGCCGTTATATCAAATTCGTCCTGATTTGCCTCATGTTGGGTGGATAAAGGCTCGTAGAATCTCATACTGACATATTTGTGTCATTCCAGCCATTGGGTTGCACCTGAATCATACTAATATGTCAGGAACATTTTTCGGAGTGTCGGACGACAGAGTGATTGGGATAATAGATATGTCAATTAAAATTCTACTGATCTAACTTTTTGCTTGTATCGCAGACCTCCTTACAGATATGACAGCTATGAGTGGTTCAGTTCTCGACACCTCAGTTCCATCCGAAACAGTTCACGATGGCCTTATTCCGAGTTCTGCAGCAGCCGATTTTCGCCTTTTACTGGCAAAGCTCCCCTTGGAAGGCAATGTGCACCTGTTTTCGATCAGTTAATAACAGTTAATAGAATTTGAATTTTTATATTTGGCCATCTAATAGCTTGGACGAAAAAATCACGTGCCGACTGTCAATATGTGTCAGGTTTTATGTAAGAGTGAGGAACGAACACGCGCATAGAACAAAGTCTATGTATGAGCCGAGTAAGGACAGCTTCATTCTCCTCTTTCTCGCTACCAACAGCCTGGCGCGTGTATCAGCACATCGATCATCTCTTAGAGTCATTACCTTTGAACATCGATCTGCTCTTTTAGATTTTCTTTTACATCTTACTATGACTCGACTTTTGGCTGATCTGCATCTTGAACAGTGTCCGGATTTCACCTCCGCCGATCTTCAGAGCAGTCGTGCGCCTTTGCTCGGTCCTTTGACCACCGACGAGCAAGCTGCGGCCATCTTGACCACCATCTGGACCGCCACTAATTCAACTTCAAGGATCCGCTGGCAGGGGCAACTTGCAGCTGATGCTCTAGCGGCCGCGGAGGAGCAACGTATCATTGACGAAGCATCCACCCAGCGTGCGGCCGCTGAAAAGCTTCAAGCCGACCTGCTTGCTGAAGAGGACAAGAAGAAAAAACCGTCTACACCATATTCCCATCCCTGACCGCCCTCGTCCCACACAGGCTTCCGAAGCTATACTTGTGTCTGACTTCGCTCTACGTAAATTGGACAAAGTACAATTCATTGAGCTTTACTACTGGACCAACAAAGGGCTCGCAGATGCGCGGCTGAATTTCCACACTACTGATGACGATAGTTTAGTACCAACAACTGCCACAGATGGCTCCACCACCTGGATTGCTGCCAACGCTGCGTGTCCTGCCTCTGGTGTGATCGCTGATCATCTCCTCGCTCCGCTCGACTTCTCTCATGCCATCCCTTGCTTCATTGCCTCTTTACAACAACGTGGCTGGGACAGCTCACGCGTTCTTATGTTGGCTAACTTCTTCGGTGCACTCATGTCACACACCTATTGGACGTCTGACAATGCTCTTGAGCGGTGTGCTCTCCTTGCCTATCAGGAGGAACAACGTCGGGCGTGGCATCAAGCTATTCCATTGCCTGCTGGAGCATGGAACATCGCTCTGATTGACAAAGTTGAATTGTCACGGACCTTCGATTGTCTCTATCACACTGAACGAGAGCGTGCTGACTTAGACTTCGAGTTCAAGGTTCGTTCCTTCATTTTAAAATTTCAAATCGATATTAATGTTGTTTGCTTCATTTCCACTTGTTATCCGCACTTGTTGTCATGATACTATCTATGACTTATATTTGGTTACTTGCGTTGCGTTGCATTGCGTTTTTGTTTTGCGGTATGCGATCTGTGTTTTGCGTTTGCGATTATGTTCGGTCTCTAGAGGTTGCACAGTCTGAACCCCAGGTCATCAGGAGAGGACTATCGCACCTCCAAAGAGAGACCTCGCGCTTCCATACCTTCTGTCGATCAGCGCTCATCAGTGGCTGAGCGTGAGCACTCTCCTTCCCCCTCCTCGCGTAACAAAAGCGCTAGGCAGGACAAAACACTGCGTTCATCTGCAGGTTTTTCCAACGGCGCACACGGCCAACGCTCTCCCACCGTGTGCGCCGTTTGTCTCGGGCGCAACAATCATCCTTTCGCCGAATGTCCCGCAGACCGCCTGTGGGACAATTCCTATTCTACTGTCAGCAAACGGGTCCTTCGCCAGTTGCTCGTCCAAAGCAGCGACAAGCCGCTTTGTGTCGATTGGCAACGAGGTCGAAGTTGCCCATCTCGCTTGCATGACAAACGACACCTATGCTCCGGGTGTCTCTCGCTCTCCCATGGAGCTCAAAACTGCCCTCGAGCACAGACGCTCTCATCCAGTGTGTCCTTATAATGTGTTGGCTTGGGAAGCTTTGCTTGAGGAACATGGTCTTCGGGAGCGTTACCACAAGATTACAAACGGCTTTCGCTTTGGTTTTAACCTGGATCTCCCTCACATTCTCGTTTCTCAAATTCCCCTCAACAGTCCCTCTCTCATGGAACATAGCAAGGCACTTGATGACATCATCGATCGAGAACTTCTTGCTGGTCGGTACATCGGCCCGTTCACACGTTCTGACTTGCAGTCTCTGGTGGGACCCTTTCAAACGTCACCAGTCTCGATCATTCCTAAGTCTGGTAAACCCAGTAGATTTCGGGTCATTCAAAACTTCTCTTTTCCGCATTCTCCCTCTCCACGTGCTCCGCAGCCCTCGATCAACTCCATGGTTATATCCGACAACTTCCCTTGCACCTGGGGCACTTTTGACACAGTCTGTTCCATTATACGCCACCTTCCCCCTGGTTCGCAGGCTGCAACCAGAGATGTTGCAGAAGCTTACAGAACTATCCCTCTTCTGTCTGCCCAATGGCCGGCTACTGTTGTGCGGTCCGACCTTGACTCGTTTTATGTGGACACCTGTACTTCGTTTGGTATGGGGCCCTCAGCAGGAGCCTACGGTTACGTTGCTGATGCTGGTGCAGACTTATTTCGCGCATTGGGACTCGGTCCTCTCACGAAGTGGGTCGATGACCACTTATTCTTCAGGATTAGGTGTGAACATCTTCGTGCTTATAACAGCTATCGCGATTCTGTACGCCAGCACCTGTCTACTGGCGGCATGCGTCAAACGGGGGGTCAAATTTGGTTTGAGGGTGATACCTTTGAGGATGGAACATGCGAAGTATTCAGTGAGGATCATCGTTTCCCGCTACGAGACTTCTCCACAGTTTCTAATTGCACTCCTGAAGACCAACCTTTCAGTAGTTCTTTTGCTGATATTGACGAGTCTTCCATCAATTTGGGCATTCCTTGGGAGATTACAAAGGATACTCAGTTCGCTTATACCGTTTTATTCATTGGACTTCTGTGGAACCTCACACATCTCATCATTGCATTGGCTGATGCCAAAAGAGAAAAGTACTTGGCGGCCATCGCTCGGTGGCTCGAATGTCCCACTCATGTCCTTCTCGAAACGCAGCAGCTCTATGGCAAACTGTTACATGCCTGCCTCGTTCTTCCCCAGGGCCATGCCTATCTCACGTCCTTGGAATCCATGCTCAGCATTGCCAGTTCACGTCCATTTGTGCCATATCACTCCATCCGGCATCTCAACGAGGACCTTGCATGGTGGACAGAGCAATTGTCCTGCCCTTCCCTCCACCGGATCATCCCTCAGCCATTCTCAATCATCGACATCCATGCATTCTCTGATGCAAGCTCCGGTGTCGGAATTGGAGTTGTTATCAAGGGGTTTTGGCGCGCTTGGAGCTTGCGCCGAGATTGGCAATCTCTCAACGGAGCCAAAGACATCGGCTGGGCCGAAGCAGTTGGTTTCGAACTACTCATACTCTGCATCATCCGCCTTGGCATTCCCTCGGCTGGTGGACATTTCCGCTTACACTGCGACAGCCTCGGAGTCGTTGAGGGCTGGAAGAATGGAAGGAGCCAAAACTGGGCAACCAACTGCGTCTTTCGACGCATTCTCTCTATGCTCGAACCTCTTGGTCCTCACACCTCCTTCCACCTCTCTTATGTCCCCAGTGCGTCCAACCCAGCAGATGGTCCCTCGCGTGGAGTATTCCCTCCCACCACCATGCTTCTTCCCCCCATTATTCTCCCCTCCGCCCTTCAAGACTTCGTGCACGATGAATTCGACACCCTGTCTTCCTCCTCCTGTTCCCACTCTCAACGGCACTCAAGTACTTTCTCAGTGGCTGACAGGCCAGAGCACTGGGATTATGGAGAGGAACTCTTACGGTTCCGAGAGAGTTGGAGTGATTAACGAGTCACGCTTTGTAAACATGGCCACATTAGCGCCAGAGTCACTGCCCACCGCCAGTCCCAGACCTTACGCAGTTTCCCTCAATCCTTTACCTTCAAACCTTCGTCCTCACTGTTTAGCTCAAGACCGTCTTCGCCTCTGGCTGCCTTCAACTCGCCATAAACCTCTTGGTCATAGTGGGATGTATATTGCTTTGACAGATGTTGATCTCAATCGCATCCTCACAGTTATTGGGCACTCGCTTGCCTCCAGCACTCGTGAGACCTACGGTGCTGGATTACTAGTATTTCATGTGTTTTGCAATGCCCGGCTTATTCCCGAAGACCAACGTGGCCCTGCCTCCTCCATTTTACTGCTGAGCTTCATTGCTAGCTGCGCTGGATTGTACTCCGGAAAAACCCTAGAGAATTACTTTTATGGTGTCCGAGCCTGGCACCTGTTACATGGACTCGACTGGTTACCAGACTCAGCGCAAATCTCCTCGGCATTAGCAGGTGCTGCGTGTTTAGCACCAGCTACATCAAAACGTGTAAAGTGTCACCCCTTCACCATCAGTACTTTGCTTGCTATACGCTCAGTACTAGATCTGTCAGCTCCTCTCGACACCGCAATCTTTGGATGCCTCACTGTATCCTTTTTCTCTCTCGCACGCGTGGGAGAGGTAACTCTCCGCTCTTTGTCTGCCTTTGATCCCTCCTTGCATGTCAAACGCTCAGACATTCATTATGGAGAGGACCGTCACGGTTTACGTGTCACCATCTTACACTTACCTTGCACCAAGATGTCCCCAACTGGGGAAGACCTGTACTTCGCACCACAATCTGGTGATGCAGACCTGGCTTATGCATTGTCGAATCATCTTGCAGTAAACTCCGCGCCCACATCAGCTCCTCTTTTTAGCTGGAAGCATCGCACTGGTCTTCGTCCACTCACTCGCTCTGAGTTTCTGCATGGTCTGGACCACGCCTCACGCTCTCTTCAGATCGAGCCTTTGAAAGGCCATGGTATCCGCATTGGAGGCACACTGGAGTACTTGTTGCGGGGAGTTTCCTTTGAAACGGTGAAGTCTATGGGTAGATGGGGTGGTGATGCTTTCTTAAGGTATTTAAGACAACACGCTGTCATCATGGCACCATACCTTCAAGACACGCCAATACTCGAACCTTTCACACATTATGCATTGCCTCCTGTGCGTTAAAAATTTTGTTGTAAGTCTTCGCTTCCCTCCTATCACTTGGGGCAAGCTTGCGCTATTTGCGTCGTCAAGCTCCTACCTTTCTGGGGAAACATCGCTCATTCTTGCCCTTTTCCCTCTCATTAGGGTCCTGGAGTTAGTCTTCTGTCGAACGAACCTAAAAGAGGTTCCTTTCCCCAAAACATTGATAGTTCAACGATACCATATCTAGTTTCTGAGTCCTTCCTGACTGTTGTCTTGCGGTTGAATAAAATATTGGACTTGTTTGGTTTGAGTCCCTCACGAGCATTGAAACATAGATCAGGTTTTATGTAAGAGTGAGGAACGAACACGCGCATAGAACAAAGTCTATGTATGAGCCGAGTAAGGACAGCTTCGTTCTCCTCTTTCTTGCTACCAATAGCCTGGCGCGTGTATCAGCACATCGATCATCTCCTAGAGTCATTACCTTTGAACATCGATCTGCTCTTTTAAATTCCCTCCCTCCCATCCCTCTGTGTTTGTTTATCATCAAGATGTTCTTGGATACCAGTGGGCAGGCTTCCTGCTCCAGAGTATTTCATGCTCCTTGGTATTGGGTCAGTTAGGACACATGATTTTCATTGTCATTAACATCAATTGGTTGTCAGACCCTTTTCTCTCCCTGGCCTCATGCTTGGGCTAGGCAGATCCATTAGCCTTAATTTGACCTTATGGATCTTTGTCCCATTAATTTGTGGGCGCGATTGTCACCTGTTCAGCTCCTCATTTAGGGACCCGGTTGATGACATTGGAGTATTTAACAAGCGTTGCAGGGTCTTGCATAGCTCCAGTCTCCCTTTCCTCTCCTTCACATGCATATTCTATCTGTTGACCGTCCTAATACCCCAGACCTCTCTCTTGAGCACGGTTTCACTCCCTCCCTCCCTCTAGTCTCCTCATCTGTCATTTCTGTTGCTGCATCTTTATTTATTGATGGATCTCGACCCCTATCTGACCACGATTCCTGGATGTTTGATTGTCATTTTGACACTGGTAACTCTGGCATCCCCTTTCTGGGTGCTGGTGATACCATTGCTGTCTATTGTCAGGCTTGGGATGCCTCCTTGGGGATTGAACCCCATCTTCATCAGCCTGTCTTTGTTGGGAATCTTTCCCACATTGTTGGCTGGGGCTCCTCCACAGTGGAGTTTGGGGTTGAAGTTCACAGTGTCTGGCCCACCCCTCCCACCACTATCCAGCTGCCTTTCTCAGTCTGTCGCTTGTCCATCATAGAACGTCTCTGGGGGTGGCTTTTCCCTTGGCCCAGATGTCATGGAATGAGACGTTGCAGTGTGGTTGAAAAGACCTGCAGACCACCTAGGGTTAACTCGAGGACAGATTTGCCTGTAGCCTCAGGTGTGTTGCCTTTAGGTATTCTTTGACATTTCTTATGTTTGCCCTTAGAACTTGGTTCTATGGTTGAAATGCCTTGACTTGATGTCTGATTCTTTGGCCCTTTGTGTGCGCCTCTGCTCCCTCTACTTGGGGGAAACATCGCTCATTCTTGCCCTTTTCCCTCTCTTAGGGTCCTGGAGTTAGTCTTCTGTCGAACGAACCTAAAAGAGGTTCCTTTCCCCAAAACATTGATAGTTCAACGATACCATATCTAGTTTCTGAGTCCTTCCTGACTGTTGTCTCACGGTTGAATAAAATATTGGACTTGTTTGGTTTGAGTCCCTCACGAGCATTGAAACATAGATTAAAAAATGTCGGTTAATAATTAACTGCCATCTCCTGGGTTAATAACCCAGTTAATAACTGGCTGGATAATTTTTCACCGCACCCTATCGTGATGAGCATCTTTGAATAAATTAAACGCGTCGCCGCCACGTGACTGGAACGTGACACGGAAATTCGGAGGAGCGTTTACGACCGCGTGAAGCCTTGAGCGCTGAGTGTCCCACTGTGGGTCCAAGTAAATAACGAGTTCTACGCTTAGGTGCGCATTCCCAGACCTCCCCCAATCTTTGTTGTTGATCATCATGGCACCCATTTCAACAGTATGTGCAACATATATCTATCAAAGTGGACCTATATGCTCACATAGAGGAATCGCGACCGCAGCAATGGACGCGACTCATTCGCTTTGTCGCTGCAGAGACCGCACAAATCCATATCGGACAACCGGTTGACCCCAGACTTGATGGTAAATCACAAGCTCATTCTGTACTTCCTTGACTATATGTTTATGTTCGTGACGTACAGTTGGCCTGGCTGCATGGAACAAACAGACCATCAGAGCTTATGAGATCTCTGGGTCTGCCCTTGACCCTGCCTCTCACGTTACGAGCAATATTTTAACAGTCGAGAAGCTCCTCTCTCCTCTCTCTCGCGAAGAGATGAAGGTCGTTCGGTGCTTGGGTCTCAACTACTCGGACCACGCAGTAAGTTCTGTCGAAATCGAGTGATATAGTATGATATTGACGCCACAAACAGGCAGAGACAAAAATGGCTAAGCCTGCGTAAGTAGATGGCATCCAATGTTTTCTGGATTCTATTCAAAATTGTGATATGCAGCGCCCCCATCTTGTTTTACAAGCCCCTGGCGTCGATGATCGGCCCCAATGCACCAATCTTCATTCCCAAGGTTGCTCAGCCTGTACAAGAGCACCTCTCCGACTACGAAGTAGAACTCACCATCATCATCGGAAAGGCGGCCAAGGATGTCTCTGAGGCGGACGCTCTCGACTACGTCCTCGGGTACACTGGTGCCAACGATGTAAAGCTTACACTATTGTTTTGAGGCCGCCTGATCTAATATCTGCGACAATAGGTGTCATTCCGCAAGCACCAACTGACAACTTCCCAGTGGGGATTCTCCAAGGGGTTCGGTAAGTCATTTTTCTCCCACAAGATGAGATGTAACTAACTTGAACTTGAATAGATAACACAACTCCCCTCGGTCCTGTTCTTGTGTCGCACAGCGCCATTCCCAACCCCCAGGAAATCCCGTTAACTTGCACGCTTAACGGCCAAGTCCTCCAGGACGGTAACACCAAGTAATACTTATCCATGCCCTCGAGAGAGCACACACTGATGATTGTTTATTAGCGACCAAATCTTCAATGTTCGTCAAACGGTCTCTTTCCTCTCGCAGGGAACCACCCTGGAGCCTGGGTCGGTTATCTTGACTGGAACACCCAAGGGTGTTGGTTTCGCGAGGAAGCCCGCCATTGTACTCAAGAACGGCGATGACTGCAGGGTATGGTTGGGTCACGGTATTGGCACACTCATCAACCCTGTCATTGAGGAGGGCCATCACCAGGCGAAGTTGTGAATTTGTAGTCACATATGTATACAGTCTTGTTTATATACATGCTTTATTCTCGTGAATTGACGACATCAGGTAACAGATATGATACATGGTTTGTTGTGTACAAAAGTGTGTTATTTCAGAGCCCGCCAAAAGTGATGAGCTTCTGATTCAAGTACTCCGTGATACCGTGGCCTCCCTCCCGACCTAAAATCAAACGGGTTCAGTATTAGCCAAACGGGAGAACTATAAAAAAAACTCACCAAGACCACTCTCTTTGACGCCACCGAAAGGAATAGTAGCATGGCTGATCATCCCAGTGTTGGTGCCAACCATACCAACCTCCAGCGCCTCTGCAACTCTCCATACACGCCCGACATCTCGACTGAAGAAATATCCAGCGAGGCCCACATCTGCATTGTTTGCTAGGGCGATCACCTCCTCTTCTGTCTCGAACTTCGTCAGAGCTGCAACAGGCCCAAAAGTTTCTTCAAAATTGGAAAGTGCTCCAGCGGGAACCTCAGAAAGGACAGTAGGCGCAAAGAAAGTTCCGGCCCCATCGACACGTTTACCACCAACCAATACTTGGGCACCACGAGAAACAGCATCTTCTACATGTCGCACAACCTTCGAGATTGCTCTCTCATGAATGAGAGGGCCATGCGTCCTGGAAATGAGTGAGAAAATGGCAGAGATTAACTGGCGCATTCCACCAACGTTGTTTCATCCAAGCCATTTCCGACTTTAAACGCAGTTACTTTCTCAGCGAGTTTAGAAGCAAAAGCAGCGTAGACTGAAGACTGAACGTAGATACGGTTTGCACAGACACAGGTTTGCCCTGAACCACGGAATTTACATAAGATTGCCCCTTGAAGAGATAGATCAGCCTGGAGAGGGTTCAGAAATCTTCCTATGCTGACCTTCAACAGCCTGGTCGATATCGGCGTCATCAAAGACAATGAAAGGTGCGTTCCCGCCAGCTTCGATGGAGACTCTAAAGAGAGTATTTATAAGCACGGAAGGGTGTTTTGGTGGTGCTCACTTCTTGAGTGTGGAGGCAGCCATGCCATACAAGCTCTTAGCGACGGGTGTTGATCCGGTGAATGATATCTTTCTGACTATTTTGTTTTCGCACATCTCACGGCCGACCTCAATGACGTTCTTTTGAGTTGTAACAATGTTGATGACGCCATCTGGGACACCTGCGCGACGAGAAAGCTTTCGAATAGCAACGACGGTGAAAATCCAAAGCTGCAAGAATTATAAGAAAGGTCTTACCTCAGCTAGTGCAAGAGCTGAAAACGGTGTTTCAGGTGGAGGCTTTATAACTGCTGTGCAACCTGCTGCGAGTGCGGCACCCAATTTTCGCGTGATCATGGCAGAAGGGAAGTTCCACGGGGTGAGAATAGATCTGATGCGCTTTCTTAGATAAAGCATTAAATGATCGCATGAAAGGTCTCACACGACACCGACAGGCTGTTTAATCACAACGTTCCGAATGTTGGTGAACGGCGAAGGTATGTGTTCTGGTAACAACAATCAATGTATGAACTCTTTGAAACGGAAATGACAAACCTCCATAGATTCGGACAGCCTCCTCAGCTAAGATAGAAAAAATGAATAAAGGTTCAAGCCATCTGGCGGGATAACCTACCATACCACTGCAAATGACATGCAGTTACATGACTCAATTGAACCGAATTTACTTACCTCCATGAAAGATGCACTATAAGCATTCTCGCCCTTGTTTCCAAGGAATTAGCTTGAGACTGGGGAGATGTCTAGTGATGTTACCTTTGCCTCCGTCAACGTCTTGCCATTCTCTAATGTCTGTCATTGTCAAAGAGTGAGGAAACCAATAACTTGTTCAGGTAATACACGCACGATGATCCTGGCCAAGTCATCATTGTGTTCTCGCATTAGATTATAGAACTTCATCAAAATGTCATGACGGTGCTGTCATGCAGAGTGTACGTTAGTATATGCCAGCAGGACATTCAAGATATCAACCCTGGCCGTAGTTTTGCCCCATGATGCAAAGGCATTCCCGGCAGCTGCAATGGCAGACTTGGCCTCCTCAAGGCCCATCTCTGGAACAGTGCCAAGTTCTTCACCTGTCGCAGGGTCTGTAATAGGTTTCTGAATTAATTGATCGTATCCCACTTGTAAGAGGATAGCATACTGGTAACAAGAATAGTTCCACCCTCCTTTGCGCTCACCCACTTCCCATCGATATACGATTGATACTTTATCAACGATGGGTCCTGCAGACCCCACTAAAAGAGGCTTAGCAACTCCAAGTAGTAGACCTGAGGCCTACTTACAACATTGGCGTTCGTACTGGCCATTCTGTACCACAAGCTGAGACTCGATCGATTGGACTGTCTGGTTGCAATCGGAGCTTTCACCAGCACTCTTAGTGCATGAGAAAATGGTAGGGGCTGCGGAAACATGCTCCTTGTGGAACTGGCCCGTTCGCGGATGCAGGAAAGCCGTCCGCGTCGAAGTTGAAGTCAGGTGATCGGCGAGTGACCTCATATATGAGCTGTGAGAATTTCTCGGACAACGACTTGGTGGCGTGGCACGCTAGTGAGCTGAGTATAGCAGCGAAGCACGGACTCCAGAACTCGAAGTCTCAGAGCAGTAAAATAATTGGTCTGTGTAATATTGGAGTCGAGCGTCTCATTTTATGCTAACTTGTAACAGTTAGACCCGACAGATCACGATTCATGGCGAACGAGCAATACGTATCCAAAAAGACCGTTGCTGCATCCTATCGACCACGCAGTTCTGTACGTCGCATCTGCATAACCAAGTACTCCCGAAAACAAAGCACCTTTGACACATAACATCCATAGCTTATGTCCCCCGGCCTCCAGCGCGCACGCGCACCTTTTCGCCTCCGAAACACTATTACCGGTCTCATACTCGCAGGCTTTGGCGTCGGTGTCTGGGCATACTCTATCAGCGCGGTGAAACAAGATGACTTCTCCGACGTTGATGAGGAGGCGCGGGCGCTGATGCGTGCTGGGCCAATCGTGGAGGAGGTCAAAAGTTTCCGTGATGAACGAGGCAAAAGCTGTGGCGACACAGACTCCGAGCAGCGTACCTGTCAAGGTCAAGGTAGCTACCGTGCCATCAATACACCGAGGTTTGCTTGTGCCCATTCTTGAGAGGCATTTCCCCCGATTGTTGGACCCATCACGGAAGACGCTCATTTGGGGTGCGCCTTCGGTGGACAACATTGGGAGGCTCCGCGATTCGGTATAAAGGTTTTTCAGGCCCTTGGATATATATTTCCTCTACAGATAATGTATCAGTAAGTCATAAGTTATCAAAAATCGAAAGCACGATAACATTGATGAAAAACTTCTACAGCAAAGTACAAGACGATAAACTAATAGTAGACCATTTCGCACATATATGTATGGACACTCGTTCGATCCAGCCCCCTTCATAAAACCGGATAGTGCGAAAAGCCAAAACCAAGAAATCAAGATGATTGAGAAGCAATTCACGTTCATGTTGACGCATTGACGCAACGTCTCATACACAACCTCTACACACTGGCGCAGGCCGACGATGCCACCAATAGAAGATAGATCTCCAGCCAGCGCAAGTCTGGAGAGACGGTGCTGAAAGCCTGTTGCAAAGACCGATCAAATTGAGCCCTTTAGCAAACAACCCATCACTCACCCGCCTCAGCCATTGTCAGACTTCGATGCCCATCTTCTTCAGACCCTCCTTGGCAGCTTCGTTTCGGGCGGCTTTCTTGGTCCCACCTTGTCCGCGACCGTAAATTTCCCCATCTACTTCGCACCTGACGAGCCAAATTGGAGTCGTCTTCGTGCCTTCACCAGTCCCGTCTGCGTAGATCCACTCGACTATCCTGTTGGCCTTCTGGAGCTGCTGATTGAACAACGCGAGGTGGCCTATGGTCGTGGAGGTAGTGCAGGGGCGGGGGTGAGGGGGCGAAGGTGGGGGTGAGGACAGAACTGAATCAAGTGCGACAAGAGCAGTCGTCGGAATGGGCGGGAGACGATGTTGCTCCCGCACACGTTTGTAAGCCTCAGTCGCGTAAGGCGTAAACAGGGCTTTCAACCAGGGCTGGACTCCCGGCAGATCCTGTTCGAGATAGAGCCCGCCCACGTAGGACTTGTCGGTGGCATTGTGTCAGCATCCATTTGTTCGGGTATCAAGGGTAACGTACTTCGAAGACGTCAGCTGGGAACACTTCTTTCGATAAATTGACTTATGAAGGACAATGAAAACGTACCCTGAATGTTGACGGAAGCGCGTAAGGTAATTGCCTGAGCAGGGTGCAGACGCAGTCTTCTTGGTAAGTCGTACATGCGCGAGACGTCAGCAAGGGTGGAGTTGCCTACGACCAGGGCTCGGATTTTCTGAAGAGGATGTAGTGGGCGAGCATGCTTAGTGCCCATTAAGAAATGAGGCATACCGTAGATGGCCCAACGCGCAAGTTGGGGTACATCTCCAGAAGGAGCTCGGTCACGACCAGACCTAACACGGTGTCCCCTAGATGCTCATACCTGCAGAATGCATCAGCCTATCAACTTCACACACGAGCACCTTGATGGAAGCTTGATCGGTTGGGTGTGGTTTTCTGGACAAGAACACAGCCTGATGGCCTAAGGAGAAGAGAAACTTTGCTCACTTTTCATTGTCTGGACTCGGGTCCTGTGGTTGGTCTTCGAATACATGATTCGGGCGTCCGTAATATGAGCGATGTGTAAACACCTGCGTCCGAATGCTGTCCTTGTTGATATCAGGGAGTGGAGGAAACGGCTGAGCGGCATTGAACACTGGATGGAGTATAGACGGTGGACTGTCAGATAGTAACATACGAATATTGTTAGGAACACGAGAGAGCATGTTCAGCCAGTAGCTGCTGGAACCCACATACTTGATAGACATCGTTGTTGCCTGGGAGGAAGAATTTGGAAGAGAAAAGAGCGACTCGGCCTACCTTCGACCCGGTCAGTGCCTTCCGTCTATATGAGGTTGATAATTATACCCTGACTAGTAAATCGCGGCGTTTATTAGCGGAATCTATCACTGGTACGTGGCCGGAACCAGTACTGTGGATATGAATTGGCTGGTCACTGGCATCATGTGATAGCTTTAGGCATACTACTAAATGCTTCTAGTAAACCATCATTTATTATTAGTAGGCGCCTTCACCATGGCGTAAAGCATAGGGTACTGACATGAGATTTATGACAGGGATTCGACATTTGTGGAATTCCCCTTCAACCTTGAAGGAAATCAGGCGCATCTAAAATTATAGCTGAGAGATAGAAGCCAGTGTACTGTAATTCCAAGACTATCGAAGCCTTTTTTTTGCCTAGATTCGTCAAACACCCCGAGCGTCAACGAGAAATAGATCTACACACCGCTCTGATCATCAGATAACGAACGTTGCACAGCCAAGAGAAATTCTCAGACCCTTAGACCAGCACTTAGACTGAGAAATGGACAGCGATACATATTCAAGACTTCTCAGCATCGTTACACCATTAAATTAATTACGCAGGAGGAGTGGCTACCTCCGAAGCAGTTGTTACTTCTTCTGTTGGTATGCGTTGCTCCTCGAGCTAATATCATTATATCATTAAAACATCCATATCACCAGCAGATCAACGAACCTTTGCCCTCGATTTCATCTCAGAAAAGTTCTTATGGAGACCACATTCAGTCTTCCCCTCCTTGTCTGCCCATCTCCCAGCACGTTCGCCAGTATCGCCCTCACGACTGGGCTGCGTGCTATGCCAGTCACCGACACTGCGATACCCCTGATCGAGCAATTTATTCCTTGGAACATTGTTCTCGCGAATGTATGCATCGACCTGCGCGAAAGACCATGCAAAAAGTGGGTTAGCTTGAGGAGCCCTGTTTCATCGACCTCAAGCGGCTGGAGGGAAGCACGATCGCCGCCCTGAGATCTACGCCGGCCCGTGATAACGCTATGCACGCCAAGCTCCTGGTACGCGCGCTGGGCGGGTTCAACCTGTATGTGCAATCCAGCTCAGCTATCTATTGAAACGTCGGGATGAACAACACACCTTGACCGCAAAATCGTATATGTCTTCGTCTTTCTGCCACAATTCTTCGCCGTGTTTCTTTTCAAAATCTCCAATGGTCTTGCATCCCTCGGGCTTGTACACCTTTATGTCGACAGCATAACGTTCCCGCACCTCCTGCACGAGCTCATATGTTTCCGCAAAGTGATACAGCGTGTCTAGAAAAATAAGCTTCGGGATTGGGTGACCAGACTTGGAAAGCATATCGAGGGCGACGAGCCCGGTGAGACCAAAAGCTGTGGTCTGGTAGAGGGCAGGGAGGTGCGTGAGTGCCCATATGAGGATGTCTTGTGGAGAAAGCTGGGAGAGGTGGGCGTTGATAGCTGTGAGACTTTCTCCGCTGAGTGGCAGCTCAAGTGGGGTGCTGAATTGGTCGGCCATTGCGTTTGCGATAACAAAAAGCTTAGATGTTAAATCGTGTAGAACAAATAAGAAAACAATAAATTGTGGATGGGCCAGTAGTATATATGTTATTTGAGATGGTCCACATGATGGGCCGGGATGGCGTAGTGATTGCAACACAGAAACCACGGGACTACGTTTCTCACTACGGCAAGGGCTTATCAACCATTAGGAATTCGATCATTGGTTACTTCATTCAACTGCTCGCGGCTCACTATGGCGCCAACACAAACTGCAGCCCCAGCTGCAGCGCCTGCTCCAGCACCAGTAGCGGTCCCGAAGAAACCCTCAGATGGCACCAGTCGCGACTACAAGTACATCCAGGAGATATCCCAGATGGTACGTCATTGCTATTTACATGTCACACTCGGCATGAACGAACGGAATGCTCGCAGATGTTCGTCTTTGGCGAAATCCAAGACCCAAATCCAGAGACTGTCAACCTCGTCGAGGATATCGTGCGCAGTCAGCTCATCGAACTCGTGAGTGACTTTAACTATGAGATTCTCCTGTGATGTCTTATGCTACTCTAGATCCTGCAAGCCCGCCTTCACGCGAATCGGCGTGGTGTGCGCTACATTACCGCGGAGGACCTCATCTTCCTCATTCGCCACGACCGCGGTAAGGTCAACCGTCTCCGGACATATCTCTCGTGGAAGGACGTTCGGAAGCATGCCAAAGATTCGGGTGGTGATGGAGGTGGTGGTGTCGAAGTCGAGAATCTTGAGGATGGAGCTGATGGTCTGTATTTCTCCAACATTTTCCAACGGGTCTACTGACATTCACATAGAGAAACTAACGACCAAGGCGCAAAAGATTACTATCAAGCTTCCTTGGGAGATTTCGACAATCTATAGCGAGGTGCTCCGTCAGTCTGGACACCAATCTGATGACGAAGAGGACGAGGACGATATTGAAGCCCATGAAGCAAGTATACAGCGCCTCAAAGAAGCCGACGATGCCACACGACAAATGACGAGGGAAGAGTACCAACATTATTCAGATTGTAGACAAGCGTCGTTTACGTATCGAAAAGGTGAAGTCGTTTCATGAGCTAGACAGAATCTTACTGACACGATGAACAATTAGCCAAGCGCTTTCGCGACTTCCTTAACCTTCCTCCACACCTGGACCTCAAAGCCAATGACGATACCGTCGACATCGTTGGCTTTCTCGCATTCGAGATGGTGCGCTCCCTTACGCTCGCAGGCCTCGAGGTCAAAAAGTCCCTCGAAGAATCATATCTACGAGACGACTACCTTGGTACCTCGCCCATCCTTGGCAAGCGCAAGTCGCACCACTTACACAGGCGAGGGGAACAACGGGAGAAACGCGCGAGGAGAGAGGAGGAAGAGGAGGAGGAGGGAGAAGCACCACTGCCTACAAGTTCACTGTTTTTACCCCCACCAGAAGCAAGGACGGCTCTGCGGCCTGAGCACATTCAAGATGCATTTGCGCGGATGCAGGGGGACTGGTCGCACCATCGCAGTGCGGGGATGTGGAATTGGCGTGGCGGGCTTGTGCGTACGAGAGTCAGTCTTATCTAGACTTGCTCGTGTGGTTTGTGTTTTTTGGTTTGAGAGGATGATTGGGCATCCTTTATATTTGTATATCTGCAGACTACTAATACTTCTGTATAATTACCAAAATGTAAGCGCGAATTGTACTAGTATGACATTCGACACGACTACCCATGTATGTTCCGGTGGATATATCTGGAGTGAAAAGGGACAGTCGATACGAGGACGAGGATGTCAGCATCAGGCTAGTTACTTTGTGTGAAAGACTGATGCCCGCTTAGCATGTCCGCGTCCCAGTATTATCTTTCGAGGCAACAGTGAAGAAGCTGATGAAGTTCTTGCGACGAGCTAGGCATGCGAATTTACTTCATTTATCATTCATCACATCGTACATTTTACAATTCCAAAGATACAAGATCCAAGAATATTGATGTCTTCTCATCATCCCCGCCCACCCTGGGACTCAGAACAACAAACTTGCAGCAGCATCCACATTCCCACCTGCGGCATCCAACATGCTGATTGCCACCTCCCGCGATACGCCAAGTCCCATGATCAACTCGATAGCAGAATCTGGGTGTCGTGACTGGGCAGCGGCGGGACGTGTCGATGTACGTGGTGTAGGCGCAGAACCCAGTGTATTTCCTCCACCTGGGAACGACGAGCCGCTGGCACCAGCACTTCTACCACCACTCGTCTGTGGAGGTTGTGGAGCGCTGCTGGAAGAGCCCGGGGTAGACGCGGTGGGATCGTCCGCTCCCGATTCGATCAACCGTGCTTTCTCGGGGAGTTCGTGTTCGGAGAGGAACCGTACTTCGCGCCCTTGGATACGCAGTACGGATTTTTCGAGGTCAATGCATGCCTGGTGTGCCTTCAGCATGTCGAGCCCGAGGAGAAGATCTACATCGCGGCCCTCAAGTTTGTGTGAGCTTTATTATTGGTGGAAATATATCAGAAAAGAAGAAAGACCGACCTCCATTATCGTGAACGAACACGGAAGATGCAAGTCCGCAAGTCGCATCTGTGCACTATGCACACGTCCCAGAATCTTTGCAGTCCCCACTCCACGTGCGATGCCTGCAAATCGTCCATCAATGAGACGCATTATTCTGTGATACGTCAGTTTCGTCTAATTCAGAGAAAAATTGCGCACCCGCATGCTTCTGCACATTCGGGGCTCACTGTACAAGTGAAGTGAAGTCAGACAGACACGACAAGGATGGGACAAGACGTACTGATCGTCTGTTGCGCTCCACTATCCACAAACGCTTTTACAGGATGCGAGTTCACCTCCACCGGCACGCTACCGTCCATCAGTACATTTACACTCTAAAGTCAGACAAGTACTCACTAAAGCATCGTTACCCGCCCAAACGCCTCCGGGGAATATTCAAGTGCATGTTCCATGTTTTCCATGACTGCCTGATTACGGATAGCTTCTTCGATACGACGCTGCGCCTCGACATCGAACGGGTCAGCATTGAGAGCTGCAATCTCGCGCTGCCGACCAAGTTCAGCTTGCTGTGCGCGGTCACGTTGTTGGCTTAGGAGCTCTGCGAAACGTGTGGGGTTAGATTGGGCAGCAGCAGCTATTTCCGGTAGTGTCTGAGCGAGAAACTCTCAGTGAGAAACTAAAGCAAGAAAGAATAGTCACGCACATCTTGTAATTGTCTCATAAGTTGCGGATCTCCAAGGATTTGCAGTCTCATCATCTCTGCATCTTGTTCTATGGGTCTGTAAAGGATCATCAATGAGTGCGTACAGCAAAGGCCGAGAACAGATTGGGTGCCCACCTGCCTTCGGGCCCGGGCACGTTGACACGCCTGCGTAAGAGGAGCATAGCATGCTCGCCCACACCAAGCGCCCGGATGGTAGCTTTTGGATCTGTAAGTTCGCGCCCATTATGCGAGATGCTTTGTTCGCCAGGGGGTATACTCGACTGCATGATCCAGAGATGTGGATAGCACCATGCAGGTCATCGTATGAGAGGAGAAATCAAAGACAAGAACAGAATTGGCATGTCACTTGGTTAGGGCTGAATGAAAGTGGGGTAGATAAGAAGCGACCCACCTCTGCCTCTAGCAAAGCCATCACGTTCTCGAGCTCCATGTCAGGGTCGATATCAACAGCATACGTCTGGCCTAGATCCGTCACGAACGTCAACTGCATCGTTGCCGCGTTCGCTGTCTGCCAGTATTGTTTTGGCTCGGAACGAGTGTATATGAAGGGTAAGCGGAAGATGGAATCTCGATGAAATTGGACAAGTTTAGATTGTGGGTGTTGTACTAACTGGGAAGAATGCAGATATGATCGAGAGAGAAAGTGAACGTGATTTTTCAAGGCGCTTTATATCAGCTCTCAAGCGCCTTTGTATTCTGACAATCCTGTGCTGATCGGCACAAGCACTTAGTAAGTAGAATGATCATCATGGACAAGAACACGCTCGAATCATGTAGAAGCGGAGTAAGAGCACGGGACGCATCAGTCCAGACTCTGACGTGTCTAGGTTGATAAGATTAGGAACAGATACACGGAAGCTTATGATAAGAATGGTAGTGGTACAGTTTTCTTTGAACAGAGCTCATCAATAGAAAACAATAATGAATCAGTCAGATGGGGGTGTGCTACAACCGCACACCACGTACAAACCTACTTCTTGCAATTGCAGACCTGTGGGAGACAATTCCTGGTGAGTGCTTTACAGCAATTACTAATTTCTAGAATACTTACAGACGAGACCCCGCTCCTGCAGGGACATTTGACATCAGCGCGCTCTCTAACGCTGACGCCGAAAAGCTTGCTTCTACGACAACATTGACGTGGGGAACACCGAAGATAAACATAATCACGTACCACTTATGTCACTAAAGCTCGAGGCAGAGCTTCCATGACTGCTCTCCTGCTCGCTAAGCCCCGCAAGTGTCCCATAACGCATGTGCGACTGCCCCCGTGCATTCCGCGTCGACACTATTGGTGGGCTGCTCGACTTATTCGTGGTGATATGCCGGGTCATCGGAGATTGAGACTCTGGCGAGGGGGACGGGATCGAAGGGATTGAATTCTGCGGAGAAGATGCACTCGATACAGACGCGCTGTGATCGCGGTTCCGTTCTTCATGATGTTTGAAGCTCTCATCATTGCGTTTGAAGCTTGCGATATCCTCACCCTCGCGTCCAGGGCGGAAGATAGGCACTGGCGCACGCCCGCGGATCACGTCTCGTGCTTTGCCTTTCTCGTTGGATAGTGGGGAACTTACAAGGCCGAGGGCCTCACTCGTCATCATGCGCTGCAGGCTTTCAAGTTTGCGTGACAAGGTTTCCGCTTCTTCTGCCGCACGGTCCGCTTCTTCTTCTTTGGCGGCCAGCTCATCCTCGGAATCGCTCTCGTCAGATGAGAACGGAGAGGGCAAGCGTAGGGGTCTCTTTATCTGAGTTCCCTGAAGAGTAGACGTTGATGAAGACGATGCTTTCTTGCACTTTGCAGGTGATTGGACAGAGTTGTGTTGGGTGAGGGAGTTGAGCCGGGCACGGACGCCAAGAGGCGTTGCCAGCTTGGAAGAGGAGAGCCTACAGGCGCTATTCAGGGAGTTGATTCGTGCAGTAGGAATCTGAATGGAGGGGGGACGGTCTGGGAGGACAGGTGTTACCTCTGTGGACTTGGTAGCAGGCTGGTTCTGTTGATTGCCAGCGTGGAAGCCTTGCAATCCCCGTAGGTCATCTTCATATCGGGCCTGTGCACGATAAAGTAGATACGGAAGTGGCACTTCCAGATGTGCTGCTAAGCCTTTCCCTATTGGTAGCTCGGTATAAGCTGTCGTCTACATTGACTGGTAGACTACTCACAATCCGTGCCACCATTATCGCTCGTCCGAGAGAGTGCGATAACCTCCCATAGAATGTTAGCTTTCTCCGTGTTCCATTCAATCTGCACGGACCAAGCTTGTTCAGCCAAGAGCCTAGAGAACTACAACTGCCAGTACGCACATGGGGAGGATCGGGAAGTGGGTGGTCAGGGCGGTTGTGGGGGAGCTGCACAACGACACGAATGCGTGGCTGCTGGGGCATAGCGTAGCTATGAAGCTGTTGGTTGATTAGTCCTACAGACAGATAGAAGACTGTCGCTGAGAACGCTGCCCTCTTATACGCGCTCGCTGATGGACGCGACGAAGCGGCTGTTAGTTACCAAATTCGGTGCATCTCCTTTCATTCACACCAAAACACAGCATCAAATTCTTATCTATTTACATAAAATGTCGCATTCTGGATCCAAACTCGAAATCGAGGACGAGGAGATCAGGCAACAAAGGATATGTGAGCAGCTTTGTCTGACACACGACCGCTGGCTCAGTTATATCTAGGTAGCCTCCTTGAGCAATTGAACAGCTCTTCAAGCTCACCACCCAAGAATACATCCAATGCTGCTCCACCAACCTTTGACTTTGGTGAGAGAAAAACCTACGCAGTAGATCCACCCAGCGAACGTGCGTCGTCTTTTATTTACTATCTTTCTCATATCCCATGGGTGTGAATTCGATGGCAGTGCTCGCACGGATACAAGACTTCCTTCCCCGCCTCAAGGAAGAGAACGACTCGCTTTCCCAACGCATCCGGGACAACCCATCGAGCGTGGATATCGAAAATATCGAAGAGGATGCAGAGCAGTACATCGAAATGGCAAGTCCCAATCCCAACTATTCCTAAGCAAAAAAAAACTTATGATAATTTCATAGAACCTCGGACTGGGCGTGTTGGAGACTCGGCTCAGAGATTCAGACTCTCATTCAGACGACGAGGATTCCGAGAGCGAAGATTCGTCATCATCGTCGTCATCGTCTTCCCCTTCGTCAGTCTCGTCCTCCGAATCAGACTCAGAATCGGATGGGTCGCACTCAGACAGCAGCTCAGACTCAGACTTTTCATCGATTGGCATGAAAGCTATCTCTTCCCGCCCACTCAAGCCCCTGCCTCGGCGTACCGCACAGTTTGATATCGACATGCTTCCCGATCCACCTTCTGCCGGCTAGACACGGCGATGATCACTTTCGATCCGGCTCTATTCGCATCAATGATCCACGAATCCGACTTTGCCCACTCATGAAAGCCTATCTACATAGCCTATCTTTCATGTCGGGAACTCAAATTAAAGCTTCGTCAAATACCTTGTAAAAATATACCAATTACAAGAAGATCGAGAAGAGCTGCGGTAATACATTCAATTCCGGAGGAAGGTGGTTATAGTAAGCCAATACATGACGATGTAGAAGAGCTGACATGCTACATGCTACCTGGTATATGTAAAAAGTACCTGCGTCGTAACGTAGTCAAAATAGTAACAGAAACTACGACACTAAAGTAAATATACCGTCCCTGCCAATCTATCTACCCTTCCCATCGCTCAGGTTGGACATAAACGACGACCAGAAATCATTATCAAGGATAATGTCCGAATTCATGAAGTAATTTGGGTCGTTGATTGGGAACGACGGGAATGACTGCTGCTCTGTGGAGTACACAGAGTGCTCAGCAGGTGCTGATACGCGCTCTCGGAAGTTGCGCGCAGCCGTATCAAAGTGCTCAAGTAACGGCTGGCTGAACTCCCGGGGATCTACCTCCGACTTCTCCGACGAGCGCCTCCGGAAACTCAGCACGCCAGCTTCGATAACCCGAGCGCATTTTGCGGGAACATGATCCGGAGCTGCGCTCACCTGTTGCATGCGATCGATCGTCCGCGCAAGAATGCTGTCACTTGACCCTGGCAGTTGCTCGCCGGCGTTTTCCATCACGGACCATTTGCTGAGGATGACAAAAAATGTCGCGAGGGTGAGCATTGCGAAGAAATTATCAGGCGCAGCGCTGAGAAGCACGAGCTCAGGTCGTGATAGTGCAGTGATGAGGATGCCTTCAGACAGCACAAGCGCTTGGTGGCCCCAACTCCGTCCGAGATTGATTCCGTTATGTTCTGCAACGAGGAACCAAGGGTTTTGCTGGTCGCACTTGGAAATCACAGCCTTCGTTTCCATCAGGGCATGGACCAGGACCAACAGCCTGCAGAACTGATAATAGACCTGCAACATCGTGAAGAAGAAGACCTCGTGCTCTGCTAGGACTGGTGTCAGGGTTCAGAGTTAAGCTCTCAAAAGTGAATGATGCGGGCTGCATACCTGGAAGGGGATAAATGAGACGTTCGATCACATCCATGCGCATCAGGAAGTCGAGCACTTCTTTGTAGAAGACCCCAATTTCCTCCGCGGAACGGAGGTGTATAGAGAGCCCGTATTGCGTGGCAGCGAACATCTGGGATATCAAAGTGAGTCGCATGTCACGACCAGCCCCAATCGTTGCCATCGATGTTGTATCGATGGCGTCATGTATAAGACTGGCACAGTCCGATATTGGGCTGCGCCCGGTACCCATACAAAGCCTGCAATAGAATTTATCAGCCGGAGGCACCGAGTGGATCACACTGCTGTACAGACATCGACTCAACATTATTCAATGCGAACCACTACAGCCACACATTCAGGTTAATTATTTGAGAGCCGGTTGAAGACGTACGAGGCGTGCTTTGTCAATGGCTTCCATTAGCTCCGCACTAGGGAGGTCGTTGGGTTTTTTCTGCCTCCGGAGAGTTTTAGAATATATCATGGCCTCGCTTAGGCGAAGGTTCATAGCCATGCTGACGGCAGTCGAAGCAATTAGCCGACCATCGCGCGACTCTTTTGTCGTTGGATCCCCTATGGGTTCCCATAGTGAAAGCACGAGCACTGCATGTATTGCATCTGTAGATGGCAAAGGGTGATAGGCCTGTTTGAAGATAGACTCATCTGCCAGGCGGTATAGCTGAGGAGAAACTACCGAGCGTGTTGATGAGCCGAGATGTCGTGATGCAACGCAACACTGTGCCACTTTTAGAAGTGGTCCTTCTGGTTGCTGAGAAGGCTGCAAATTGAGCCAGGGAGCGTAACGTTCCTCGAAACTATGCCAAGATGAGAGTCTCGCAGGGGATAGAGTGTCAAGGCTCACATGTCAGTCAGATAATCCATTTGCTCCCTCCCAAGAATATGGAGCAATGACTGATCCACCTTATTCCGCGAGGAGTCATCAACCGAACCTGCACGGGTAAGCGCCTGCATAGCCAGCATAGGCACCATAGTGCCGTCAAACCCTCCAGGGAGCTTTAAAAATCCCCACGGTTTGTGACGCTCAGGTAGTAACCGTTGAGGATCTAGAAGGTCGACTTCTTCCTCTTGCGGCTGAGATCTAGAAAACGGCGGCAGGGTGTTTGAACTAGAATCCCAATTCCTTGAATAACTGGGACCTGTGTGAGCGCGAGAGTCGTCCATTGGTATATCATGGGATTTTTGGGAAAGAGCAAGGGAAGGACGACGGTCCTCACGTTCTCGCATGGAACGGATGTCTGGTGTGTGCACAGGGCGGGAGGGTCCAGCACGATCATTCGACGGAGCGCCATTTTCTTCGAATGAGCAAGGGAGGGAGAGGACTTTACAGCGGTGGCATTGGGCGCCGGAGTTGTCTCCATCAAGCATTTCGCAACGTGTTTTGTGTTTCCTGCATGATAAACAAGCCTGGACTGCCTTGGCGCGTTTTGCGGGCGCAGTCCTGGGACTGTGAGCCCTTTTGCTACCTGCAGAGACTGCCGTCGGCTCTCCTGGATCAGAAGCAGACATTTTTACAAGCAGATTTATAGCGTGAGCAGCTGATCGCAGGTCGGTGCACCTGGTAGCACTGATGAAGGATTAAGGCAAGTTTATGTGTTTCGTATGATGCAGCGTGTGCGTGTTATGTCATTGTCGCTGACTTGCAGCGGCACGGCTCAAGCCGCTTGGCATGCCGGAAGCATTAAGCGCTGCCTTGGTATACGTAGGCTACTACGTACTACTGTTGCCTCAGTGTACTAAATCAATCTGATCGTATGCTCCATCAGATCCTTCAGAGCTGTGAAAGCGAGCCCTCGAGGCGCTTTCTTTGACTCAACAGGTGAGCATCTTTCGAGTTCGACTTATTATATTACCTTGGTCAATAGCCGCCCAATCTTACGATGAATTCGAGTCATCAAGACGAATATTTTTATTTTTACCTATGAGAAGCGGCTAGGTATCTCCGCGCCCCTCGTGGATATCGACACTCGGGGTTTCACATGAATTTTCCGATTCTCGGAGTGGTAATCATAGCTTCATCTTCTTGCAATAATTTCCGATCTTTAATGGACAGGTTTAGCTCACCCTTTCAACTTACCAACTTGGCTGTCTTGCAAGACAGCCTCGAGGCCTAACTCGCAAACCTTGTCAAAATATCAAGTGACTCCAGGCGTAATCGTCGTCGACCTCGCACGGCTTGTTTAGTATAAGGCAAGTAGTGTTTTGCAGATTATAGTAGCTGACCGGCAACTCATAAATTTTGCAGTCAACTCCTAATTGGATGAACCAAGCAAGGGCCCGAGTGATTCACAATTACAGTTCAGCACAATGACAAGGTGCTGCCTTCTCGCATCTATACGGTCGGCGCCTGTGGCAGGGACAAGGTCATTCTCTCATGGGAGAGCCAGATGTGAACCAGATAAGTATCATGATTTGCTCCATCTACTACAACGTCTACGCGATACACAGAGTCAACTTCCTTTGTCGCTTAGTTTTTTTTACCGACTTTAGGTAAACCTGAACCAGGGTCCCTAGTCTAGGTAGCCATGACTCAGTCATCTGCATTATGACTCTGAGGCGTACCAACTATGGACCATTCCGAGTCAATCACGAAGTCGAATTTTGGGCGTGCACCAGCTGAATATCCAAGTGCTCATATCAATTTATCTCAACACACTGAGACCTATGGGACATACGTTTCAGCCCACGTCTACCTTGCACTGTTCAAGTTGTTATCCATCAATGGAACGTACGCTTCATCCACCTACCCACCCAAAGACCCTTGCCCTCTTTGCCTCGTATCACGTCCTCATTTTTTCACAAGGATGTACACGCGTCGTACCTCCACCGGCTCCGCTTGTCCTTGTCTCCCCACGAACACAGCACAAGCACAAGCTAATGGTGGGAATCTGTCATTTAAACTTTCAAACATATCGGGTCGAATATGGCATTTGACAGCGTAGGACTCAACCATCATGATGTATTAGCAACCCTGAAATGCATGTGACAATGAAGTAGTTTTTCCATGAGCTAAAAGGACTTTTCCTGTACCGCCGTGGACATCATATGCCGCGGACTTCAAATTCCTGACCTGGCCTCCGTAGTTCTTCCACCTTCACTAGGAGATTTCCTTTGCAACTTAAATCGCAAGAATTCTCGAATCACGTACAAGTAATCTTAGAGCCTTGAAGCCAGTGGCTACTGCTATGGACACCAATGTCTCCACTCAATCAACTGATTCGGACACTGCGATGGAGCTCAGGGACTTCATTGCGAAGTTGATGCAAAGTTCCGACCTCGAATCCGTTGCTTCTGAGATCGACGGTAAGATCTGATCATTCAAAGTTTCTCGACGGATCCTGATCATTACAGTTCTCCAGTCCATATACGGAGACCATGCTATCCACCTATACCGTTCATCGCCCGGAAGCCCTAGAAGCGGCATTCCCAATCACTCATCTAGCAATGCTTCAGGCGCCATCCGTTACGAAATTTCGCTCAAGTGAGTGTATCATCGCACTGCTCGAGTTTCGTTCCGACGCCTGCTCCGGAAGTCTGCCATCCCACGAAGATATTTCCATACGTATACTGGTCTCAATTCCCCCAACATACCCCGCCTCAAACCCCCCTCAACTCCAGCTCCTCTCCCGTTATATCGGCGCTTTTGGTGTCGACTCCTCGCTTTTTGGATCTATACTGCGCACGTTCATATCTGTCTCGGGAGTGGAATGGACGCCGGAAAGTGTCTGCGTTTTTGATGGACTACAAAATGTGCTGGAGCGGTGCGAAGCATGGTATGAAGATAAACTCAACAGGGAGACGGCTGGAGAATTACTCAGAGAGGATGCACATACCCACAACCATGTCTCGGTCGAACCCGATGAGCCTTTTGCATCATCAATTGCTGACGAAAAGGACCGAGTACCTCTCGACACTGCTTTACCGGAAGGAATCAAAATCGTTGAAGCGGAACCTATTGTGGACAGAAAAAGTGTTTTCATTGGCCGTGCATGTCGAATATCTGATCCCTCGCAGGTATTGTACGCAATTGGACGCAGACAGATGTTTTACTGACCGATTTGTGCGCAAGGTACCACTCATTTTGAATAATCTCATGTCGGAACGCCATATTTCTCGCGCTGCTCACCCAATCATCAATGCCTGGCGTTGCCAGGTGGGTAGTGTGCTTCACCAGGGTATGTAGTACAAATTCTTGTTTCAACGATGTGAGATTGACAGTCTTCAGATAATGATGACGATGGGGAAACTGCAGCAGGTAGTCGATTGGCCCACTTGCTTTCCATCTTAGTGTGTACGCTATGTCAAATCCGAGGTCATAACTCCTAATTTATGATACAGGAAATCAATAACGTCCTCGTTGTTGTGACCCGGTGGTTTGGTGGAATACATTTAGGTCCTGATCGTTTCAAACATATCAATCATGCTGCACGCAACGCACTAGAGCTTGGCGGCTTCTTAGAACAAACGGACGAATCAAGGGGTGGTGGGCGAAACGCAGGAAAGGGGCGAAAACGATAACACAATTGTACTTATTCTGGATACCGCTATGCTGAGCACCTTCATCACGTTTTTATCGACATTTGAATCAAGTACAGGGAAAGACGATGGTTTCATTTATTAGGTTACCCTGGAACTCCTCCGCTCCATCTAATGGCCTACTTGCGCAAGGAGTTCGTTTGTTGAATTCTATCCAAGTTCTACCATGGCCACAGCCAAGTCATCGGATAGCCATCTTTCAATCACACACGAATAGTACCATATTGGTTAGCGACATTCAGCTAGCTAGTACATGCCATGTTCTCGACGCTTGCAAAGGCTGCAGTATGCGGCATTGTACAGAAGGAGCGATATCTAGAGATCACATCACAAGTCAGCTGCTGTGAACCTCTGGTTGCCTTCGGCTAATCTCCACGAGAGGGTCGTAGGTCTGGTATGTCGTGGACTCAATCCCCGACCGAGGATATTGCTGTAGTCTCAGAGGGACGCCTGAGCACACTTGTTCTGATGTCCGTTACTTTTCGCATGCTTACCAATATCCTAGAGAGACTAAAGTCACAAATTAGGGTGCGAGGGTAGAGTTGTTGGCAATTGCTGATGCTCACCCAACGTCTGGCAAGATCACTCCTTCGATGTAAGTAGCTTCTGAAGTCTTTCGAGCTCCTTTTCTTTTTCTATCAAGGTGGCTCGCCATTTCTCCTGCTCTTTGATAATCTTGCCCTTCGCTTCTTCCAACCTATCGGCCTCATCTTTCTCCATGGCACTGGTGAACTCCGGCACACCACCCTTTAGACTCGCCTCCAACGATGCGGGGTTAGACGAGTGGAAAGGAACGGGCTTCTTGTTTATACTCGCTTTCGGCAGCGGCGTTGGTGGATGTGCAGTTAGAAGATTAAGGAAATTTTGGAATGGGTCTGTAAAGACAATCTCGTCGTATTGCCAGCTATGCACAGGCCCGAGCTTGGCAGCGTTCTCGGGAGACGGAATTTCAGGCTCTACAGGAACTGCAGATGCATTTGGCATAGGGAAGGTAATCGACCAAGGATGCAACTTCAGGTGGTGGTATAGCGTGGTGGCTTTCTCACCAGACTCTGCTACATATGTGATGCGAATTTGAATCTCAAACTCCCCCCAACTGAAAGAAACTTGTCAACCTTGGTGTCTGACGCGCTCGAACAATACGTACCCAGTCTCTGACACCTCAAATGGAGGTTTATCGATATCTATGAATGCGTTCAGACACTGCAGAGGATATCAAGACGAGACTTTACTTCTGGTCGGATTTGGATATGTATCGTGCAATTTAAACGTGACTCGTTTTATGAAGTACCCCAAGTCATCTGCTCCACCTACAACATCAGAGTCTGGGGCGCTCGGGGCGCTACGAACTGCGACTGTCCACCGATGAGTGTGATCTGGATAGTGAGATGTCTCCCTCTCAGCAGGAGTAAGGACTGTCGCAATGTTTCCATATATTACGGGTCTGTGTATTGTGACACCCTAGACATCACACAGAACAGTGAGCAGGTAAACATCTATGAAACGAAAAGCATAGCAAACATACTCGGACGCGGACGCGATCAGCCATGATCGAGGAGGGGTTCGGGAGAGCTCGGCAAATACCGTTCGGACTCCGCCACATTTCCTCTCGCGTCGAACAACTGCAGTAACAAAATACAATCCTCCAAATAACTACCATGATTGACGCTGTAGTTCACCGTGAGTGCATCGGTAATCTGTTCTCCATTTTCTTTCTCATTCTTGTCCAAAATTTCTAGGCCCAAACCACGTTCCTGAGAGGCAGAGGGCCTACCAGGTAACAGTCAACTACCCGGCATTGTATATGTGATTGACCATCATTTTCAGGCTTCACACTCGCCCGTTTACTATCGCCCACCTCGTTCAAGACTGTATCTTGGTAGGTGGCGTGGCAGCGTAGTTCGGTGTGCATGTCATTCATTCGGGGTACCGTCTAGGTGCCTACTTCACTATCTTTGGTGTGGGTATGGTTGGAACTGTGTATGGTATGTACCAGCTTACCATGGTAAGAGTTGAGCTGTTATTAGCAGTTACTGTGATTGATACTGTTTCCAGGGCAAGCCTGTCAGGCAGTAATCTCGCGGACACAACATGCTTATTACTTAGATTTGCCAAATAAGTATCTACTCTGCATGGAGTATCGCCATTGTCGTCCCAATACCTGAGTCGGTGTGAAGAGTCATGCTACCGTGAGATAATAAACAGGACGTATCACGCAACAATACGATATGAGCTCCTTGCCAAGGGTGAATTCCTAGTGCCATGCAGCCCATCCAGGATACATCTTGCCCTAAAGACGAGTCAGTATTCTATAAGTTGACAAAGTACGGCAGCGGTCTCACCAGGTTCGCGGGGTCGATTGCCTCCTGTATGAGCATCTGGACGAGATTGCTTGTTGAGATTTCCCGTTCGTCTTCTCCTCCTCTTGTGATTCCTCCATAGGTCCGCTCCTTCACATTTGTCGGGGAATATAATCCTTTCAATTTCCGTTCTATCGGCCGCAGCGCGGTCTTGGCCCATGATCTCAAATCGGCAGGCTTGACGGTGGCAGAATCCATTTTGTCTTTATCCTTGTCCTTGGCATTGCGACGCTGCTTTGAAACATAAAAGTTTGAGTCGTCAGCAAAAAATACTTGGAAGACGTTGACATACTCTCTTTCTCGTCTCATCCTCCCATTCAACCAGCGGATCATGTATAAATGCATCGAGAACATTCATGAGGGGGTCCTTGTTATCGCGGAGGAGTTGCATTGTAATTTCGCAGGCGATACGGAAGACTCCTTCTATGCCAGTTACTCCAAGACCGTCAACAAGATTTTGAGTAAGTCTGAAAGGAACCCGTTCGGGTGTCTCAAGCGTTTTACCCTAAGCGCACGTGAGTGAAAATAAATAAATGAGAGGAGGTTTGGAGTACCTTCTCGAAGAGACAGTTAAAATCAACATGAACGACGTCTCCGTTGTTGGTGTCCAGAAGGATATTTTCGCAGTGCCTATCTCCCAACCTTCCAAAAATCGGTTAGGTGTTGACTACCCTCAAGGTAGCCATCAGCTCACCCTAAGATGAATCCGACCATTGACATCACTGCCATGGTACGCCCATAATTCAGGCGACTAGCTAGCCATACCGACGGCTCAGGGAATGTTTCCACGAACCACTCGTGAAAGATCGGAGGAAATCTGCACCACTTACATAAATCGCAAAGCAACTTATACACAACAACCACTTACTCAGGAAGAATTTTGGTCACAAAAAGTTCAGCGGCTTCTTTATCGGTACCGTCTTTGATGTGCCTTGTGACATCATTCAGCTCCTTGGACTGCTTCTGTCAATATGCGTGTTCTTGGAAAACTGGAAAAACGTACCCAAGCTGGAACATTCTTCGCCTCATAGTATTTCAACAGTACGGGTCGCACAGGTATAGTGTTCGGTACCCATTGAATAACACCACAATCCTCATTCAGTGCCACTACGCCGTACGTCCGAATATCTTAGAAAAAAAGTGAGCCTAATGTCATTTTTAGTTCGTTGAAACGTACGAAGTTGCCTTCTCCGAGATTCAGAGTTAGTCTTGAGGAGTTTATTGATGATCCCATTGAAATCCATAAGGCGCGCATCCTTCCGCAGATCGTCCTTCGGTTTGGCAAGAAACATATATTTGATACCATCGGAACCGGTAACGGTGAGTTTTCGTGGCTTGGCCAACGAGTGCATAATTTCAATTTCGTCGTAGAAGACTGCATGGAGTTAGTCAAAGTCGCCGCTTCGAGTTGTAGGTATAATTTACCAGTAAATGTGGGCGACAAAGGGTCGAAAAGATTATGTCGTTTATCACGGTGATTCATAGACGAGACAGGCGGGAGGTTGACCGTCAATGATGATTGCAAAGGAATGAGGATATTGCTCTCTTTCATTCCAAGTAACTTGGGAAAATCTCGGCGCATGCTGAGCGTCTTGCGGTCGCCGATGGAGTAATTGCAAAGTCGAAGAAGTTCGTCAATCATGGCATGAAGACTTGTGATGAGGTGCGGAAAGTTAGAGTCTGTGTTCGCCGGGCTGTTCTATAGCATCGTCTTGAGTCGAATACTTCAATAGCGGTGGATATATACGACCTACTTTCAGCTGATCCAATATTGTTCTTCCGCGTTGCTGGCGAGTGGCTTTCGTCGAGTTAACGACTGACGCGAAGAACCAAAGCGCTTGACGGGGGTATTCTCGGATGACCGATGAAATAAGTCTGGATAAGACTAAGTATACAATGCGATTGGGATGCCCGATTCGAGACACGATTTGAGGGAATGCAGTGAACCACTGAACGCAGGAATCAGCAAAGCGTTTCGTTGAGTTGTGAAAACTTCACACCTTGTATACCGGGATGCTATCGATGGAGCTGGCAACGACGTTGTTGATCTTATCAAATAACGGATGTTCCGCTGTCACCTTGCGCTCGCCCATGTCTAGCCATAAGGTGAGCAAGCGAGGAACAGTCTGGTATACAAATTTGTTTCCATAAGCAGCAGCTTCTGTGAAACACTTGATGGTTTGAAAGTTCATTTTAATTCCACTGTAACCATCTATCAGCAAAATATCGAGGCGCTCGCAAATAACCCTAAAAACTTACCGGTTTGACTTGTCGTCTGCTGATAGATTCCTATAACACTGATCCTGGAAGTGGCCAAGGTGGTAAAATGCACTCTCCCATCCTGGAGCTGAGTCTGCGGCATTCTGAAACTGCTTGAGCACGTAGGAAGCCTCGTATCGATCAGACTCGTTCATCCAACGTGCAAGGAGAATTTGCGCCTGATTGCGATATCGTGAGCTACATATCCATCCGATAAATGTGTCCGTACCTTTGCCTTCATCCGTTTGGAATGTTCATCTTCTCTTGTCAAGTCAACAGTATTATTATCCACAAAACCTAAGAGGCGCATGGAGTTTTCGAGTTCTTGTAGCGCGCGTAACGGCTCTCCCCGTGCTCTGACCAGCTTCCCACTTTCCATGAAACTAAATCGAGCGTTGGTGTATTGCGCTTGCAGCATTGCACTGTATGCGGTCTGCCACTGTCCGGCTTTTCGAGCAATTTTAGCACTCGCCAACCACGATTGACCAACTTGACTTGTGATCGATGGTCGAGAGACTGTACTAAACATGGGCGGCGTAAGAAGAATGTCAAGTCCAGTAGGGCGAAGTGATTTACCTTAGTGAAAATGCTGTTCGCCGCATGCTAAGTAGGGATTCATGTACGCGGAAGGTAGGTAATGTACGGTCCAAACGTGCACTAAGAATTTGGCTTAGAGCCACAATGGCAGATTTACGGCCTTGTGAACTTGGCGGCAAGTTGGACACAGTTTCGTGGATCAATTCGAGTTCGTGAATCATGTGGAGATCGACCAAAGCGTCATAAGCACGACGATGCCCACTTGGCCCTGAAGCAGCAATTGGAGCACCAAGGACAAGGCGTGCTTTCTTAAGACTTTCTTCGACCTGTAAAGGTTCACCAGACCGCATAGCAAGAAGAACTCGAGCTTTAACCACGGAAGGGCCTTCGTGTTCTATATTCGCTGTGATGTTATGAACGTCGTCCCATGCTCCTATCATCCACGCGCTTTCGACCTGGAAATCTGCCAAAACCGACTGCCACCCTGGGTTTCTAACGAGAACACCCTGGACATGCGTGCGGAGCGTATCTAAAAAGGCTTAGCCTTGCAGCCAAAAAAAAACGCAAGAAAAACATTACCATAATGTCCAAGATTGCGTAAACATCGAAGGAGTCCAAGATGGAAGTCCAAATTGTCAGGTTGCTGCTGGAGGCGGACTTCCCAACAACTCTGAGCAGCAGTCCAGCGTCCAGTACTTTCGTGTTGACGGATTTGATGTTCCAATGAAGGGGACAAGATCAACGTCGATATGCCCTCCATTCCATCTGGTTGGTCAAGCTGAGCGTAAATCTCGTGAAGGCGTTCATAATAGGGTGTGAAGTCTGTCGCAGGAGGAGGAGGTTGTCGCTCTCTCATTGAGACTATCCGCTTCTCAAAGTTCATAAGTGAGCGAGCGTGAGCTCGACACTGCAGCGCAGCTTTAGCCATGAGTTCATGGTCGATGCTAGAAAGTACTGAATCGACCCGGATAAGCTGCTGCTGACGTATCGCGAATTCAGAATTTCCTCGTGATCTTCTGCCCTCGACTTTTTTCGGTAGATCCTGTCGCTGGACTCGCACATATGCGCTGAGATGGTCCAACAACGTGAAAACAGCCTGGGGTAGATGTTTTAGCGATAACGATGAAAATGATCGAATTTGAAGATACCTGTGCACTAAGGAACTTCTTGTCCGGAGTGGACGAACTATCAGAAGCCACTTGATCTTTCAAAACAGCTGTCAATTCCTGAATGATGCAGCCGGTATCTTCTTCGTTCTCAGAGGCAAGGATGTTCAATACGAGGTGAGGCAGTATGTGGTGAGCGACGCCAACATCCTTGTTACGCACTGCTGAGCGAAAGACCCCGAAGATCTGCTGTGCCATATCATTGGATGCTTTGGTGATCAGATGAGCTGTCCATAGCTGTACCCACTCTCGATAAGTCTTCTGATGAGGGTAAATGGGCGAAGGGAGATCAGGCAATTCCTTATGCGAAGCTTTGAATTTGCCCGCCAAGAGTGGAGAAACTGTTTCAAGCACATGCTTTGGGAGCCCGTTCCACCTCTGGCGGACCCGCGCCGGAACGGATGTCGTGCTTTCTGATGACACCAGGGCAGGCGTGAACTCGCACAAGAACAAGAGTTCTTGTATCGTGTAGGCGAGATGTCCTTGATACTTTATGTCGCTAGTGGACCGGAAAGCATCCAGGAGAACGTCCTGGATCACGTGCAGAGCAAACAATTTTGCTTCTGCATCATCTTCAAAGTTATTCCGCACGATCATTTTTGTGTCTGTCGAATTAAGGTCGCAACGATCCGGATCAACCGCCCCCAGAATTCCCATGCATTCAAACGCCAGTCGTCGCAGAGTGTCGGAGCCCTCTCCATCACGAGTGACAACCTGAAATAAGGTCAATTGTATACTTCCAATTAAGGGATCAAATGCGTCGCCCGCTGCAAGGTTCTGTATAAGCGAGGGTTGATTGTTCTTCATGAAGTTTTGGAGTTCAGCGAGAGCCACCTGAGCAACTGTGATGTTGTTACTGGAGCACCGATCTAAAATCTTCTGGAGTTGCGCGTGCGGATCCCAGATGCGAACACTTTGAAGTTGGATGTGTATTTCAGAGAGTTCTGGGATATGACCGAGGTCCACGACCTCGTTTAGATGTGCCTTTGCGTCATTTCGGACGGTGCTTCCAACATCAAAGACGATATGATGCAAACACTTCTTGGCGGATTCCCGTACAGAAGGAGATAAAGCAGACCAGGCGGAAACGATGGCTGCGCTAGTAGTGCCGATATGCGGAATAACGTCCTCGACATTCAATGTGGATAGAAATGTGTACCACGTAGACAAGGTGACTTCAGCAAGTTCGGGGACCAGAAACATAGTTTGCAGGGTAGCCATAATCTGGGAAAGTTATATATCGACACGAAAACATTATAAAAGGACGTGCCTGAGGGGAAACCTCGTTTACAAGAGGTCCGATTTGGACAATCAGTACTCCTAGACCGCGTAGAATCTGCTTCTTTGCTGGAAATGATTTCTTGCCATGAACATCTTGTAGCATCTCATTCAAGTTGGATACAATGCCAAGCATGTACATCTTGAGGAACAGAGACATTTCGAGTTCGGTATTGTCCGTTACTGACCGCTGGACCTTTCGCAAAGCATCCACTGCCTAATAACATGGTCAGGTATCATGAACGATCGAACAATAAGTAAAGCCAGACCAAGGCAGCCCGTTCTTCATTTTCATGTCCCAGGACCACAACTAGTTCTGCAAGCAATGCCACCACACAGCTCTGGACCATGCCTCTGACGGTGAGATCAGCAGACTTGGACTCGGCACCCCTAAAAATTATGTTCTTAATGAACGTCAAAGACCTAGTCGTTTGTGCTGGCCCATGTTGTTGATACACATAAGCAAGGATCTGGTGAGAATGCTCCATGAACAGTGACAAAATAGTTCGCCTGAGATCCTCCGAAATCTCCTCTATGATCTTCGCTTCAGAGTTAGCAAAGAGATACGGAAGAGTTTTGGGTAGCGTGACAGTGATAAAATCGGCTGGATGCACAGATAGAAATCGACACATCTCGAATATCAGCATTGGGTTCGTACATTTCCGGGAGACGACGAATGTTGCGACCTGAGAGAGGTATGGTGAGACAAGAATGTAGGGGGACTTCATTTGTGCTTTCGCTATCTCCAAAAGCTGTTGGGAGCGGGTCAGAGTCTGATAGATGTTTCATAAATTGACGTACCTGTGTGTACGCTAAGCCTTTCAATACATGATTATCTTGGCCCAGTTGGGATATCAAACAGTGGACAACTAATCCGAGAAGCTCAAACTGGGCATCGCTGGCGCAGGGAAAGGTTGCATTGGTCGACGACTTCAGGGACGTGTGGACAAGCTTACCGCCCAATAGAACCGATACTAACCAGCAGCGTTTCCTTTACTGCATCCTTCACACCTGATTCAAGTAAGCTGTTTATCTTCATGAAAATTGGTTCGTTGAATTTGCATCCCCTGTCAGTTGCACGGGCGTGGAGGTGGACCAAATCCGAAAGTGCGCGACTATACATGATGCAAATGAGAGTAATTCGACCCCCAAGTAAAGGGTTTCGTACCCAGCATCGACTCTGACAGAACGGTCCTTGTCATTGAATCCGCGTTGCAAGAAATCAAATACAGGTGGCGGCTCATCAGACTGAATATCTGCTGAATGTTCTCTGATGACGGTTCGGAAAGCATTGAACGCCTGTCGTCGTACATTAACGTCGACTTCAGTTGACGGGCCTTCGACGATTTTGTTCAGAGGTAACAGAAGAGCGGCGGCAACGCGGAACTGAGATGACTGCTGCTGAGAGAACGGCTTGAGGTGAGAGGCAAGGGAGGTAACATTTTCAACCAGTGTTGCACGCGCAGAAGACGAGGAATGATGCAGTCCCCTGCGGTAGCGTTCAGAGAAAACTTATCATCGACGAGTAACGTAGACTCACCGAGCCCACCTGGACTTGATCTTATCTAATATTCGTTGCATGTAGGATGCGGTATCTTTGCGCCAAATACTCTTCCACTGCAGTTCATCAGGCACAACGAGCGCACTAACGAGCCTCTGCAATTCTGTGCGCCAATGCAAAGAGTCTATGCTGTCTGCAGTCTGGCTCATTGGACTATGAACGCGATTACCGGCAGTGATAACCAGCGGTTCCAAATCGGGGTAGGAGGGATTTCGTTGAAGGAATGATTGCACTGCCTTCAAACTTGCTGCATCTAAACGACTAACACAACCGCGTATGTACACGACTGCAAGAGCCTACACCGTTTCAGCTTGCGAAGTGTTTGAAAAAATTTACAGTGACTCACCCGAAGCTCACTCCCAGGTGACTCCCATGTTTCAGAGCGCAAGAGTTCCAGAGTATCATTCACATAATCGACTGATAGATTTGTATTGGACGTAAGAATTTCATGTAACTTGCGGTCGACTGATCGTTGCGCAGGATTTGGACCACACTGGAGTCGTTGAATTAAAAGACGACAAGGCAGTCCTGAGAGTCCTCCAATAAGAGATGGGTCACTAGACATAAGAGTGTGAGCAGCTGCTGCTACTCGAAGCAGGCATCGGGATCTTGTTGCAGGAGAGGTAGGACATTCAGAGCAAAAATCGTATACACGACGAGTAAGTTCAGAGACGTGACGGAGCATAGCAGCCGTGATGAAATAAGAAAGCCTCGCAGTTGAAAACAGTCTGCCAAATAATTCGACGATGATGCTGGTCAAGACAGGAAAATGAGATGGGGACGGCAGCCTGATCACGTTTATGGTGTCTATGGGACACTAAAAGATGTCTAAGCATAAAAAGCATCTGACGGGTAATGACAATACCGGAATGGAACAGTCCTCAGTTGTGGTCTTTAAACACGGTGGGGTAGAGAACCAGTGAATGTCAAGAGGACACGATTCGTGTCGAGCAGAGATTATTGCTACAAACTATCAGTAACTATGTAGAAGTTTTACGAGGTAAATGAGACTCACTAGTACATAAGTTTGTCGCTTCGTACAAAATGTCCTGCAGGACTCCCCTTTGCAGATCACTAGAATCTCCTCCTGGAAAACTTGAAAATGACAAAAGTTGTAAGAATTCGACGAGAGTTCCGCAAGCTTTGGAATATAGCGTGTTAGATGCACCGCCTGAATCGCCTTCGTCGGCAACTTCTAACCATGATTCTGTCGAAGTGCAAAGGCCCAAAAAGTGTACAAATACTTTTTTAGATAAATGCTCCTCATCAGCATAAAGCCAGTCAAGTGAATCAGCCCTTTTTCCGACACGTGAAAAGACATCTAGCGTGACGTCTGTAAGCTCGATGCGCTCGTTGGTGGTGCCTAACATTGTTGGCTTGAAATAAGGAAAACAGCCAAAGACTTGCTCCAGTAGGCTGGCAAGCAGGCGCAGCCAAAGTGGTTTATCCAATACTAATGGTGGATTGTCGTCATTTAAAGATTTGAGAAAGTCCCGAAGATCTTTGGGTGATGCATTATTCGCTCCATTAGGTGTTTGGAAGGTTGTAGGAGGAATAGGAGGAGCGCTTGAAGGCGGCACGCTCATGGTTGATCTGAGAGTGAAATGATATTGTAGATGGGGGAGAATGGTGGCATTTACCAGTAAGACGAGCTGAAGGTGCAACACTAGTACTAGTGCAGATCTGACGCGTTTGCGAACGCGTGCCACTAGAATTTCATAGCATCACGTGAGCACCATTTCTCTGACTTACACTCTGAGGACATGTACCCGACATCCTTACCAGTATCGATATGGCCTGCACAAGAAGCAAATTTCGCCGTCCGAAGCAACACTTGGTTCCGCGCGCTGTAAGCGAATGATAGCGTCTGTCATATCTCATGTCCCCGCCCATTAACGCCTCTGCCAACGCCATCCTGCATTCCTTCATTCCCTTCACCAACTCCTTCTCTTCCGGCACGAGGGTAGTTCCTCCTATTAGGAATGATCAAATTCGCGATCTTTGGGGTGTGTGTCTCTTGTACATGTTTCCTTTGCAGTTAGCCCTCCATGTCTCTTTTACAGCTCCTCACTACATCACTCGTACCTTCAAAGCGCTCTCCTTCGGCACATGCATCGACTCAAAGGTTTTGACATCTAAATCTTCGCCAGAACGTGAGCATCCACTCCTCTAATCACAGTCATTCAACTCACTTCTTATCAGCCTCGACTTACACGCACTGCCCACTACCTCATCCCCTACCACCACATTGAAGGCCCGCCTAAGCCAACTGTTCACATGGTGGCCCATCCATGCAGGTGGTGCAATTCGGCCTATTGTCGACGTTCCTCTTGCACCAAGTAAACTGGTGTGTTGAGTTGAGTTTTCTCACTGTTCGAGGTCTCAAGTTGATTTCCAGCGCTACACCGCAGCAGGTGCTTCCGTGATGATGACGATGATTTAATACGTGATGAAGACGCCACCTTTCCTACTCCTTCGCCGAACCCCAATTCACGACCACTCGCAGCGGGCATATCAACACCGGATAACATGGAAAGCACCAGCTGCTTTTCTATAAATAGTGGCGATTTTTCTTGAGTGTTGCCCCTCGTGGTATGTATATCGTCCTTGACTTTCAGTGAATATCCGTGATATTTGGTCACTACATTGTTTTACTTGTTTTTGTATCACTACAGATATAGTATTGCGAGCAGCACTACTCAGTGTTCACAGCACAACTCAGTCCTACAGCATCGAGGACAGTCCCGCTGAATATATGAACAATGCCTCAGTTGTTCAACAGCTAGCATCCATCATCCTCGCCACCGGACTAATGCCGCCCTCCCTTCATTTACCTTGTCGTTGGATTGGTGCGTCGTGCACAAATTGCTGTGGTATGCTACATAGTAGACTGGTGATCAGCCTGTCTATGATGTCTCGATGTAGATTAAATCACCTGAATGAGCTTAAATCGAATCTATGTATTGCGATTCAAAATATTAAGTTCACGGATGTCTCAGATGTCAGGAGCAGGCACGAAGATACGAACACCCACACACCTTCCTCGACTGTCTCACCCCGAATATCAATCCTTCCTATGCATCCCGAGTCATTTGCATATTTACAAACATCCCTCCACGACACCTACATTGTACTGCAGATGCTACGGTCAGAGCGCCCGGGCTGCAAACTGACGCTCGCTCTACAGCAAGTATGGAGGCTGTGGGTTGAACGCGAAAAGGAAAGGCCGGTCTAAAATAATGAATGCTTAAAAAAGTACATGCTGTGTACGGGAAGAGCTTATAAAGAGGTGGATGTGCCCAGACGCTCATAATCAGACGATTGCAGTCAGCCTCTTGGTAACATCATGCTCCCCAGTCCGAATCTCCAACGCAGAAAAACTGATGTTTGATTTCAGCAGGGAAAACGCTGCAGTGTTCTCGCGATCTAGACATCTTCAAAATGCCTATCAATGTCAGGTCTATGGAACACCAGGATATCTCACCAGCGGTCCTTCAGAGTTCGAATTCAACCTCGCCGGTGAAGACATCGGCCACGGCCTCCAACTCGATGCGGCCTGTTGAGGCAACGAAAAAATTGACTCTGAAACCGATCATGACCTTGGAGGGTCATAAACGAGTCACAGATGGGGTCATTAATGCCAAGAATTACCGACAAGTTTCATTCATTTCCTACTTTCCACTGAACGGTAAGGGAATACTCGGCGCATCAAATGACAAGACCACTCGACAGTGGGACCTGCGGAATGGCAAAGAGATTGAGGAGGCGCGGGATGTTCGCGAGCCACAAACGCAGATGATGGCATTGTCTGGGGATGGTCAATGGGTTGTCACTTCGAGACTTCCGAGTGTTGCTTCATATATTGATGTCGGGAAAGTCGAAGCCCGTAATGTTGAGACGAAGATCGTGAAAACATTTGAAGGCCACTTCGATTGCATCGACTGCATCGATGTCTCTGCGGACAGAACACTGCTGGTGGGCGGGTCATGGGGTGGTGTATGGATATGGAGTATGGAAACCGGCAAACTTGTGGCTGGTCCATTCCGATTCGTCAGAGCTACTAATAGAAGTCCACGTCCACCCTCGATCGGGATGGTTCGATTTTCGCAAGACTCGAAGAAGTTCGCAATCTCATCAGGCACAGGGAGGCGGCTTGAGGTGTGGGATGTCCAAACACATAAATTGGATGAAGATATCAACACAAACGCCAATATTCTGGACAACCAAAGATAAATCCATCGTAGCCGTATTTGAATTCAAGGACAAGGAACAGGGCCCAGGTGGGATCCCGCGGCGGGACGATATATTTGGTGAACCGGTTGACCTCAACACGATCTACGAGTTTGACGCATTGACGCTGGAGATCGTCGGAACTCCCTTCGAAGGGCACACCCACACTATTTTTGGTTTAGCACTTTCATTTGATTGTGCTCTTATCGCCAGCGCTTCTCGGCACACCACCAAGCTATGGGCCTTCGAATCTCGCCAGCTCCTCGCTTCATTCGACTATGTCGACCTCCTCGTCTTCTCGCCCAACTCATACCAACTAGCTTACACTAACAGGGGTGACACCAACATATACATTTATGACGTTCCACCCGACATCCTTTCTAGTATCCGGCCTGCACACGATGTCCATGCACAGTCTAAGGTATGCCCTTGCATGTATCTATCTGTTGATGCGCTGACTCATTCTCTTGCAGACCACCAAAAATCCTGATCTACTCGATGTACGTTCATTTAGCCATCTACACCACCCTGTTCATATATACCATTATTGCAGTCCGATGCAACACCCCGTCGTAAGCCAGTGATAGTTCCCGTCCCCCGCACACTCAGGCCTCCTCCCATAACACACCCAAAGCAACGTCTTATTCGCTACCTCCGTAGAATCCTTCATTCTCGCACACACGCAGGTCCTCTTGTTCGAAATGACGAGCCTTGTGATCCTCTGGATGTATGTCCCTTCTACCTTGTTCCTTCGCAACTGGCTTAACGGTCCCATGCAGTTCCCTGCTACATCGCCCCTACCTCGCTCTCTTTCCGTGCAGGCCATAACTCAGAGGCTTTCAGATACAGATTCCCCCGAAAACGTGAGTTATTTACTATTGACCACCTGAATCACATGTTCAACTTACATCTTTTCAGTCTCGATCCACACCACCACCGCTAACCACTCAATCCTCTGCTACAACCTCCTTCAGATCTCGCCTACACCAGCTATCAATCTGGCGGCCTGTCGGTGCAGGTCATACATCACTGCCTGTTGTCAATACTCCCCTCGCGCAGGCTAAAGAGGTGTGCTGGATTCATTTTCTCACTGTACTACATGATTCATGGATCCATTTATAGCGCAACGCTGCGGCGGGTGCTCCCAAAAAGAATAAAGACTACATAGCCGACGAAGAATATGCTCCTTCTCGTCCTTCCTCACCCGATCCCCATTCACAGCAACCACCTGCAACAGCGCCAATTACCACCGAAGAGCATGGAAGCGGTAGATTGTGCGGGTGTTTCTAAATATCGTGCACGGTGTGGAGATGTAGTAGCCTCACAATGTCGATGTATCTGCCAAGAGGCCGATCCCCATGGGACTTGATTGTCACTGTAAGATATACTCTCATGCTATGTTTTTGATTGATTTTGCTTGAACACAAAACACCTGCGCATGATACCATCAAGGGAGGTGGTATGCGTAAGAGAAGACACTGCATGCAGCGCCTGAGTTGACGTTTGGTGGTTTACAGGAAATACTACATTCTGGGTGGGTCGGAGCGCTCTAACATGGGAATGTCATGTCAGTGAGCCGGAGAGAGAGAAGCTGGTTTGACAAGGAAGCAAACATACTGTGCACAGCTACTTAGGTTTGAACACCAGTTGGTGTCAGGGGCCTACGTCGCACGTCGAAAAGTCACCCCCAGATCCTCGAATGCATCTCAATTGCGATAACTGACATACTTGCCAACTCCTCGTGAATACAACTGATCAAGTTTTCAGCTCGATACAGCCCGCTGCGGCACTACACGAATTGATTCTGACACCGGTTATCAACCAAACACTCATTATAAATGATGAGGAACATAACGTCTATGTTTCATCCATTTTCTACTTTCCGGACGGATCTGCACTGAACATTTCTCGGAGTAAGCAGCTATGGCTACACGATTCGGCAAACAGCAGGAAATCTTGAACAGCTCGCCGTATATGTTATGATCGAGGATGACCTAAGAATTAGAAGCCCTAAGATTTCGATAGTAAAACTAGGTGGGTATTTGTACGTTGATATCGCAGTGTTTGTAGTCACTCATACCGGACTCGGATAGTCATCCCTTCTTTAGAGTCGGCCAAATCCCTGACTTTCACTGGAAATCATGAGACCCCAGGCATCAGTACGGTCACTTTGATAAACCTGCCTTGCTATCGTCTTGGATACCCATAGCATCTGAGGGGAACCAGCAGAGCATGTGAGATGACCCAACACTAAGCGGTACACTAGTTAATGGATGTTGCAGTGTATGTGACACTTTGAATGTACAGCCTGTAGCAATAGGTCGTTCGTATACCTGATTTTAAACTGCGTCTGCACTGTGCAGATCTTATGTAAATAGACGACGACGCCCTGACTATGAAACACGGATGAGCGAGAAGTCATGATGAGATTAGTTATACATGCAGCAAGATTTAGATGAGAGAGGGTGACCGAGCGAGGTAACAAACAGCAACTGGAACTATCACAACAAGTCGACGACAAAAATAAGCTATCTAAACTGAGCCAAAATCTCACTGCTCGCTGCAATAAATAATACATCCTGATTCCGTGTGAAGAGAGAAAACAAGGGGTCAGCGCAAAAAAAACATGTATACGTAAAAATTGAAGTAAGAATGTTCGAAAAGCAAGAGGAATGAAGCAAACACATAGCCCGAAAAAATCATATCTTCCATTCACCGTTTACTTGAGACGTTCCACACACCCTGGATCGAACCATTCACGGAAGTCTTGCTCAAAGTGTGTCCGAAACATGGATGGGTCTAGGTCCTCCAATGCTGATATAGATTGCATGGAGTCTGAAGATAAATTGGATTGTGGTTGGCTCGTGGGATTTGAAGCCGGAGGTACTGAAGGTGTCGGATCGAACCATTCACGGAAGTCTTGCTCAAAATCTGCCCGAAACATGGATGGGTCTAGGTCCACCAATGCTGACATAGATTGCATGAAGTCTGAAGACATGAAATTAGGTGGTAGATCTGATAAATTGGGGTGACCTGAAGGGTTATTGATCATGAGTTTAATATCCTTCTGATCTTTCATGGGACCACCGATACCTGGTGACGCAGGTGGCGACATGCCGCCCATAGGTTTGGCTTGAGCCAAGTTCTGTCCGATTCGATTGTTCTGAGGACCAACAAACTGCTGTTGACCTTGCACAGGATGAAAACCTTGCTCAGAAACACCGGGAGCAGCCGCTACTAATAGGTTCTTCATCTTTGCGGTCATATCTTCCAAGGCCTTCAGAACAGTTGAGCGCCCGTAGCCAAGCGCCGCAGCAAAAATCGACGACTTACTGCATTGGCATTGGCCAGATTCATCATGTTATGACCTGGTCCTGGAACCATGCCTGGGCTCATGGCGTTACCAGGATTACCCATGTTCGGTGGAACACCATGGGGCTGGAAGTTATTCATGGGCGCGCCTTGCATCGGCCCTGGACGCATCATGTTGCCATCGGGCATTTGTCGTGGCCCACCTGGCATACCCTGCTGTTGCGGGTGCGGATATCCTGGCCCGGGGCCCATGGATGATGTTTGTTTCATGGGGGGAGGTGTACGGCGCTGAAACTATTCGGGAGCGTGCCATGCTCACAAATCGTAAGGCCGCGGACGCGCCAGTTCCCGACTTCGCTGAAACACGTGCCGTACCTACCAACCTCACAATCGCCCACAATGAGTTATCGGTCTTACACACTCTTACTCACCCAATTCAGACAGCCGCAGACCATCTGAGACCTCCCCCAAGCGAGACTGTGTGATCGAGACAACTGCCAATGAGTCTTCCGCAAGACACCCCGAATACGATTGATCGAGCGTTTCACCCAAGCCGTCGACCAGCTACTGTCGTAGGACCCGCCATTCATAAGCAACGGTCGCATCGCGCCCACTCCTCTAATACGTGTTCCAATTCCGCTTGAACTCGATATGACCACCGTCCTTAGTATCGTCATGCGCGCCACACTGTTCGAAGTTGCCGAGCAGCACTTTTGGCGAGGAGGGTTCATATTGGGTACGCCGCACAACTCTCCTTGTTTTCTCTTCTGCTTAAAGGATCATAACAGTTTCTCGGCTGCATGGCAGACCTGCACGTTTTTTTGCCATCCCGTGCACAGCAATCCGCCACCGTGCCTTGCAGAGACGAGTGCACAGGCTTCAACGCATCACAGTCGTCGACTGCGATATCCTCGTCAGTCCCGATGTGAATGCTTACCGCGGTCCGTCTCATTCATCACTGCTCGCACCCACGCATTAAACTTTCTCAGCGCTTATCAATTATATGGCTTTCTCGTCCGGCCTTACATTCTATTACATCGAGCAACGTGTGCGGCTCATCCGTACCGCTATTGATGTTGCACGCGTTGCCAGTATTGCGCGTCAGACTGACTGATCCTAAATGCCATCCGTGTCTCATAACGAGTTGTCTCACACATAGCAGTAGTTAAGCCCACGTCGCATATTGTAAATGACAAGCCTGAACCATACAAGTTGGGAAGAGACCAGAGGACAGGAACGCACAAAGAACAGTCGAAATTTTTGTACCACATTTGAAAGGTCGAAGACAACCACACAAGTTGGGAAGAGACCAGAGGACAGGAACGCACAAAGCACAGTCCAATTTTTTATACCACATTCGAAAGGTCGAAGACACCAAGCCTCAACGGACATAATGTACAAGTGAAAACCCAGAACTCCAACGAGGGAAAAGAGACACACCAAGCCTCAACGGACGTAACATACAAGTGAAAACCCAGAACTCCAACGAGGGAAAAGAAACACACCAAGCTTCAATGGACTTAACGTACAAGTGATAACCCAGAACTCCAACGAGGGAAAAGAAACACGCTATACCATGGGCCTTCCGAATTGTGGACACCCTTGCTTCTTCATTAAGGCAATGAAATATGTCAGTAACAACGAGGGCACTAGCGGCCAGCGAGAGACAAGAGATCAAGATGGGTTGGAGATGCTGAGGGAAAGCATGCGTGTCAGTGGAGGTATGGGCAAGCATAAAAACTCACTGGCGAGAATAGAGGTGAAACCAAGGAATGGGCTGGCACGGGAGAGTGTTTTGGACCCACCGACGAAAGGAAATGGAAGTGCAGACTCTGAGGCTCGCCGTTCTTAAACGATCGCGAGCGGGTTTCACATGTGAAAAGACAAGGTTCCGAAAGCGTTTCAGATATAGTGCATCAACAACTCGATATGCATGGAAATGAGGTAGACAGGATACATGATTAGGCCAGTGCGAGCTCCACCTATTTACACTGTTCGCCACCCGGTACACCAAAGGCAGTTACTAAGTGAGGAGGGCAGAGCTACAAGCATCGTCCGATAACCATAACAGTGGGTGTAAGAAATGTATGTGTCTGGACGTTGCTGAAGTAATCGCTGACATAAGAAATTCCCGCAATCATTTTTGTAGAGAATTAGGCGTATCCTTCCCACAGAACCCTCCTTAGAAGTCGGGAATTATGTAATGCGCTGTAATATGATTAAGCCAATATTAATGATCTTCGAATGCATCTCAATTACGATAACCGACATAGTACTTGCCAACTCCCTCCAACTCCTCGGTGAATATAACCGATCAAGTTTTCAACTCGATACAGCCCGCTGCGGCACTACACGAATTGATTCTGACACCGGTCACGAACCAAACACTCATTATAAATGATGAGGAACACATCATCAATGTTTTACCCATTTTCTACTTTTTGGACGACGGACAAATTATCTGCACTGAACATTTCTCGGAGTAAGCAGCTATGGCCACACGATTCAGCCGACAGCAGAAAATCTCTTGAACAGCTCGCCGTATATGTTATGATCGAGGACGACCTAAGAATTAGAAGTCCTAAGATTTTGATAGTAAAACTAGTATTTGTATGTTAATATCGCAGTGTTGAGTAGTCACCCATTCCAGACTCGGATGGTCATCCCTTCTTTAATATGCCCAGTGCCTCAGATTCATTTCACCCACGAACTCGAATGCTCACTGGCAGGTTCGTCCTTGTAGTCCACCATCACCGAGCGCTCGACGCGTACCTGTATATCGAGTTCCATGTCGTTGGAAGTGCAATGCGATGCGGGCCTGAATTCCGCATCGCCGGCGGTTTTACTAGTACAGCCTTTGGAGTGACCCTCGGACTCGAACTGTGAGCGCAGACCGGACATTTTCTTCTGCGCACCGAGTGTGGGACGCGCGACGATCACATTTTCCAAGTGTTGAGGGTCTGGTTTTATATTTTCTTTGTAGATGTGCGTGAACGGAAAGAAGATAACGGAACGAATGAACATTGCGGCATGCGTCAGTGGAATAGCAGTAAAGTTGTGGAGTGGCGCGCACCTCGTACGTTGATGAGGATCCGTTGGGTCATGATCCATGTTACAGCATAGCCTACTGATGCCCTAATAGTGTTCTGAGTGGTCTGGTCTCCTTGATGTTATCCAACGCGAAGCTTACCCTGCCGTCTAATAATAGGAGTGAGCCAAGCTGAGTCAAAGTGGTGTATCCGTAATTGAGCATACGTACCTGAGTCTGGATATTGGGTGTATGATAAAAGACGAGATTCAACACATTCGACGCTGAGGAAATGTCAGGAGGGTGCTTATTATATGCAGAGCGTACTTGCCAGACAACACGATGAAATACCCAATGCCATCATAGATCAGGCTAAGTATGATTAGCAATATGCATTGACCCTGCTAGTAGCTAAGGACTTACACCCGTATCAACTGCTCTACTCTAACAGCAATGATTGAGCGATCATCAAGACAGAATATAAGAGGCGCACCTGCTACTGAGAGGGTTATAACGTAGAAGATGCATGGTTGAAACCGTCACAATCACGACGTCATACAATATCACAGCGAGGTAGTAGAACCAGGTTGACAATACTTTGCCAGAATTTGTTGAGGTACAGCTAATATTATAGATCAGAACAGTCCAGACTGGAGGTCGAGGAACCACTTACTTTCCCTAAAAAGGACGCTATTTGCATGAGATCTTGTTGTAACAAAACACTGACGTACATCAATAACACTAGCTGTTGGTTCTGATGGTCAGTACAAGTTCAAGATTAAATTATGAGCCCTGAGCTTACGGGTTCCGTGAAATATATCGGCAAACCACTCCGCCTAAAACGAATCAGAGGAAGGATATCATGGTTGTGTAGTAAAAGCCCACCGAAGTTGACAAGAGGTATAGGCACAATAGTATAATTCCTATCTGCCTATCTTTTCTTGCAATATGGAATGTCCTACATGGTATTTCAAGTCTGTGCAGCTGCAACCCACAAAAAGTTCAACAAGACGTACCTGACACCCAAGGTGACCTGTGATATCATAGTTTGTATGGCTACAATGTGATCAACAGAGTCCTGGTGAGTGGATACCGATAGAACAGACCTTTAAAGATAGGCGCCACAATATAGTATTGTTGACACGTTTGTTGGGTATAGGTGGTGGAGAAGTATCCATAATTACTGACGACCATAGCAATGATACTAACGTAGCTGCACTTGATGTGAGCGAAATAAATCAAAATAATAAACTGGGGACAAAACGTACCGTATGAGAATGAACAAGACGCAAGCAAGACTGATGGAAATCGAACTCGTTAACGATGATACGTGAATGCCCTGCTATGTGCATACCTTAAATGAAAGATTGACGATTGGCTTCGGTAAAAGCGCCATTCTGCGGGGAGTGTTAGGATATAACTGAACATAATCGGTCAGAATATTTACGGCAACAAAGAAAGACTCGGAAAGGACTTACTCGTAAGTTGCAACGGAGATGGATGCTATTCGCAAATACTTCTCCGAGGTTACGCTGTTTGTAATTGAGCTCTCCATTTAATAGACGAGGTATGAAAAAAGGAATGTAGGACCAAGCAGGACTCGGACGATGTAACGAACGCTTCTGGGGACACTACTATGACCCGGACGCCCCGCTTTCGAATTCGATAGAAAGGAAGTAACGCGACTCAAAGAGGAATGGAAGCAAGTCCCATCGTTTTTCTACCACGACCAATTCTACTCAATCAAACATTGGGCATTTCGACGAAATACTAAATTGTCAAGTAAGGTTTGCGTCGCTGTTCCTGTCACGGAGAATGAATTACGAGCAGCCGACCGACTGTGCGAAGGCCAAGGAGGCACTAGGACCCACCAACGTGACAGTTCAGTGCAACGCCAACTCGGGGCAGGGAGAGACAGAGTCCACGGACCTCTTAAGAACTCCGTAAAAAATCAGGTAGTTTGAACACTCAATGTCTTTAACATGTCGAGAGCTAGAGCTCTGTCGATTTTTGGGGTGTGAAACCACCCTAAATATTAATGTATGTATCATGTATCATGTACCTGATTCTTCGGGACTATGCCAGATTCAGACATATTCGAGTGTCCGAAAAATCGGAAAAGTAGAGTGTTTGAGCTCCTCATTTAACACTAGATTGGGACTGCATGGGAAATCCAAGGCCACACCTTTCAGCAGGAGGCGGTGCTTAGACCTGAGACTAAATGCAGGTGACCGACTACGAGCCAGGACTCATGCCACTGCTCCAGGACCCTAGCACTCCCGAGGACCTGGTGCAACACAGCATGCTACCAATAACTCAGGAGTTTCTTTGACACTATTGCTCAAAATGATCCACGACTCAAGCACCTGTAGACTGTGTTCACTCACCTCCCAGACTGCATCCCTCAGGGCAACTCAAAGTGTCACTTTGAGAACTTTGCACCAGATCCAGGAAAGGTCAAGCTGTATGGCAGTACAGAAGTACTAACAATGTATCAGAATTCAGATTTGCCAAGGATTAGTCTGTACCTTGTCCATCCAGATTTCAGAAGCGCGGGCTTGGCCTCACTGCTGTTGTGGATGTCCTTAATGCTGCATTTCCAGATCCAGCATTACTCCAAAATGGGCAGAGGAACTATGGCGTGCTCCAGTTATTAATCCAAGTCTGCAAAGATGACAGCGGGTACATACCTCGTCAGAATGACATAATCCAAAAGGAAGTTTAAGAGTTGAACACGACCCACTTTACCAGGGCAGTGACAGCTTGACTTTAGCTGGCAGCCCGTATGACAATCATCTTGATTCGCCTCGCGGTTCTCGCCTGTTGAACTTGCTCTCTGATGAGTTCGAACACAGCACCTCCAGAGAATGAATCTATGGACTTCAAACAGCGAATAATCTGTTGAATGAGGTTATTGATTAGACATGCTCGAGTAGGCAATAGAAAAAACACCTGTACAAGCCAATTAGTGCAAGCCAGCGATGCAGGAGTCAACGCACATTAATTAAGGTCCAACCCCAGTCGGTAGTGTCAATCGATTACGGTCATTTCGTGGAGTCCATCGATGATGGCATCACACATAGACCGGATCGTAACTAATAGCAACCGATAGTACAGACACTAGTACTGAAGGCGCATCCGATTGTCACAAGGTCCTGGTCCAGATGTCTCGAATCAGGTTGCTCTTATTTCAATTATTCATCATTTGTGATCTTAGCCAAAATCGGGCCAAGAATAATTTGGTCGAAAGTCGAAAGACTTCTGACCCATTTGACGTCGAAACGTAACATTCATGCTGACAGGCTTATCATCGCCAGGAATTTCTTTGATGGTTGTTTTCAGTTTTCTGGGAGATGAAAGGCAGGGACTCCAAGTAGCCACGTAGCTCCAGGGCCTCTACATTAACTGGGGTTCGTGCTATATTTGAATGCCTGAATATCAACATAATAACAAGACTACGAGAGACACCAACATGTCTTCATGATAAACTTACGAAGTAACGATGTAGTTGAGGAAAGTTGGCACTTTGCTGTATACAAGTGGCAGCATACAATGAGGGTGGATCTGCCAAAGAGGCAGATAGCCTGGGTACGACTTGAACGTTGGTGAGCACTAACGCCTACACATAACATGTCATCAGAGGAGAAAACATTGCATACGGCGCTCGAAATGGCACTTAGTAGCGCACGGCAATAACTGCAGGCTGAACGGGCTTGAGAGCTCGAACACAGGAATGGCATGAAAATTGACTGGAAAGTGAGGTTGGTTTGAGAAGGAAGGTATAAAAAAGCACATGTGTCTAGAAAAGGCTTGTTAAGAGGTAGCAGGCGCGCCTATACAAGTACTCACCAAAATCCTTTGGCAAGATGAAAATCCTACCTCAGCATGTCATGAAAAAAAACTGATGAATTACGATTGGGGTCAAGAAGTTATAAATTGCAAGGATTCTTGATCGTACAAGTTGGGTTTGAAATCCCTCGACGTCGATGTCAGGCCTGGTTTCCAGCTGAAGATCGATTCTATAAATGACCAACGACGGGGATCGTGAGAATGTTACTTCAAACATCAGCTGCATTGATATCTCCGCGGACAGCTGCTGGCAAAGCACGTCACTCGAATCGGAAGCACAGTCATATGCTCGGACAGTGGACACTAGAAAAATCATGCATCATGGCTGGTCCATCGAACTCCATTCCAAATTGATGACTGGCCGGGCGCGGTTCAAGACTGGAAAAAGCTCGCAGTCAGGCGGGATGCCTTGAAGTGTGGGATGCCCAAGCACAGACATTGGATGTCAGTGTTGGGCGGGCAAATAACATATACGCCAGTGTTTTGGATAGCAAAGAGCAACCACCGTGACATTTCGCTCCATGAACGACGTTACTCGGACGCTGCCAGGACCATCTGGGAGTTTGACTCGTGTGTTAACGTCGGTGACTGCAGGAGCTCCTTTCGAAGGACACATTAACACCATCTCTGTCCTGGCACTTTCATTTGATTGCGTTTTTCTCGCTGCTAGCGCTTCCAAGGACAACTTGAACACCATCAAGTTCGGGCCTTCGAGTTCTGCCAGCTCCTTGCCCAAGCCAGCTTGCACGAGCTCAGAAGATACGAAGATCTACATACGCGACACTCCACATGTTTTTTCTAGCATCGCAGTTTACTGTAAGCATTCACCCACAGTAGGTGTATTCGTTCGTGCACTAATATGTTCTTGTAACTCACAATCAACGTCTCGCTGATATACTCAGCATAGGTGACCCGTACTCATCTCCTTCATTCTGTCAATGCCAACATTACAGTCTGATGCAACATGTAGTGCCGCGCGCTGTAACCTGGTGATATCGCCTCCCATCTCCCGCCCACTAAGGGATTCCCCTAGGGCACACCCGCAGTAACGTGCTTCCTATTGTTACATCCGCAGGCTTCTTTCTTCTCACGTAGATGCAGTTCCATCTGTTCGGAATAATCAACGTCATCCCCTGGATGTAGGTCCCTTTTACCTGTCTCCTTCGCAGTTGACTTGATTCCACTTTAGCACTTTCCTGCTACATCGCCCCTACCTCTCCCTTTCTGCGCATGCCATGACTCAGGGGTGTCTAGTTTAGTCCCGATCCGCACAACCACCGCCGCACATTACCCGATCCTCTACCCCATGACCTTGAAAGCGCACCTACACAGCCTATCGTCCTGGCAGCCTGTTGGTGCAGATCGCCTGTTGCTAATGTTCCTCTCGCACAGGGTAAAGAGGTGCTCTGGATTCATTTTCTCAACGTACTACATGATTCGTGAATCTCTTTACTCCTAGAAAGAATGAGGACTTATACCCAACGAAAAGCATGTTCCTTCTCGTCCCCCTTCACTGAACCCCAATTCGCAGTAATTACCCGCTGCAGCACAGATTGCCTCGGGGAAGCACGACAGTGGCCGATAGTGTGTGGCCGATTCTAAACGGTTTTGCATGCGTTATTCACTCTTTGTTATCTGTGTTCACCTTTCGTTCTCCATTTACAAGCAGTCTTTTATGTCTAGTCACTTACGATTTCTTTCAGTACCATCTGTCAATCGAACACTACGGTGAGTATATATCGAGCTATATACGTACTTCGACTCTTCTGACTACAGACTTAAATGTTTTGTCTTCCGGTCTCTAGGTATGCTATCGTAGCATAAATCTCTCAATTGAAGACTGCCCGTCTCTAGTCCTCCTTGAGACAGTTTCAGCACGATTCAGACGGATAGAATGAAGGTTTTTTGACGAGTCTTTAGTAAGACTGTCGCTGATGTTTGCAAAATGCGTGTCTTTCACACAAAGACGAGAAATGATCGATCCAAGAGCACAGTGACCATAAGTTATATGTACGTGTTGATAGGACAACGCATGTGCGACGATAGTCAAATGCTAGTAGCAACCCGGAAAATGTGTTCGGAACCGGTCTACAAGCAGAAACACTTGAAACGGCTGCTTCCATGCCTTTCCATCTCACCGGTCTTAATGATTAATCTGCGCTACCGCGGATCATCACGGTTGTAGTGAATTGGGACATACCCTGTTAACAGCGGCAACGCTGGTACTGAAGCTTGAAGGCCTATGAGACTAATGCATTAGCAATTATTGCCAAGTATTTTGAGGCTATGCTAGTCACGATCGCTGAGTGGTGGATTATAGTGCGCGTGTTGCTAAACATCAACTGCGCAACCTCAGTACCACTATCAACTCAAAGCTGCGGTTGCACATTCAATTATATACTCCAGATACAGGCTTGCGCAAGCAGACTCAAAGGAAAGACCGTGGTGCCAAGTTTAGATCCGTCGGTCCAGGGTAGTGCGGTTACGGTATTGCGCAATTGAGGAACATGGACGCATCGGGTAGAATGGTGATGGGCAGGGTCTGTCGGTCGACCATTATTCTGCATCCTACCGTGCAAATCAACGATGTCTGATCGTTACACACAATGAGTGGACGGCCCTGAACGTCCGCAGCTACAAGAGCCTGTCTTCGACGGACGGAGATGAAATCCGTGTTGGTGGCGTGGTAAACGGTGGGAAGCCTGTGCACCTGGACCAAAAGTCTGGCAGCACTTCCCGTACTCGTCGTATTCCACGATGACCACGATCCTTTCTCCGTCGTGTTGCCCGGTCTTGAGGTCTTTCATTTTTCTGTCATTTTCCGCGTCTCTCCTTTCGACATTCGCACAGCCCGCAACACTTCCGTTCTATGACTGT